GCAGATTCCCCAGTTTGGGCCGCACTCCCAGCACTCCCAGAGCGGCTACCCCTAAGCCGTGGGAATCGCCATCGTCACACGTCTCCAGCAAGGTGACAGCCCACAGATGGACCATTACTCCCTGTACACGTTGCTCGCCTGCCTGTTCGCTCAGTAAAGGGTCCGGCTCTCATGCCGTGCAGAGGGCCGTGTTGTGTTCGGCGTGGCCAGGCCCTCGAGTCGACCACCACCACATATGGCACAGACATCGCCGCAACTGTCGCAGCCCTCACCGTGCCACGCCTCTCTGTCGCGCTGGTGCTCTGTTCACCTCCGCTATCGTGGTGGCGTCCGCCTGTCTCTCAACAAACCCCCGGCAAGAGTCAGCTCCCTTTCGTACCCCTTCTTCGCCCCTGTTAGTTTCCATTGCCTGTTGCTGTGCGGTCGCTGAGGAAGCGGAGGGCTCATCACGGGCGAGCTGGCGCGGTGTGCTGACTGTTGAAGACGTGGCGTTGCGACACGTCGCCGTTCAGCAGGGAGCCGCCGTTGCTGCTGCCGAAGCTTCGTTGCCCTTCGGCCCTGTGGGTCGGCATAAGACACACAGGTTGACTGAGCCGACCCCTTTTTATGGCAAAGCGGCGGTTGCTTTGCTTTACTTGGGGCAATTTGTGTCCTCTCTGTTTGATTGTTGCTGTTGTTTGTTTGCTCTGCTTTATTTGACCATCCTCCGTACCTTCGGAACACTCTTCTTCCCTGGTCCTTTCTTCTCTTTTCATTCTGTCAGTTTCTTCGTAGAGCTTATTTACCTGTGTAGTGGCATGCTTCTTCTCTTGTTTTCCGTTTCTTCTTTTGCGGCTTCTTCGTTTCCTTTGCGCGTCTCGTGTTCTTGTTAGCGTTGCCGGTTTTACTTTTTCCTTTCGTGTCTTGTTTTTGGTGTCTTCCGCGTGTCCGTTTGGGATGCTGCAACCTTACACCGTTTCCTCGCCACACCGGCGCGGCGGCGTCCTCCTCGCGAGTGCATCTCGCATATGGAGTGTGCACGCGTCGTACGGATCCCACTGCACCTGTGTTTGCCAGCCTATAAGATACACCCACAACCGTACAGCATTGCGATGGTGAAGCGCCAGGAACGACTTGTTGCCTTTCTGCAGCCTGTCGTAGCACGCGTTATGCAACCGGCTGCTTTAGTCGCGGACGTTCCTTGCTGCTTGTCTCCGCATCTCGCATGGCCTCGTGCTCACGTCGACTGTGTTGCTTCACCACATGCAACCCCTGGCCGCACCCTCGTCCAATCGGGGCTCCGCAGCTCCTCGACAATCGGGGGCGGCACTGTGTCGTACATAGTCAGCACGTCAGCGATCCAATGCTTCACGATGAAGATCGGAAAGTAAATAATGTATCGGTGGAGTATCCGTCCTCATCGCCGACCGCACCCGACAGGTGCATCATCTGAAAAGGATATGATTTGTTTTAATCACCCGTACACGGGGAACGAGAGTTAAGAGTTCAAGACGCCGATAGCAAGAGCAAACTTTCAGGATGTGTTCCCATTGAGATGCATTGCATGTGTGTTACGAGTACAAGGAGGAAGAACAGCACCGCACCGTCTCCTTGTTTGTTTTTGCAAGGAGCTCGTGGTGAGAGTTGCGGCCAACGCACACCAGTTGAAGGTGCGTTAGAGTAGAAAACAGAAATTATGACAGTATGTTCTGCGTGGGATGTAAGTTGACTTCTTTCCTCTACACACGTGAACACGGAGATCAAACAGAAAGCAAAAGAAAGGGAAGAAGACCAAAACTAACTTCGGTTTCCTAAATGGATCCTCGTTGGAAGCAGCAAGACTGCCCAACTACTGGACCAACGTCAAACTTGCACTGAGATCCTTCAGCAAACAGGAAAGCGAATGCAATTTGCTCTGTCACGCGCGTGGATGTGCGCACGTTGTGCACAAGACCACCGTTCCATCTTCGCCGCAACTCACTTCAAACGCGCCGTCGACTTTGACGTCTGTAATCGGCAGGCGGTGTAGAGGCAGCTGCGCGGTGTAGTGCACCAGGTTGCCAGCACCTGCAGCCCGAGATAAGTACAAATTGTTGTTGCACGATCCGTCAGTCGCGTGCGGAGATGCCAGAGCGTTTGTCGACCAGTCACGCGAGCGGAGATTCCAGAAGTAGAGGCAGCCGTCTTCGCCACCGCAAAAGACCTCCGTGTCGCTGCTGCCAAACGCGGTAGGCGAGCGCGTTTTGGTGTTGTTCTCCGTTCCTGTGAATCGGTAGGGGAGCAAGTCGCCGGTTAAGATGTCCCACACGCGCATCGTACCGCCGCGGTACGCCGTCAGCAGATAGGTGGACGAAGGCGAGATGGCCAGCGAGCAAATCTCCATCGCGATGGGCGACACGAGCGTCGCCGTCATAACACCGGTGGCGACATCCACCACACGAATCGCGCTGTCCTTCGAGGCCGCAAAGTAGCTGGAGCCGGTGCGGTTGGACACCAGCGACACCACGCCGTACTCGCTGAAGAGGTGCTCGTACAACTTCGTTCCAGTGATGAGGTCCCAGATGGTGACGGTGCCCTCGGACAGACCAGTGGCGGCGAGCGACCCGCACGGGAAGAAGCAGCCGGCGTACACATCCGCCGTGTGGGTGAAGGTGCAGGCAACGCAGTCGTCCCCGGGTGCAACGGAACGGCCGTCAAGGAAGAGCTGCAAGTTGAGCACGATCGTCTGCGAGCTTCCCCAGCACAGCAACTTTGTGCCGTTGCGACGCAGGTTGCGGATGGGTCGCTTGCTTTGATGGAGTAGATGCGGCCGGTCCGTCGCACACGCCTCCGCGGAGGAGGATGAACCGCCAACGTCTGCGCCTCCCACCGGGCCCGTTGGGATCCACAAAATGGCGCCACTTTCGGTGGCCACGACGACGGCCGAGTAGCTGAGGAAAGGCTGGCAGGCAGTCAGTTTCACGCACTGCCGTGTGTCGCCGGGTGCGAGTGAGGGAAACATGCTTCGCAGAAGGGCGTTGACGTCAATGGAGACAAGCGGCTCCGTGGTCGGGAGCTGCGAGTCCAGCGGGGCGGAAAGTGAAGTGATGGTCGCCCGCTGGCGGCGTCGAACCAAATCGGGGTGCTGCCGTGCCACAATCTCGAAGGAGAAGGATTGCTGAAAGATCAAGCTGAGCGGCCGTGTCAGCTCCACCGGCGCCGTCATGCAGACGTTGCCGTGGCGGCAATAATTCGCGTAATCGGTATTGCCCATCTGTGTGCGGATTTGCTGCAAGATTTGTGCACGCCCCTGCTCTGCCGTCCAGCCTCGATACTCCGGGTAGATGTTACTGCTCTCGGCCACCGTCTTGCACGTGAGCAGGTATGTGAGCTTCTGAAAGTGCTCCCTGCTGATGGAGCGCTCAAACGGCTTGATGGTGCGCATAAAAAACGTGAAAGCGCGCTGGTCGTTGTCCTCCTCGATCATCTCAAGAAACTGCTGCTGTGCTAATACGAAAGGAAGCAAACGCACTAATGAGGCGGCCGGGGACGTACCTTCCGTGCGCAGACCGCTCTTCACAGTCGCCTTGGTTTGCAGCTTCTTCAGGCTCTTCTGCGCCGAGTCCCAGTTGCGCTCTTCCACGGATCTGCAGAGAGTGCGCAGCGTCTTGCGCAGATAATGTTCACCGCGAAATTGGCTCGTCGCCTCCTCACGCAGCATCTGCGCAGAGGCAGTGAAGCCTTGCTGGATCAGCCAGGATATAATAATCTGCATCATCTCACTGCGCGTCACATCGTTGGACTCGATGTCGGCAAGGGGATTGGGTGCGAAAGTGTTGTGTTCAGTGCTGCTCGCATCGCCCTGGCCGCCACTGCCGACGCCGTTAGACGCGCTTTGAAAATTCATCATGCTAGGCACTCTTTCGCTCTAAAAGCACCATTGATAACTTGCGCGTGTACGAGAACAAAACACAGAGAGAGTGAAGTAGAATAGACAAGATGAGCTCCACGACAGAGAGAGACGAACACGATTTACGAATTATATGGTCAGGCGGTTCGGGTAACTTTTTTCATGGCATCAACTTGTTGTACGCTATACTTCCCTTCCCCAGTCACCACACTTCATCTTCAATTATACATGTTTTTATTCTCTTTCTTGACACGTCAAGCTATTCTACAGTGACTTCTCTCGGTTATTATTCAGAGCGCGTTTCGGGGCGTAAAAAACCAACGCAATAGTGAATATCGCTGAACTTTGTTTGAAAAACGCATGACAGCTTTGAAGGCGTTATCTCGTAGCAGAACGCCTCGCACACAACTAGACGCAACGCTGTGTTCACGGTGATTCGTGGCAGCGGGGCGGATGCGGTCCCAAATGCTTTACTGGAAAGCAGTGCACAGGAAGTAGGGGAATTATCACACGCGGCCTGCCGTACAAGCCTCCCGTGAAGAACAACAAAAAACCGCGAACCATAAAACAAACAGAGTTCCCACAATAGAGTTGGTCAAAGGGTAATAGAGACGACCAGAAATGGTGCGTCTACAATGGAATACTTCGCAATGTGTGATGGGGGGTTGAAGCGCACAGCCCTCAACACGGTGAACAGTAGAGAATACAACAACGATGAATCAACAACGCATTACAAGACAGTGTTTGGGGTCAGCAAAACTAGCACGTTTTGATGGATTATTATGGTATAAGCTATGAGTTCGGAAAGCCTTTAGCACGGAGAGGATTGTTGGCAGCTGAAGGAAGGCGTTCGCTTAAAGCACCCAAAAGCGTTCCTTTGGGGGATACATCATCATTTTCCCCTGCGTTTGTCACGGCTGGCGTAGCCGTCGAGCGCCTCTAACAAGTCTTCGCGAGTGAACTCCGGCCATGTCTTTTTGAAGAACGCAAATTCGGAGTAGGCACACTCATACAGAAGAAAGTTGCTCACCCGCTGCTCACCACTCGTACGCAGAATCAGCTCCGGCTCCGCAGACACACCATTCGTGAAGACAAGCTTATCTTGCTCCTCGTAGTCATCCTGGGTTATGCTGCGGAGCATCTCATGATTCATCTCCTCCCTCGTCACCGGTGTTGCGAGGGACGGTCCGCAGCTGCAAAGGCGGCGCGCGAGAATGCGATTGCATGCCGCGACGACTTCCGACTGGCCGCTGTAGCTCACGCAGATGTTCAACGTTAGCCGGCGCGGCTGAATTGCTCGTGACTCCACCTCCACTGTTTGCATCAGCTCTACCACACGCGCGGGAAGTCGATCCAGTTCCGTCGAAATAAAACGGACAAAGATGTGCTTGTCGAGCGCCACTTTCCGGATGCGGTCAAAGAAGAAGAAGAAGAGAGACATCAACGAGTCCACCTCCGCGGCAGGCCGCTGCCAGTTGTCGGTTGAGAAAGCGTAGGCAGTGACCATGTCCACGTTCGCATCTATGCAGTGGGACAGCACTTCCAAGAGCTTCTCACCTCCATTGCGGTGGCCGTCAAAGGTGGTGTGTTCGATGAGCTTCATGAAGCGGTTATAGCGCGTGGCCAACCACGATGCCTGTTCCTTATTTCCGTTGTACACCAACGCAGCCTCGGGGCTGCAGAGTTCGGTGCAGAGGGTCTTCAACACAGCTGCGTCAGGCTCCGCGTGCCGAGTGCTGTGCTTTTGACCAAATCGCCTGTTTCCGTCCATGATGATGCCAAGATGCCGCACCGTACGTTTCGCCGGATCCGGCTTGGGTACGCTGGCCTTGCCAGTCTCCTTGCGTGTGTACAGACGCAATAACACGATCCCCATTTGCACAAAGAAGGCAAAAAAAAGAATGGACACACACGCCGCCCCGAAAGTGCCACAGGCGGTGCGCAGGGCCAACATTTCACCGCTGTCGTTGAAGGCGGCGTATTCGCCCGGGGTTGCGGCGGCTTTGTGGCGCGCCTGCAGAGCAGCGCCCATGGTACAAACGCAAAAGAATGAAAATAGCCGCGTGCTGCACTAACTCCTCGAGGGGCTGTGTGGTGGCACACACGCAGCGAAAGGGAAGGAAGGAAGAGAAATCAGAAAGGAGAAGTCGTAGGAGCGCGAAAGAGAAGAGATTATGAATCCCGTCGTTGAGACTGCGGCTGCACGCAGGTCGTTCGTTACGCAAAAACAAAAAGAATAAATGGCATGTAACGATGCGCTTCCAACGTTGAAGGCTTGATTGGCAGCGAAATAGATAGGTCAGGTAATTCAACGGTAAACGGTTCATTTTCCCACTGAATGCAGGTGCGACAACGCGCAGAGCGCACCAGCTGTGACAGGAAGAAGCGTGCGTACGATATAAGGACGCAACAGTTTGTGCGGTGATGAGCAACAGATTTAAAAAAAAAAAACAGCAGCAACGGTATTCTAGTGTTCACAACGACGAGGAGGCCGACAACATCGGCTGCACAGCATTACTTTCGTTTGGCAGATGCATCTGGGTCTAACACGCCGCGCTGCAGCATCCCGAGCAGATCGCCTTTCTTCGTGGTGCCCCAGCGTATACGATCTGCAGCGCTGCGGTGCAGCACGTCAGAATTTAGCAATGAAAGAGACTGTGCCGTGTTGATGATAGGTGAGAAGAGGGAGTACACGCCTTTTGCAAAATGCACAACAGGAGCATATAACCAGTTCCCCATGTGTAGCAGCACGGAGCGTTGTGCCTGTCTCTCGGAGGCATTGCGGCCACGCTGCGTGGATTCTCCAGCAAACAGTCGCAGCTGCTCGGTGTGATCTGCGACGATGCCGCGCTGACGCTCGAGGTTGATGACGACGAATTCCAGCTGCTGCTGCGCGTAGGCCGTGTCGTTTTGGCTTTTACCAAACAACTCCTCTAGGCGTGTAACGTGTGCGCGGAGATCGTCGATCACCACCTTTTTACGTTCTACCGCCGCCTCCAGGTGTCGGCAGCGTCGCGCAAGCTGCTCCACAGCCGTCTGGAGTAGCTGGATCTGATGCTTGGGATCCTCTGCAACGTCGCTGGAAGGCCGCGCGAACCCTTTGTTGCGTTGATCCATTGGTGTTGTTTTGTGCTGCGTGTTTGCACCATCTGCAATGCAACAGAAAAGGACGAAGAGAAGAGAAAAGGAAGGGCGACTTTGTTTCCTTCGTCTTCATTGGCGAGCTGAAAGCGACGAAACGAGGCGTCGCAAACATGGAATGCGGCGGCAAAGAGAGCTCTGCGGCAGTGGCGCACAAGCCGATGCTGCGCAGCGTTGCGGGGAAGGAGGGCCCACTGAATAAATGAGGACACGTACACGATGAAATCCAACGCGGGTGATTTGTAGAACCTTTTGTGGTAGCGATGGGTTTTGAATACAACGGTGACAAAGCAGGCACGTACATACAGGCCGCCGACAACACAGCTGCCAGGCTGCGAACACTTCTTTTTCCTTTCTATGTTACATCATGTTCGTGTCCTTCAAAAGCGTAAGAGGCGGGGCGGTGGGACACATGCACGTAAAGAGCCGATTGATACGGCCGACGACAAAGTTCTGCACCGCGAGGCGATCCCACAGAGTGTTGATTTCCTCCAAGCACGGCAGGGCCGCGCCTGACTTGGATCCGCTTTCGGCATCCGCGGAGAGTGGTTTTAAAGACTGATTCACCTCTAGCAGTGCATCCACCACCGTGGCACGCACCGCCATATTCGTCTCTGTGTCGAGGAAATTCTCCGTGGTGCGGATCGCGTCCTCCGCAAAGAGCATCGGTCGGAATTGGCCACTGAGCTGATCCAGGTGGTACTGCTGCAGCTGCTGCAGCCGGTCCCGACTGTCCTGCAGCTCTCCGGTGCGCTGATCCAGTTGACGCCGTGCTTCAACAATTTCGTTTGTGTAGTCGCCGGCGGTGCTTCCGGAGACACCCAACGAGGTGAGCTGGGCGTTTTGGTTCGAGGACACGACCAGAGCGGTGCTGTCGTGAGTATGCGGCTCGCGCTGCCCCGACTCGCGGAGCTCCCGCGTCATTGCGTTGAGTTGAGCGCGCAGTGCTGCATTTCGCTTCTGCGCCAGCGCCAGCCGGTCCTCCTCCAGCTCCACCGCACGCCTCAAATTCTCTCGCTCGCGATCTGCTGTGCGGCCCACCGCTGTCACCCGCTGCGACTCCTTGTCTCGTTGCAGCAGCTCTGTCATGACGCGTGCGCGGTACTGTGTCGCTGCATTCGGCGAGCGCTCCGCGCTGGAGGGATGCGGCGGTCCGGTGGGGACTCCACGCTGCGACGAACGTTTTTCTGATTGCATCGACGACGACGCACCGCTTTCGAGGAGGCGTTGCAGCGTCAGCTTTTGTGTTTGGAGAAGACGCGCCATCGCTACCTCCGGTGCTTCGTCGACGGAAACAGAGGGCAGCGTGGGAAACGTTAGGGGCGGCGCGCCTGCAGATGGACAGAGGGCGTCTGCGTCACTGCAGCTGCCTTGCTTTAACGTGCGGCCCGTAGGTGCTAGCACGCCACGGTGCTGCGTCCGTACTGTAGAAAGTTCTGTAGACATGTCGGACCTGCTAAACCACGAAGAGATGGCTGTGTAAGTTGTGTGCTCTGAGCGTGAACAGCGCGAACTCCGAAAGCCGTCAATGAGAAGAGAAAGAAAACAGCAAGACGCAAAGGGATTGAAGACGATCGTGGGCAGCATGCGGAGAAGACCTGCTGGATGAAAAGACACGCTTCGCGCATCGGTGGATGGAACGCATCATCCAGACAAGTAATAAATGTTTTGACCAGTGGCGATTCAGTTTTATGACGTGATCATTTCATTTTTTCTTTGTAAGTGTCGCGGCGGATTTGCTATCCTTTGAGCTTCTCTTTCCAGTCTTGGTTTCCGTTTCATGTGAAAGTTTGCGCCGTCATCAAGCGTCGCGTGCTCTCTTGACAGGAGCGTAGTCAAGACGATGAAAAGGGCAGGGGCCGCGCAAAACCACCTCTCGTGTGTGCTCCGCGGTGCAGTAGCCTTTGTGCCGATCAAAGCCGTAGTGTGAGTGTAGACGATGCATGACATGCACTGCGTACGTGTCGCGTGAAACCTTTGCTACGATGGAGGCAGCTGCAATGGACAGCAGCGTGTCGTCCCCTTTAACCACCGTCGTACAGCGGAATCCTTCCAGTGCGGCGTGCATGACTCCAATTCTTTTGCGGAAGTCCTCTTTGCGAACCGCCTTCTTCGTGATCACTTGGCGCTGCTCCTCTAACAAGAAAGTCCAAGGAGTGCGATTGCCATCGATGAGGATGGCGCAGTTCAAGGGTGTTATGGGATGTGGTGCGGTGCGGTTGTACGTCTGCACGATGGTGTTGCACACAGCAGCCATCCCTTCCAGTGTTGCGTTGAGCACGTTGCGCTCGTTGATCACCGCCACATCCACAAGCCTCGCCGCAACAGCTTGTAGAGACTGCGTACGTTGATAGCGCGCCCAGCAGCACGTGCCGTCAGCCATCACCTGCGCCAAGAAGTCGCTGCTGCCCTCCCGCCCTAACTCTTCGCACATGACATCCAACGCTTCTTCTCGCGCGGCCGCCACCATTTTCTTACTGTCCCGGACGGTGTACTGCACGGGGGAGACAGAGATGCGATACAAGGAAGCAGCAACACCCACCGGCCCTGCCATGCAGCCGCGACCCGCCTCGTCCACGCCGATGACAAATCGCACGCCGGCCCCAACAAACCGCCGCTCGCCCTCCGTCGTCTCCATTCGGCTGTGCAGATGGTCCGTCCTTCTTGGCAGTCTGACATCAACAGTTAATTTCCATGATCGTGATAGTGTCGAAACGATTGAAGGAAGAAAAGGGTAGAAAGAACTGAAAATGGCATGGAGGCGGTACGGAAGTGATGAAGCAGCACCCAACACGTTGGCTGGCACGTTCGATACTTCCTGCGAGGTTTGATGAGCCAATAAAGAAAAAGGTTGGCTCCAATGGAGTGAAATCCACCCCCGAAGAAAGGCGGCGGAAATCAATCCTTTCCAAGCAAGGAAGCACATACAAACGCGTTCTGCTGCCGTTGTCGCTGTTGCGTTGTGCTTCGATCAGACCATCGTGGCTGCGGGAGACTAACGTATTTTGAGAATTCGCACCACCGAAAAGGTAGAAGTGTGTTCCTTTTCCCTGGACAGCTGAAATCTAAGGCAGTGAAGGGCGGCGAGAGTCGTAGGACGTCAACTCTGCCTCCTCTAAAAGATCTAAAAGGTCGTCTGGCACGGTGGACCGCAGTACGTCCGCCCAGTGCGGTGACGAGTCCTGTTGAGGGCTGTCCTGGAAGAGCGCTGGCTCGTCGAGGCCGATGTGGCTTAGCAACTCCTCCGTGGACTCAATGAGGTCCGCAGAGGAGCTAAGTGGGGTATCGGCGGAATCGGACATGCCCCACGGACACGATGACGCTGGTCCGCGGTTTGTGCGGGGGTGAAATGTGCACTCGCGCATCTCCGCCTCGTGCCGCTCCTTGACAAAGTGTCGCAGGCGGTCGCCTCGGCGTCGCAGCCACATTTCACTACGCCGCGGCAGCGAGTTGTGCGACTTCTGCGACGTGGCGGTGCGGTTAGTGCGTGGCGCAAAGGTTTCCTCCGGGTTAACGTATCGATTGGAGTCCGGCGGTGCTTTCGAGCGTATGAGGCGTGCGTGTACGGTGTCCTCGCTCTGCGACGCGATGAGGCTGCTGATAGGGTCGATTTGAGGTCTAAAAGCGCTGCTGCTGCGTACCTGTTTCAGCTTGTCTTGTGTCTCACTGTGTGTCCGTCGCGACACGGCGTCGTGGTAAAGTCGCTGATACGTCGCTGCGGAGGCCGACGTGGGCTTCATCGAGACGCTGGAGTTGTGTCGATTGGTGACGTCGGCGAGAACCGCGCCGCACTTCTTTGCTGGGGATGATGTGGCGGCGACGGTGGTGTGTCGAGGTGCGTAAAGGCGTTCCACCACTGGCTCGGAGACCTTTAGCCGCTTGGTGTGCTCCGACACGGCCGGCCTAAACGTCAGCTTAGCCGCCTCCTCGCGACGCTTCTCTTCCATGCGTTCCTCATGCACCTTTTGGCGAGCGTGCAGTAGCTCACCAACGGACAGCCCCTCCCACTGCTCTCGCTGGCGCAGTGCCGCGGCCATGTTTCGCGACGCCGGCAGAATCGCTGGGTGGCGGGACTGCTGCGTCTCCCTCTCAGCAATATACTCGGCGAGGCGTTTGGCGCGGCGGCGACGTGCGACTTCGGCGTTGGCGTGCAGCGACGGTGTCGGCGCAAAGAGGCAGCGGGGGTGCAGCGGAGAGGTGGGCCGTGCGACCTCCGCTGCGGCCGCCTCTTCCTGCTGTCGCCGCACCGCCTGTGCCTGCTGCAACTTTTCGTTGTACAGACGGCCGTACTGCAAAAGGCGCTCCTCCACCGGAGGGGAGGATCGGTGAGAGAGGTGAAGGGGCTGCATGGGCGAGAGCTCGCAGACAACATCTTCGTTGCCTTCTCTGACACGTGGCTGAGAGGACGTGGCCGCGGTGCCACCGAGTCGAAACGACGGACGCATGTTCGTTTGAAAGAAGAGGAGAAGGACAGAAGCAGCTGTGTGAGAACGGACCGTCCTTTGGTAGTAGGTGTTCAAATGCACGGCTCGGCAGATGCAGCGGTGGCCGATTGGACCGAAATAGTGCCCGTCTGCGATGGTGGAGAAAAGGGAGGGAAGAAAAACAAAAGAAAATCAACACGCGGAGACGACACACTCCTCTCACGCAGCATCGTTGCATGCGCCCACAACACCGTGGAAGGCGGGGGTGCGCATGCGTCTGTCATCGCACAGCCGCAAAACACAATTGAGTTACATGCGGAGTAATTCGCCTTTCCTCTACCCAAACGCAATGCGAAGATGTCCGAGATACAAGTTAGCAAAAGGATAGAAAACACTCCCAAGTTAAAAAGCAGGTGGTCGCCGTCGAGCACCTCATGAGTAAATGAATAAATAAAAAGGCGTGTGGTGAAAACACACTATACATCAATAGAGAAGGGAGAAGAGTACATGTAAGACCCGTTGGTTGGTGTCCTTCAATGCCCGTTTTACGGAGACCCCATAGACTGAAAGCGATAACTAAACGTGCTCGGGTCCTTCGACGAGTACGTCGTCGGCTTGCTGGAAGAGGGAAAGTACGTGCGTTGCTGCTGCGCCTCCGTCAAGTGAGCGCGCCGAGATTCCTCAAACATTTGATGAATGTCGGGCAGGGGCGTTTGCGGAGATGCCGTCGACCCGCCTTGAGCAGGGCAGTCGCCACGACGCGCCTTGTTGTGACTGCCCTCCGGGCTTGCCACGCGCGACCCACGCGAAACCCGCCGCTGCACCTCGCGCTCGCGTCCGGTGCGGGCGTCGTGGCGCTCCATCATCGTGTGGATTTCACCGTAAAGGACCTCCGACCTGCGACGAATGCGCTCCGGCGTGGACACGCGGAAGGCGACTTCACGACCGCGAGAGCGCTGCTGTCGCTGTCGAGTTCCAGAGACGCCTCCGCCGCCACCCTTATGTGCATCGGTGGGATCTACAGAGGAGCTATGCGCATCATTGTGGACGTGGGCCTCGTTGCCGGCTTCGCGGATGGTCTCTAGCGCCGCCAAGGTGCCGCTTTCCTTGTCCTTCACGAGCATGTCCACGTAGCTCGAGGACACCGGCTGCTCGGACGAGGGGGTCGCCATCTGCGATATGAGGAAGGAAGAGTGGTCAGTGAGCAAAGTGTAAAAGGAGGGAAGGTGCTCTTCTGAGTGGGCCGTGGAAAGACGCAACACTCATTACTTGGACAGCGTAAAGGAATTTTAAAAGAAAGATAATAATGGAAGTGATAAAGGAGTGGTGGTTGACTACAAGGAGCTGCGCCTCTACAGCACGCTGACGCCGCAGTTGACGATATTCGTGATTCCGCAACTTCTTCTCAAAGTACACAAGAGAGGAGGCATGATACACGCATCTACGCTGAGGCGCCGCCTGGCAAAGGCCACGTAGGGAGACGTGTCCACACGCGATCATTTCGTCAAGGTCATGTTGGGTGGAACTCCACGCCTTGTCCGTGAGGTGCGAATGCGAAGACTTCGGTAGCGACTTTACTCGTTCTTTCTTCACCTCCGCTGTTCAGCTCTCGCATTATTTGTGTGTGTGTGTGTGGGCTTTGTCATTCGCAGATGAACACGTTGAACGCGTCTACTCTAAAAGGCCGGGACATACGAAAACAGCGGTAACCGCTTCGCACAACGGCACCGCACAAGCGTGAAGAATGGCTGTTGCGCGCGCTTTCCTTCTCCTTCCTTCTAACTCTTCACAAACGGAGATCTTGGGTGCCAAGTACCACCTACTCCCGCGAAAAACCGCCTTGGCGAGGACAACTACTGAGCTGCCGCCCGTGTCTCCTCCACCACAATCACCTCCTCTTCGCCCTCGCCCTCCGTCTCCGAAGGCGAGGCCATGCTTTCAGCCACCGCGCTGGACAGCGTTGACTTGGCCGACAAATCGAGGAAGTCTCCCACCTCCGCCACCTTCGATTTTTTCTGCATCGCAACGAACGAGTAGTCGCCGTCTTTGATGGTCTGCATGGAGCACATGTCCACCCCGCACGACGCCGACACGTGCAGCGGCACGCTCACCTTCACCCCGGGGAACGTCTTAGGCACGTACTCGTGCACGGAGCTCAGAATGCGGCACGTGTCCGTCACGCACTGCTCCAGCACGTCCACATGACAGTCGATCCACACGGAGTCGTGCACGAAGTTGATCAGACAGGCGCGATCTTTGTAGAAGTTTTTCTTCACGAAGTGTCGAAAGAGACGGCCCAGCATCATCTGCGCCAGTTCCGCGCCGTAGCCTTGAATGGGGTAGTTCTTTATGGGTGGCAGGTTTAAGACAACATCGCGTGTGCGGAAACTCATGCGCAGGCCCGTCGGCATCTCCGCAATAAAGCAGGTCGGAAGGCCGGGGTTGTTTGGACGCAGCGCTACGGAGCGCACGATGCGGTGAAACTCTGCGATACTGGGGTACTCCTCGTTCTCCTGCTTGATGGAGGACTCCAGATCCTTGACGGAGATGCCGGTGGTCTTGTGCAGCAACGGCACGCCGGCGCCGTAGAGCCGCTGGAAAGAGAACTGCTTCGCCGTCTTGCGCAGCTTCACGTACTTTGGCACGTCTCGCTTGTAGCCTTGGTAGATCTCTTTGTACGGCAGCCCGCTAAAAAACGCCGCCCGCTTCACGTGGAAGTCGACTCCCTTATTGAGGTCTCTAGACAGGTTGGCGTCGTTGCACAAATTGGCCAGCACGACGATCTCTAATTGCGAATAGTCGACCTCTACGCAGCGGCCCTGCGCGCCGAAGCGGGAGACAAAGAGGCGCCGCACAGAGGACTTATCGTCCTTCGGGATGTTCTGACAGCTTGGGTGGGCGCTGACGGTGCGCGACGTCGTCGTGGCGGTCATGTCGATGTGCTGATGCACGCACCCGTCCGGGTGCAAAGTGGCAAGGCGGCCATCGGAGTTCGGCTGCAGGAACGACGAGACGTGGCGCTCCAGCACCTGGCGCTGCAGCAGCAGGCTGGCCGGCTTCACCCCGTGTGCGCTTAATGACGCCAGCACGGCCTCCGAGAAGACCTTGTGCTGGAGACTGGCGACCAGCTTTGAATTTTTGATGTAGGCCGAGGCGATGCCAGGCAGTCGCAGCTTGATCGCTTTGTTCTTGCGGTCCGTCGCCACAAAGCACCCCTTCGATGGGTAGCGCAGCAGCGTGTTGGCGGCGAAAGCCAGCAGCGCGTCCCGCTGCGCCACCGGGTCTTCGCCCGTCAACCCAAAAGCGTGCAATAAGACGTACCACAGCGCCCTCGTGTCCGTGATAGCCCGGTGCAGTTCCCCCTCCGGTCGCACCTTGAGGGTCGTCATGAGGCTGCCTAAGCGCAGAGAGGTCACCAACGCGTCGGCGACGTGCCGCTCCATGCGATAGGTGTTTTGGTGAGCGGCGACGTCGGAGCGCAGGGCAACGAGCATCGTGAGGGAGTCGCAGAACAGCACACCGTCCAGCTGCACGTCCGGCGCGTGTCGCTCGATCGCCCGCCGCAGCAGAGGCTCGTCCACGCCAAAAACGTTGTGTCCCACCATCACCAGCACCTCGTCTGGGTTGTACGACGCCTTGTCCAGGCGCAGGTATTCACCGATGCTGGGTGCCACCGTCTCCATCGTTGGTGCATCCCGCACCAAGGCGTTTGTGATGTGATGAATGCTGACCGTGCGCGGCGTAATGACCCGCTGCGGGTTCACTAAGGTGTGAAAGGTCGTGTTCTCCACCGGGTCAAACAGGGCGATCTCAACAATGGCGTCCGTCGCCGGGTTGAGCCCCGTCGTCTCCACATCGAAGAACACCATGCGGTACGTCTTTGTTTTCTGTGTGCCCTGCTCGTCAATAAAGCTTGCCACGCGCTGCGGGAGCTTGGTGGTGAGAGGGAGAGAGCACAGCGCTGCGTAGCGTTGCAGGTGCAGCTCGCCGACCATGCGCGTAAAGTCGCCGTACTTGTGGCACAGGTGCACCAGGTTCGACGTCCACAGCGGGTTATCGCGACTTCCGCCGTTGTATCCTAAGTTAATCGTGCCGCCGAAGAAGAGGGCGTGCGTCTGCTGCAGCGAGCGCCAGTCAAAGAGCTCGTGCATCTCCTGAGGCACCTCGGGTGGGATGTAGCCCGCGAGGGTGCGGTCCAGCACGGCCGCCGCATTCCGCAGCGACGCCGCCTGCCGCGTCGCCTCCTCGGCGTCGATGTGAATGCCGGCCCACTCCATGCTCGCCATGGCCAGCAGCGAGTCCATGCGGTGCGCCAGACTCATCATCTGGCACTGCTCGCATGAGCGGGTGAGCTGCGCGTGAAATATCTTTAAAACAACCGGCGTTGCCAGCAGGAGAAACCGGCGTTGGAAGGCAAAGGGCAGCCGGTCGTTCGCCGTCCCGACGCGCGACGCCGACGGCAGGAGGGCACCGTGGCGCAGCGCCAACTCGCCCAGGCCGTTTTTGCCCGTCACGCAGCGCTGCGCCTCGAGGAGGTACTCCGCCAGCGTCACGCACCACACGCGTCCACCGCGTTTCAGAAACTTCTGCAGCTCCACGTCTTGCCAAAGCAGCAGCAGGAACGTCTTTGCATCATGCGTGACCAGCACTTCGTAGTCGTCCAGCTTGGGCAGGCAGAACTGGCCACGGCCGCTGTAAACGCTCCACGGCTCCACCGTCCGTCCTGCGTGGTCGCTGAGGCAGGCACTCAGCACGTAGTTCTGTCGCGCTACCGGATTCATTGGCTGGGCGTAGACGACGTTGTCAGTGGCTATGAAGGACACGGCGATGTACTTCGTGTAGTGCCGTGCCTCGGCCCTCTCAGCGGCAACGCGCTTGGGGAAAGTGAAGTACTTGGCCCAGTCGGACACGTTCTGCGGAGTGGCGATGGTACTCTCCTGCGTAGGTGCCAGCTGCTCCAGATAGTTGCGCTCCTTGCTGTCCGCCAGCGCTTTCTTCTGATAAGCGCGCAGCGTGTTGCCGGCTGTGATGTAAACGTTAAACAGCAAATCCGCATCCAGCCACTTCGCGGCCTCCTTCAGCGTCTCCCAGTAGCGTGACGGGCTGGACTGGTAGGCGCCACGCATGGCCTCGCTCACCTCAGAGGCGAACACGACGACGCATCTATTCCCGCTCTTCGTGACAGCGGCGCGGCAGCGGAAGAGGGAGGCGCGGTCTGTGCGGTTGGTGGGCAGGAGGATCATGCGAGTCGAGCGGGTGTCAAAGAGGCAGGCAAGCACGTCGGAGAGCATTCCCTTGGCCGAGTAGTGCCGTCGTCGCACCGGATCCCACATCGACACGTTAAGTCCACGCGAGCCTGTCCGGACTAGATGAATCACGTACACGTCAAAGCGAGGCAGAATGTAAGCGCTCACTGTGCGCAGCGGGTCTTCTGAGGCGGCCCGGCACGCCGCCGTCCGCAGGAAGATCCAGTGCGCCTGAAACCACGTTTGAGACAACGGAGTGGGCGACACACCGGAGAAGGCGTGTGCGGTGACCTCCCGCGGCGAGGGCGGGTTGGGGCGCAGCGAGGAGCACAGCTCCAGCGTGTCGACGTGAACGACGGGCTGCAGACCGCTGGAACGAAGCATCTCGCTGAGCTTCTTCAGAGGGTCAACGAGGCTGTTGCGCTCTTGTGTTGTCTCCGCCACCGGCAGCAAAATGAACTGTGATACACCGCCGGTGTGCAGCATGATGTCGTCCGCGAGGCCCCACGCATCGGACGCGTTGGCGCCGATGTTCACCGTGCAGACGATCTTGTCTGCTGTGATCGAGTAGAGCGAAAATACCTTGGACTTGAAATGGTAGCCTACCAGAAAGATGGGCACATCGGCTGTCTTGGCATAATCCTTTTGTTGCTCCTGCACCGTCAGCGATTCCTGCTGGTGGGCCATGTCATTTTTCATACTTTCAAAGTACTCCTGCGCGCTGCGCTCAATGCCAGAATCGAGGGAGATGGACACCCGAAAGAACTCCGTGTAGTCAGCCGCCGCGTCAGACGACGGCTTCTTGCCTTTCATGAGAGCCGACTGCGCCTTGACGAGGGACTGCATGGTGCAGCTTCCGCGCAGCGACTGCCCCAGAACGCGTTGCCATCGAGCTCGCAATTGGCGACGCATGACGAATTAAAAGCCTCGCAGCGTTGGAGACAGCGAGGGTAAGAAAAGGTCGTCGTGGGCGTTTGTACGGAAATCTGCCCGAGGCCGTCTGCACCGGTGAGAAGAGAGGAGCAACAAGATTTAAAAAGAAAAGAGTTTGTGTGAAGAGGAATGTATGGTTGTCTATCTACGCCGTAAACGGCTATCCCGTGGGACGAGCGAGAGGGGAGCTGCTTTACGAGCAGGCGTGTGATTATGCGGGAAAGATGGGGGGTGAAAACGCATGGAATGCGCGTGCAGCGGCCGCTCGGGGGAGGGGAGAAGAACGAACAAGTACGTGCCGACACCAGTGCTGTACAGAAACACCTCTATGCATTCTGGTCCACAAAACCGAAGAAAAGATAACAAGAGAGCAGTGGAAATAAGAGATGAGGTGCAAAGTAGAAACACAGCCGTAGCAAGACGCTTCTCAGCGATCCGTAAAATAAAGGTGGGGAGCGTCTGGGCAGCAAACGATGTGAAGCTCCCTCGCCGAAGAGAACAACACTGACGCCATCACTTCTACCCGTGCGTCGATGACCGACGCTTCGTACCAATACGTGGTCGGTACATTTTCTTTCATTGTTGGCTTCGTCGATTTGGAGAAGCCGCAACTGAATTGTATCCGCAGGGTCTATTCTTCGTTTTTCCACACAGTAGACGCGGTAGTTGAGCCTCCGCAAAAACAGAAAAGGCGAATGGAAAATAAATTAGTAAGTAGGCATTCCGTTATAGATAGATATAGATATATCGATAGATAGATAGATCCACTTCTCGATGCATCGCGCGTTGCGCACGTCCCACATTTCGCTCGGTCAACCTCCCGAAAAACAACGTTTGAATGAGACGTGAGCGGTTATTGCAGTAATGCTCGTAGTAGAGTGAGTGCTGCGCTTGAGATTAAGATGAGGATAATAATAAATAAGACAGGAGACAAATACCAGTAATCAATGAAAAGAATTAATTAGGAGCGCCGGCACATCGCCTTCCTTTTGCATGATGACCAACACGGATCTACAACACTGACCAGCACGGTGACGCCTCGCCCTTTGTCTGACTCCCATTAAAACGCCAGCTTCACCACTAAGGCACGAGTGACCACGAGTATGTCTGGAGTTCCACACTCCGCTTCAATGCAGAAGTAAAATAACTATGGCGTCACGAGACACGAATAGCATACAGCAACAGGCACTTCCTAGTCCTCCTTGCGCAGGTAGCGGCGCTCCAGGTACTCGCGGAAGTACTTCGGGTTCAACGGCTCGCCGGTGGCCTTCTTGATCAGATCCTCCGTCTCAAGCATGCAACCGTTGGCCCAGATCTTCTCCTTCTGCTTCGAAAGAATGGGCTCCAGGTTGCCGGTGCGGATGCACTTGTCCACCGTGTCCTCGCCGAGCTCCTTCTTGATCGTCGCCATCAGCTGCACCGCGAACATCGACCCAAGCGAGTACGTCGGGAAGTACCCAAAACAGCCTTGTGCCCAATGGATGTCCTGCAGGCACCCGATGTCGTCGCGGCCCTCCGTGTCCAGGCCAAGGTACTCCTTCATCTTCTCGCTCCACACACGCGGGATGTCATCCACCTCCATCGTGCCCTCGATCAGCGCACGCTCGATCTCGTACCGCAGAACGACGTGCAGCGGGTAGCACACCTCGTCGGCGTAGATGCGGATAAATCCAGGCTTCACCGTCTGGTTCATCAGACGCACGTTCTCCACCGTGAAGGCGGGCTGATCACCGAGGTACTCCTTCAAGATGGGTGTGATGAACTCGGCGAAGGCGCCGGAGTGACCCACAACCACCTCGGCAAAGCGCGACTGACTCTCGTGGATGCTGAGAGAACGCGCGTTGCACACCGGCTGGCCGCGCATCGCCATCGGGCCGCAGCCCGTCTCGTAGCGGGAGTGGCCGGTCTCGTGGATCGTTGCGAACATGGCCTTCGTAAAGTCCTCCTCGTCGTAGTGGGTGGTGATGCGCGTGTCCTCCTTGCCCATACCGGTGAAGGGGTGAGGAGCTTCATCCAGACGGCCCGCCTCGAAGTCGAAGCCCCACACCCTCATGAGGTGGTGGCCCAGCGCCTGCTGCTTGTCCTTTGGGAACGGCGCCTCGGGAGCGATCGCTTCCACACCCGAGTCTTTCTGCGCCGCCAGAATCTTCTGCAGCAGCCCCGGCAGCCACGACTTCACATCGGAGCTGTACCTGCTAGCGCTTTCCGATGCTCATGAGACGAACACCTCGACGGTGGATACGCGAAGCTTCTCGCTTCCCATGTGCTGATGTTGTGTGTTTTATCGTCTTTTTTATCTCCCTTTGCACTTATACGTTCTTCTTCGTCGACCACACTTATCCTCGCGAAAACGAAAGATGAGTTGTCGAAACAGGAAGAATTGTTCTACTAAAAAAACGGACATGCAAAAGACATTCGTGTCAACAGAGGCTTGTGCGTCGCATCAGCAGCAAAATAAACCCGTTTAAGTGTATCGCAGCGAATGCGCTTCGTAAAAGAGAACGAGGAGGGGCACCAGCGGGGTCTGCGGCTTCCGTCTGCACCGCACCGCGCACTCCCCTCGCTCAGTTTTCTACCGGTCTCCTTCCCCCCTCTCCTCTTTGCCGCTCCTTCACGGAATTGTCACACCTGTTGCTTGTTGTCACTTACCCAATAATTATATTAATAATAATAATTTGCTGCCGTTTCCCAAACGCCCTTTACGCCAACACGCGACAGTGTCAAACACCGCGTTATCGTTTCTCAAAACCCTCGCCACAACTCACTGTTTTTTTTTTTCAACACTTCTCTTTGTCTGCTTCAGCGATGCACGCCTACAAGCAACTCGAGAAGATGTGCACGACGGTGTACAACTTCAGTCACCTTCTCGCCCTCGGTGGGTGGGACTCGCAGGCGATGATGCCGCCGAAGGGTGCCGCGGCACGTGGGGCGGCGATGGGCGAGCTCTACGGCCTCATCGCCTCCACCATTACTGCCCCGGAGACGAAGACGCTGCTCGAAGAGGCGGAGGCGGTCAAGGCGGAGCTGAGTCCAGAGCAGCAGGCGAACCTGCGCGAAATCCGTCGCCGCTATACCGCGGAGTCGGCGCTGCCCAACGAGTTCGTCACGCGCAAGGCGGTGCTCGTCTCGACGGCGCCCACCATCTGGGCGAAGGCCCGAAAAGAGAACGACTTCGCTGCCTTCCTGCCGACGCTGAAGGAGCTCGTGAGGATGGGTCGTGAGGAGGCGCGGCTTCGCTCTGCCGCCACCGGCAAGACCCTGTACGAGGCGCTCTTTGATCAGTTCGAGTGCGGCATGACACTTGCGACGCTCGAGCGCATCTTTGAGTCCTCCTTGCGCAGGTAGCGGCGCTCCAGGTACTCGCGGAAGTACTTCGGGTTCAACGGCTCGCCGGTGGCCTTCTTGATCAGATCCTCCGTCTCAAGCATGCAACCGTTGGCCCAGATCTTCTCCTTCTGCTTCGAAAGAATGGGCTCCAGGTTGCCGGTGCGGATGCACTTGTCCACCGTGTCCTCGCCGAGCTCCTTCTTGATCGTCGCCATCAGCTGCACCGCGAACATCGACCCAAGCGAGTACGTCGGGAAGTACCCAAAACAGCCTTGTGCCCAATGGATGTCCTGCAGGCACCCGATGTCGTCGCGGCCCTCCGTGTCCAGGCCAAGGTACTCCTTCATCTTCTCGCTCCACACACGCGGGATGTCATCCACCTCCATCGTGCCCTCGATCAGCGCACGCTCGATCTCGTACCGCAGAACGACGTGCAGCGGGTAGCACACCTCGTCGGCGTAGATGCGGATAAATCCAGGCTTCACCGTCTGGTTCATCAGACGCACGTTCTCCACCGTGAAGGCGGGCTGATCACCGAGGTACTCCTTCAAGATGGGTGTGATGAACTCGGCGAAGGCGCCGGAGTGACCCACAACCACCTCGGCAAAGCGCGACTGACTCTCGTGGATGCTGAGAGAACGCGCGTTGCACACCGGCTGGCCGCGCATCGCCATCGGGCCGCAGCCCGTCTCGTAGCGGGAGTGGCCGGTCTCGTGGATCGTTGCGAACATGGCCTTCGTAAAGTCCTCCTCGTCGTAGTGGGTGGTGATGCGCGTGTCCTCCTTGCCCATACCGGTGAAGGGGTGAGGAGCTTCATCCAGACGGCCCGCCTCGAAGTCGAAGCCCCACACCCTCATGAGGTGGTGGCCCAGCGCCTGCTGCTTGTCCTTTGGGAACGGCGCCTCGGGAGCGATCGCTTCCACACCCGAGTCTTTCTGCGCCGCCAGAATCTTCTGCAGCAGCCCCGGCAGCCACGACTTCACATCGTTGAACACGCGGTCCACCGTCTCGAGCGTCATGCCGCACTCGTACTCGTTGAAGAGAGACTCGTAAAGCGGCTTGCCCGTCTTGGCGGAGCGGTGCTGCGCCTCCTCACGACCCATCCTCACGAGCTCCTTCAGCGTCGGCAGGAATGCGGCGAGGTCGTTGCTGGCGCGGCACTTCGCCCAGAGCAGGCGGGCCGTCGTAGAGACGCCGGCGTTGCGTTGCACAAAGTCGCTCGAGAGGGCCGAACGGGCATCGCAGCGGCGCCGCATTTCTCTCGCAGGTTTGCCCGCTGCACCGCGCTCAGCCCCGCCACGTCAGCCGCCGCCGCCGTCAGCCACACGTCCACCTGCGGGTCGATCAGCAGGTCTTGTACGTACCCGTTGATCCCCGGCAGCGCGTTGCCGCGCGCCTCCGCACCCTTCGGCGACATCATCACACTCAAGTCTCAATACACCAGCATCTGCAGGTGCTGCAGGCGGTAGAGTCAGAAGAAATGTACCTCCAACTCCTCATACGCGGTGCGGCTGGGCATGACGTCGGAGACAACCAATAATGAGAAGAGCGCGTGGTTCTGCTGCGAGGCGGGAGAGTCGACGTGGGGAGCAGGGAAATGGGAAAAAAAAAACTGCGAAAGCCGCAAACACAACTTTTCCTTCACGTAAGAGAGAGAGAGGTGTTAGCGATGCAGCGAAGGAGGAGGGATGGGGAGCTAGAACTCTTGGGGCTGGGCAAAAGCGACGACGAGCGACGGACGGCGAAAAGGCGCCGACGGTTCGTCACTTCCGGCGCCGCATGAATAAAGCCGTGTCGGCTGCACCGCAATATCGATGCCCGAGCCAGTTGAATCAGCAGGTCTCTTTTACCTAGCATGCGCTACACCCTTCACGGTGTTGCACTCTTCAGCACAGGAGAGGGACATGCGGTGACGCCGCTTAACGCGCAGACAGCGACAGTTGTAGAAATTTAACCAACTACAAAAGAAAAACTGGTCAACGAAATAAGTATTAGAAAACTATGACACAAGCAGCGTGTGTGCACCCGCAGCCGTGCGACAGGTACGTGTGACGCTTTGGGCCCCCTTTCACGCTGTGGCACAGTACGGGATACTGCGTTAGTCAACCGAGATCGAAGAAACCCCCGCAAGAAAATGCTGCACTCGCACCACTGTTGTGCTCCACGTGCGGATGCACGAGGCTACTCCTGAACAAATGTATTCCATTGCGGAGAAATGCTCGGACCCATTCGCCAACAGAAATAAGCTGCAGCGCAACGCAACCCGGAGCTGCCGCCTTTAGCCTCGTCGCAGCCACGCAACACACTCATACGTGGATAGAGTTTATTTCCTTTCTATATGCATCGCGTTGGGTGGTGTCAGGGACGGTCTAGCGTATTAATGGAAGAGCTTAGCGTATGAGGCAGCCGAATTTAGTACACCAATCCATTTTATTCTTCTTCCTGTCATGGGTTTCAGCGGGTCGTCGTCGACGCACCTCTGTACAACTCCGTCCATGCGATGCTCTACTAGAGGACAGCGGAAAGGAGCAGCCCTTTCCAAGCAAGGCCGAACACGCGTACGTCTAGCGCGGTTTGTCGTGGCGTCTTTCAGCGGCGGACTTCGTGGGGAAGGGGAAAAGGAAAAATGAATAGAAACTCGAAAAAATGTGTATATTTTGCGTGGACTCAGTACGGAAGCACCCCAGCTTATTGAGTCGGTCTTTCTCTTGCATTCCATCCTTGCTGATCTGCCAAACACCGCAGTGATCGACAGAGAAGGGAAACGGAAACGAAGAGAACATACGGGCACCGTTCGAAGTGCTTGTGAGAAAGCAGCGGAGGAGCGGAGACACCGTCGTCAAGGGACGATATAAGTAGCAGTAAGAAGTGGGGCCAAATGAAATAAAAAGGCTGAATACAAAAAAAAAAGAAGGCAGATACATCCTCGGCCACCATCCATCAAGAGACAACGAAGATACTCTTTGCAAAACAACCACCGCACCGGAAATGCGCAGACGAACAGTAAAAAGCGGGGACGGAAGAACAACGGAAAAAAGAGAAGACACATCGCGTGTAACCGCCCAGACCAAAGAAATAAGAGGTGAAAGAGTTCAAAACACGCATCGATGAGCATCGTGCGAGCCCACTTGCACGGAGCTGGGTGCCGCTGCAAAACAGCTGCATCCATTCTCTGTTTGCTGATATTGGACACTTTGTGCGGATATATGTCTGCGTGTACGAGTGTCCATTTTCTTGTCCCTGCAGCTTAAAACGCGGTGCACCCCTGATTGTCTTTCTTCGGCGTTGCCTTTGCCCGCTTGGGGTCGATGGGCCACCGCCGTTCTCGTATTTCGTCCGAGCGTGACTTCTCCTGCAGTGGTGTGGTCGTGGTCGCAGAGTCGCGTCTACGCGGCGGGGCGGCCGTGGGGGTTGTCGCCTCGTGTGTTGGCGTCGTCGGGTTTTGGGGTGAAGACTGCGGGGTGCCGCGGCTGCGCGGCGGGTCCGATGGGACGTTGTGGGCGCGGCTGTGCAGGGGGCTGAGGGGCGGCGAATGCGTCGGTGGGTGCATGGGGGAGGGCACGCCGCCCGGCACCGCGGCCGCCCCGCCGCCGTCCCCCCTGTCTCCTCGCGCGGCGCCCACAGCGCGCGTGCGTTGGAACTTGACGCGCACCGACGACGCCTCTTCGCTGATTGCGCAGCGCTGCGACGGTGAAGTCGGGCAGCCCATCACTACCGCCACCTCCTCTTTGCTGTTGGTGGTGGTGGCGCCGCGGTGGCTGTGCATCCCGTCGTGCTCCGAGGCGCTGCTAACGACGGAGATGCGGCCGGTGGTGAGGCTCGGCGTGCTCTCCGTGCTGAAGCCGCGGGGCGCACGCTTGGGGGTGAGGTGCTGCGCAACGGTGGCGGTGAAGAGCAGCACGTCTTGCTCGTCTGTAGGTCCCCTCTGTGCTGCCGTGGCAGCGCGCAGACACGTCAGCAAGCTATCGTGCCAGCCGAAGAGCTCCAAGGCAACGCAGAAAACGATCTCTTCGTACACGACGGTGGCGCCCTCCTCTCCCATCCACGCGGTGCAGCGGGCCACGACACGCGCCACAACATCTCGCACCTGCGCTTTGCACTCCTTAAAGAAGTCCGCCGTGCGTTGGTGCAACGCAGCCGCCCAACACGTCATTGCCGTCATCAAGTGAAAAGACGTGACGGCCCCCTCCAAAGAGACGGAGCGGCGCACGCTGCGCACCATGCACGCCGCTCCCCATTCCATGTTCGCCCGCTTCGCGGCGGCCCACAGGTCCGTGTAGTCCTCAATAGTCGCCGGGCGCGCATCGAGCGCACTAGCCAGCTGATACGCATCGAAGAGGCGGTCGAGCGAGGCTGCAGAGTCCTGTACCAGAAGACCGCCCCACTCACGGGAAAAACTGTTAAACGAAGTCGACGCCATCGCGCGTCGGCGGAGAGGAAAATAATAGTAAAACAGGGGATACGTCAATATAGAAATAAAGCAAGGGCGAAATTACGGTGGGTCGAATTCACAGCGGAAGAGGGAAGACAGGCACCGATGACGGAATGCCTTCTGCGTTGAAAGGTATTTCTATTCGTCGTTAAAGCAGTGCTTCGACTTATGAAAAAAAAAGATGGAAACAGACAAACGAAGCGGAAATGAACGTCGCACAAAATTGAAGTCCAATTTTGTGCTTTGGTGCTGCTGCAGCCTCTGCCTTCCTCGAATGGTCCACCTCCGGGCTACGATCAACGCAACGATCGGAGACAGTGCGACGCCGCGGACCACAGTGAAGAAGAAGCGCAATGTACGACCGCACAATCACAAAGACGCGCGAGAGAAGTCCGCAAATCGGCTCCCGCAGATACATAGAAGAAGAAAAAAAGAAAACGAAGGCAGTGGCGAAGACAAAAAATAGAGAATCGAATAATCGCGCCTCCGCAAGCAAAGGAAAGACGAAAGAATCGACACCGCGAAGACACAACAACCGCAACTTAGAAAGAAAGAACGTATCGCGACACAAGCCGATCCCTCCCAGCGAGAGAGGAGCGAAGGATGCCGCAGTTCCCTACCACCGCGCAGTGGTGCGCTTCCGCAACACGCGACTGCACTATAAACACGTCTTCACAAATAAATAAGTAAAACGCAATCTTAGTCACCGCCGCGAGACGTTTGAGTGATCTCCAATACTTGAAAGCACGTTCGCGATGCGTGAAAAACTAAAACACGAAAGGTTAATTGTCTGCCTTCTACTGTTCTGCCGCTCTGAGACTCTCCACCGGTGAAAATGGTGGTGCCACGCTCACACACACACACACACACACGCACAACAGTGCAGTCTCACGGCGGAGAAAGAAGAAGACACAGCTCGTCAGTTTGAGAGAAAAGGAAAACGGGAAAACAAAAAAGGCCGCTGAACAAGCTACACGAGTTTTTTTTCTTTTGATTCGAAGAGGGGAAGAGAAGGAGGATGCAGAACAGGGTTCGAGTCAGCACACACGTATATCAACCTAACCGGACGCGCAGTGAGCCGGGGAGAATAATTGCGCTCGATGAGGAAAGGATACGACGGAATACCCCCACAAGCGTGAGTTCCAGCGCGTGCTACGTACACTGCGGACAAGTAGTTGAGGCCAACAGCACTAAATCGGAGGGTCAGCAATAACACGCTCTACCGCTCTGACGTCAGCCGAGAAGACAACGCAGAAGCTTTACAAAAACATAAAAGGACGAGGCAAAGCCTAAGGAAAAAACCCGCGTGTAGGATGGCAGGTGAGAGAAACCGTCTACTGATGAAAGCCGAGGAGGAACTATACAAAGATCTGGAACGAAAGAAAGCGAAGGAAGCGAAGGAAACGATGTTTATTAAAAAGGAGAACAAACAACAATAGTGTAATGCTGTTGAGAAAACCAAGCGCTGCGCACACTGGTAGCGGCCACCGGTCCAGAGATGTCAGTGCAAATCAAATTATGAAATACATAAAAATGAATGAAGGTATAAGCATAGTTGCTACGTGAAAGAAGGACGTGTTCAGTGTTGCACACAGATGAAGAATGGAGGAGAGGAGAAGCAAGGGGAGGAAATGGAGATGATGCCCCGCAAGAAGTAAGAGCAGAAGAAGAGCACATCTGCACCGAGGAGTTGCGAACAGCTCAATGCGACGGTACAGCAGCGGTCAACATCCACGCACACTCTCCGCGAAATTGACCACTCAAGATCGGCCAGCACGTGTCATGAAGAAAGGAACACTTCTCTTTCCCATAAAGGCAAGGCAAGTACCATGCGGTGGCGCTTTCCAGTATAAAAAAAAAAACGTGAAAGTCGAAAACCTTGCCGCATCACAAACGCCGCTCAGCTGCGGAGTTGAGCTCGCACAGTTTGACGGCTGATGCTATGTGTTACTGCGTTTGCCTGAAGCATATTTTTTTTTGATCTTGTAAACAACGCTCCACCTCTCTTCGGTGTGCGTCCCTCCTCTTCGCCATCGATGGCAGGAGGTGCGCACACCGCGGCAACGAAAGCCGAAAGTCAAACGCCTCGCCACAACGCCTTCCACCTCTCAAAAAGGGGAAAAGGAAAAGAAAGGAGATGCGCACCGCCCTTCACGCGCCGATCCACTAAGTACGTGCTTCTCATTGTTGTTGTTGTTTTTGCAGGTGCACTTTGGTGCTTTCGCAACGAGGAGAGGAGAGGAGGGAGAAGATGAGAAACTACTGGAGAGGGCGGCTGTCCTCGGCCTCCTTCTTCTTCTCTGCAGACGTCTTGCCCACATCAATCTGTGCCGCGGCCGCAGCCGGGCTGATCTTCTGGAGCCGCTCCACGTCCTCCACCGCCTTCATGTAGGCCTGCGCCTCCTCCTGCCGCTTCGTCTCCAGCCGCATCGCCTGCTTGTCCACGAACTTTCGCAGCGCGAAGAGGTCCTTCTGACGGCGCCAGCAGCGCAGCATGCCGTAGAGGGAGCCCGCAGTGACGGAGAACCAGAAGATGACGTACATGGAGTGCACCACCGGTGTTAAATGAACGTAGGTCACCTCGTCCACTTCACGGCGACGCGGCCAGGCGTGGCCACGCACAATGCGCTGATCATCGCCGGAGAAGTCCTCCAGCATCTCCACGAAGTAATGGTGCACGCCGTGCTTCTTCACGCTCTCCTCGAGGTGGTCGGGGCCCCAGCGCTTTTTATAGTACGCTATCGCCATGTTCCACGGCCGCATCGCCAGCCACGAAAGGTCCACCGCGACGGGGCCTTCGTTGTCAGGGCTCGGGCCCCAGAAGAGCGAGCCGCCGAGAAACTCCTCCTTGCGAAGAATACCGCGCACCTGGGCAGGCGCGAAGCCTTCGCCGATGTACTGCATCAGCATCGTGCGGTGCTTCCCGGCGTCGATGGGCACCCAGCCGCGGTTCACCATCACAAAGTCACCGGTGTTCGCAATTTCGAACGGCGTCATCACGAGAAAGCCGCCGCGGCTTTCGTCTTCGTTGGCCGCTCCCTTGTAGGACGGGATGGACCGCGGCCCGACCAAGCAGGAGCCCTCGTTGTCGAAGGAGCCGTCCAGCTTAACGCGCCGAAACTCGCAGTCGTTGACGGTGGAGTGCGGGGGCGGCAGCGAGTCGAGGGGGTCCTTGTTCAGGTTTTTGTGGTTCTCCAGCAGCTGCCGCTTCTGTCCTCGTCGGAAAATCTGCCAAATGCCAGCGTTGAAGGACATCACGCTGGTGCAGAGGAACATAATCCCCATGTAGTCTGGCCGCATGATTGCTGAGTTGTGTTGATGTTGCTAAGGCAGCCACGGGAAAGAAAGGGCAGAGGAAGCCGCAGATGTGCGTGCTCGAAAGTGCAGCGAAGGCACGTGCGTGAATGTGTGTGTGTAAGGGGTGGGAGAAGACTCCACAGCAGCGTACACGCAGCGGGGGAAGGGGGGGAGGTGTTAAGTCCTATGTTGTGAGCAACCGATGGCCGACGCACACGCACACGCGATGAGGACCTCTCGGAAGGCTAAAATGCGCTGATGTACTTCGATGGTGGTGGTGAAGTCAGCGGTGGTGCGCAGTGTTGTTTAGTTCCGTTTCCCCGACAACAGAAAAGTGCATGGGGCGACATTTGAAAGAAGTAGAAGGAAGGAAAAGACGCCTCCTTTTCCAGAAGACCTCGTGAAGGAAGATCCTTTTGTGGAGAACTTGCAGAACTGGCGTGCAACGGCCGATACGCCAAAATGCTACGTCTCTATGGACCAAATAAAATTCATACACGGTCATTCAAAGAGCTCCGAGGCCGCTTGCGTAGCGCGACATCGCTTTGTTTACCGTTTTTATTTCTACGCTTCTCGATCTTGTGCATCGCATCAACAGGTGTATAATGGACGAGAAAGTACACAGAACGAACAAGTAGAGGATGGCGTCGTTTTTCTTTTCTTTAGAATAGTGGACTTCACACGTACACAACAAGCGCCTCTCTCTCTCTCTCTCTATATATATATATGTATATGATGTCATGCGCTCGACGTGGCAGGCGGGACACCGGAAGAGCGCAGATGCGGCTCCACCTCCGTGTATAACCGCTTCATCTCGAAGAAGTAACTGCGCGACTCCTCGACCGCCTCTGCGTACACGTCGCACTTCTCCCGCAGACGATGCAGCTCCGCGTAGAGCGCGAGCACCTGCGCGTCCTTGTCCATCTTCTCAATCGATTCGCAGCACATCGCTGCCTCTGCGGTGTTGTGGTCGCCCTCGCTCTGCCACTGCAGGCGGTGCGAGCGCTCCTCTTCTAGCTTGCGCTGCAGCATCGCATTCTCGGCTTTCAAAAGTTGATTTTGTCGTCGCAGGTCGTTGAACTCTTTCCATTCCTCCGGGGTCAGCGCAGGACTGCTGCTGGGGCTCGCAGAGGCAGAAGACGCTGCTATTGCTGGTGGTTGGGGTGATGATGATGATGACGTGTCCATGGCGAAGACGCGATAAACTGTGTGTAGGGGGTGCGTGTGAGCGAATGCGGTCTTTGGCGTCGAGTATTCTCGTACTGACAAGATTAGAGAAGGTGAAACGATGTTTTTCCTCTTGAGTCTTAGGTGTGGAGTTCGTGGTGCTTCTAGTAGTTCCGTTACATTGAGCTTCGAGGGGAAATGCCAAGGAAGTCACACACGAGAAGAATCGCCAACGAAGAAGATGAAAAGATGCAGCGGACGCATGGACACAAGACGGGTCAACGGCACTGCATCTGCGTAGCTCTCCATATGCACTACACCAAACGAGGCTGATTGACTCCATCGTCATCCGCCTCCCACAAGGACATCGGTATTGCTCTCCGCCATACATTGCCACGTGACTTTCAGCCCTCATATTTGAAGACTTCCGCGCGCACAATGGCGTCGTGTGCTCCCCGACTCTCGACACGGCTTCGTTTTTCTTTCAAACCCTGCTTTGGTATCAACGACACACAACAGCTACAAAAGAATTCACTGAAGAGAAGGGAAATGAAACAGCAAAAGAGAAGAGTCGAGGACAGCACTCATCAAAATAAAGGTTTTGTCTGTTCGTTGATTTGGAAGATTCGTGAAGCGAAGAAGGACCAAATTGGTAAAAATAAAAAGCGAGAGGAGTAACTCTCTTTGAAGGAACAAAAAAGCGCTGAAGTTGTTGTCCGCGTTTGTCGCGGTGAGTCGCTCTGCCGTGCAGACACCAGCACGCACGCACGCACAGATTTCTATCGTTGTGCTTTTGGCGGATGCCTGCACTTAAAATCCGTCATACTTTTAAAGCGTCACAGTCGCGTTCGTGCATTTCGCTGGAGCTTTGTACCGGACAGCGGCTTCGTCAGAGACAACGCACCCTGAAGAAGAAATAAATACGCGGACGAGCGTCCATCACAAAAGAAGTTGATTCGTCAAGTTGAAGTTGGAAAGCAACAAAGGAAGATCAGCAAAAAAAAAAAAATAAGACGAAAACAAATTTCTGACCGTTCACCACGCAGGAGGGAGGAGGGGATGAACCACGGCAATCACACCATCGTACACCGGCACTCACGGGGGGGAGGGGAAAAGGTGTCTGCTTTGTTCTTCCCGGTGCTGTGGAGAGCAGAGGAGCACGCCTTCGCTTTCAAATACACTCACAACAAGAGGTAAATTCTGTTCCTCGCTGGGAGATGAAGTCGCACAACGTAAGGAGATCTAGAAGAGGCTTTTTTGTTGGTTCGTCCGACCGGGGTTGTAGTGAAACCAAAAACGTTTTACAAGAAAAAGAAGGTAGTTGGCAATAATAAAAGAGAAAACAAGTACATGTACGACTTGGCTGATTCAATGTGAAGACAGCACAGTAATGCTATTCCTTGGTGAACGCCTTGCGCAGCGGCAGCTGACAACCTTCACGCCACCAGAGAGCCCAGTGCTGATCTTTTGCCAAAGTCTCGTATCTGTATTGTCCTCTATCTGTTGGGAGAACCACGTTTCTTCCTTTACCAAAGAAGAAGGAGAAGAAAGAGAGGCGAGCGAAAGGAGTGGACGTATTCGCGTAATCATAAAACAACAAACAACAATAACGGAGAAAACCAAACAAGCAAAAAAGTGTTGTTCAAAATTGACATTAAGCACGAAAGCGCCGTTCGCACCACCGAAGCCTCCGCGAGGAACCTTCGTGGGAGTGTCGCAGCGGCAAAACAAAGAGAGAAAAAAAAACGCGACCGCAGAAAGTAAAAATAATCCGCACTAACAAAAAAAAAATCGGAACGTCCGGCGGTTTGTGTCTCCGGTAGAAGAAAAAACGCTCCCGTGTCGACGCCGCCCCGTGCATCTCCGTTTCCGTCGCTTTCATCGAAGTTGCTGCATCGACAACTCGAACACGAAAGAAGGGGCAAGAGGAAGAAGAAGTCAACGAGCATCGCAAAAGGACCGGATCAAGCACGACAGGTAATGATGCGTCCGATGAGGCCGAGATGGCACGGTTGTTACTTGAAACCTTCACCAGCGCCACTGCGCAAGCAAACACGCACGCACAATACCAAACCCTCTGCCAAGCTCTCCTTCCTGCATCCTTTCCACCAATGCGCTCCGTTTTATGCGGCACTCCGTGACCGTTGGATGCAGGCGTACGAGGAGGCGACGACATGCGGTGTAACAGGCATATATATATACGTATGTACGTGGGGCGCACCGCACCGTCTCACTCCGCCCATCCAAGTGAGAAAACAAAATCGAATGCACCTGCTTATGTATCGCGCGCCGTGCGGAGCAGAGCGCAGCTAAGAAGAATCACCGCCACGGCAAACGCCACCCTTTGCGCTTTCGCACAGTTGGACGGAGTCGCAGGGGCACCTGACGGCTTCGACGGCTCGGGGGATGCCGCTGTGTACGACGTGGTGGAAGATGAGAGGGAGTCGTTCAGCCCTGCAGCGGTCGTGGCGGAGAGCGTGCGGGGAGGGGAGAGGTTCGTCACGCCGCCAGAGTCCTCGGAGAACTCGGTGCCCCCGAGCGACCCATCGATCCCGCCGCAGCGGCACGAGGCGGAGAGCACCACCGCGGCCAACAGCTCGTGCAGCACGCGATGCTCCTCTGCGGTGGGCACGTCCGGCTCCCGCTGACCGGTCAGCACCGGCTTCGCCACCATCGGCACGTCGTCGCCGTCGGTGTAGCCGGTGGCATGAAGGGACGACGCGTTGGTGAGGCTGCGTGGGATGAAGAAGTGGCGGCCTCGCACCGTGACGTGGGTGAGCGGCTCCGTTGCAGACATCTCGCAACGAAAACAGGAGAAATAAAAAAAGCAGAAGCAATGAAAAAAAAAGGAATCGCTAAAACCAAAGAAATGCGGTGCTCTGATTGCGGAGTTGGCGAAACCAGCGAAGCGTTCCACACCGGAAATGCCACGCACGCACACGCACTCTTGTGAATCAGCAAAGGAGAGGAGATCCAACACGAAGAAGACTGGAAGACATTTAAAGCGGCAGAATACCGTTGTTACTACTCACGTACGGAGAACGGTTTATGGTGTGTGGGTGAGGAGGGCGGAGGGGGGAACGATGAGAGACCGAAAGAACGAAAAGGAGAAACGAGTGAGATGGGTGGAGACACGTTCACTGGGAGAGTTTTGCTGCACCCTGTGGCCGTAGCGAAAGGCGTGTGCGTGTCGTAAAAGCCAAGCGCACCACCGTGTGAGCAAGGCGGGGAACTGTTGGAGGCTGACAACGTCATCGCCTCGCTGTGCATCTCCGCAGGAATCCCTCACGTTTAACGGCGTAATTGTGCAGGGTTGTACTCTAAAGAGGAAGATAACCATAAAACAAAAACACGCTTGCTCCAGGACGAAGAAAGGGCTTTCTGAAGCAGTAATGCGCACGTCGTGAACAAGGCGGTGGATGTCCGGATAAAAGGCAAAGGAAAAAGACCTACAATAACGACAGCAGTGGTGCTCAACATACATCGCGCGCGCGGTCATTTTTAGACGGCGCAAGGGTTTTAGTTACGAATGCACCTCAAAGCGGAATAAGACCAAATAGAAAAGCGCTGGTGAGTTGACCGAACACGGTATCTGAGCCGTGTGTCCATCGAGGAGGACGGTGCAGCGTCAAAACGAAAGAGAAGGGAGAAAACGATCAAGTGAGCGTGAGGGTGCCACACAAAAACCGAAGGGAATCCGTCCTCCATTCGCGACTGCGCCTGCGCCGTCCGCTCACGGTCGCGGTGACTTGTTCCTCTTCGAAGCCCACGAGCTCAGCGTGTCCGTCTCGTTCACCACGAGCCGCCGCAGCTGCATGTTCTGCTCGTCCACTCGATCCGCGTACGACGTCACCAACTCCAAGTGCCGCTGCATCCACTCCATCAGGTGTGCGGCTAGGTTCAGGCGTGTCACCTTCACCGGGCAGCCGTAACGCGAGTACGGGCAGACCACGCCGCCGTCCTCCTCCTCCGCGGCGGTGGGGGATGGGATGCCGTCCACGGACGCGGCATTCCAGCGACGACCCGCCGCCGGAGCGCGTTGGGAGGAGGGCCGGTCAACAAACGACGCGCTGCTCTGCAGCTGCGTGGTGGAATTATTTAGTGAGTGCGCACGGGTGTACTTCTGGGTGGTGCCGACGTCTTCTCCAACGGCCTCGAGCATCGCGTCGATATCCTCTTCCTTTTGAAAGTAGTGCATAGAGGACGCGCGCGAGGGCGAGGATCGCGGGCTCGGATCACGCGGGCTGCGCTGCGGTGTGCAGTTGGACAGCGACGACGCGGCGGCATCGCTGGCCGCATCCGCCAACATGAAGAATTCACTTCCGCCGCCCGCACCACCGCCGGCACCGCCGCTACCGCAACCGGGCGACACGCGACCCGGCGAGGAGAGCTGCAGGTTTGGATTGCGCAGGCAAGTGACCACGTGCGCGTGAAGCCGTCGCTTGCGGAAGAACTGCAAACAATACGGACACGTCACCTTCATGGCATCACAGTTCTGCTCGTGGGCCGCCACCGTCTGCCGGGACTGCCAGCTGCCACAGTAGCGGCACTTCACCTTGGCCTCTGCGCACTCCTGCGACGTGTGCTTCTCCATTAGCTGGCGCGGCACTATCGCCCCGCAGGCCGCACATCGCGTCGGCACGCGGGTGCAGCGGCGGAAGTGGCTGCTGAGGTCACCGCGAAGCATGCGCTCGTTGCAGTGCGGGCAGCGCATGGGGGCATCCTTGCACTCCGCCATGTGCGTCTCGAGCTCTTGTTTGTCGAAGTCCTGCCGACAGTGCGGGCAGAGCACCAGCTGACGCTTGCACACGTGCCGATCGCCGATGAAGATGGGCTGCCCACACATCTTGCACGGGATCGGCTTCACGCCGTTGTTCGGGTTGGCCGGCCCCTTCAGCTCCTTGATCCGGTCGGCGTAGCGTAGGGAGTTGAGGGTGTCCTCGCAGTGGCTCTGGCACGGTGAGATGGTCGCAATCACGCACGTCTTGCAGCGGCCCACGAAGCTCTCCCGGAGGATCTGCGTCAGCTTCGACCCGCGAAAAGGGATGTGCCGCTTGCGCATCGACATGGCGCGGATGCACTCCTTCAACGCTAAGAGGGACTTATTGATCTCCGCGCCCTCGCGGCGCGTCCGTGCGTCCGTCTCGGCCGTATCGGAGGCCCGCTCACTCCCCGCGAGGTCCACAAACGTGATGCGGCCCTGCTGCTGCCCGTCCCCGCCGTCCGTCACCGTCAATTTGATCTCCAGCACCGCGTGGGAGCGCGAGCTGCGGTCGTTGGCGTGCGTCGTACCGATGGCACGCAGCTGCTGCCCGCTCGTCATCAACGCGTTCACATCGTCGACGGAGCGGACGGGCTGCTCGGTGATACCGACGATGTGCACGTTTTGGTACTCGTCCTGCAGCATCTTCACCTCGGCTCGGTCGTTGAGTAGGTCGTAGAGCTTTACTCCGTAGACCTCGTAGAAGCTGGCCGTCATGCTGCCCTGCGTCATGGCCAGCAGCTCCGTGACGGCGAGGCTGTAGAGGCCGGGGGTGTCGCCGTTGCCGAGCATCGTGTACGTCTTGCCACTGCCGGTCTGGCCAAAGGCAAAGATCACGGCCCCGCCGCCCTCCCGCACGCTCTGCAGCAGCGGCTGGCAGCAGCTCTTGTACACCTCGTCGTTCGTGCACCACTCGCCAAAGACGTGGTCGTAGCTGAAGCTGCTGGGTTCGATGACGGGGGTTAAATCGAGCTTCGTTCGACGCGCGTACACCGTCACGTTCGGGCCGCCACCGTCGTCGCAGCGCACCACGTCGTTCTCGTCGTCCTCGCGGCCGGCGATGCGGCACCGCTTGCGCACCGCGACCGTAATGGTGGAGTTCATCGTTGGAGAAACGGAAGGCGCGACGCTCGTTGAGCGCTCGGGGGAAGGCCGCTGACCCTCCACCGAAGCAGAGGTGGACTCGTCTCTCGACATGGCAAGGTCTCTCAAGAAAGCAGATAGAAAATATACAGGAAGAATAAATAATACATATAACGCTTATCCGGCTTTGGTGCTTCAGCGTGTGGAGTCTTAACGGTGCATAACGTTGGCGGATTATTAGTCTAAATATCTGACGTAAAATTTGGAAAGCAGCTCGAGTTGTTGGCGAATACAAAGCGTGGATGGCTAGTGGGTATGCGTGTGTGTGTGTGTGCAAAGCAATGCTGAGCGCTTTGACACGCACCAACGAACTGCGAGAGAAGAGGAGAGAAGCGGCAAATGAAGACAGAAGGGAGTTATCTACGCAGACAGCACGCCTTTCGGTGAGCATCGAACAACGCAGATTTTGAAAGATGCGTCGCTTTCTTTGCTTTAGCCGGTTGCTGCGGCGTGCGCGGCATGACGCGCGGCGAAGAGCGTAATTCCTCTACTTGGGGAAACCCAAACGCTATCATGGCCAAAAATGGCCCACACAGCGTCCTTCCGAGCACGCAGTGTTCAAAGATAAATGTATCTTGACAAGCACATCAGCTTCGCTAATGTGAATGCAGGCACGCACCTGTGCGTCACGTCGTGCAAAGACGACTTCAATACAACACAGCGTTTCTTCTCTTCATTATTCCACAAAATAGCGTGTGAGTGGGCGTGTGCGCAACCCGCTGATGTTGCCTCAGCGCGTGCGTACACACCGGAAACAGAGGAGGAAAGACGCCTCCGCAACGGCAAAAGGGTCGGCGCACGACGCCCCCAAACAACAGCAAAGGCAAACGCAGACGCCGGACGACTCGCAGCACCACGCACGACAGCAGCGAGCGCAGAGCCCCAAATAAAAGCCTCAACTTTCCTCAATGCGCCTCAGTGCCTTCTGAACCCCGTCGAATGTCGCCACACCTCACAAGTCCATCGTGGCCCAGGCGGCCGCTCTCCCCGCCTCTGTCTCGCGTGAACCAACACCCCCCAGTCGCCACAGTACAGAGACCCTTCGCCTTCAACACCGGAGAGTGCGGAACTCCGCTCTGGTGCGCAGACACACGCACGCGGGACCCACGACCAGCCGCCACGACCTCCCTCGCTTTATTCATCCGGAATCGTGTTCTTCGGCTTGGGGCTCATCGGCACCATGAAGTTGTCGTTCAGCGCCCACCGCCGCCGCGACCAGAACGGCTTGCGTTCGTCCATCCGAACCGCGTCCGACACGAACGCCGCAGGATCAAACGTTGCGAACATCGTGTTCGGCTCCAGCGACTCCCCCGCGTGCTTGTTCGCCAAGTTGACCGGCGTGCGGCCTGTGTCGCTCGTGAAGCGCTCCTCCATGACACGGGCCATCATATCGGGTGACATCGCCCGTGGCGGTCGGCCCGCCTCGTCGAGGTCCTCTAGAAACAGCGGCACCTCTGGATCCCAGTCGCGCTGCTCCGGCGTGCCGGGGATGCGCGGCAGCAGCTCCTCCTCCTCGAAGCGCTCCACCGTTGCGCCGGCGCGGATGAGCTGCACGAGCAGGTGATCCTGATGGTGCTTGTACGCGAAGCGACGGCTGCTAATACTGGACGGGGTGCCATCGGCGTACTCGAAGTCCGCGATCTCGCGTGAGGGGCCGTATTTGCCGTAGCGGTCGCCATGCCCGTGGTGGAGCATCCACTCGATGTGCGTCTTGCGAAAGCGGGGCTGCGGCAGCGGGAAGGGAGAGCGGACGGAAGGGTAGGACGGCGCTTCACCAGGGGCTGCCCAGGGGGAACTGGGCCGGCCACTGTAGTTGTTGCGCACTTCGGAGTAGGCCCGCACGGCGGTGTGGAGGGCCACCGCGGAGCCGCTCGCCGACACGCACCCGCCATGGTACATCATGGCACAGCGCCCGCGGGAGAACAGAAAAGAAAAAAGGAAAAGCGCACAGAGGAGGAAGGCGGTGCCCCGGTGTGCACAGGCGGCTGCGGCTTCTGTGGTTGGCGAAGCACACCAACGGAGTCGCGTTAGAAGCAAAGAGAATAGGAAGAGCAGCGGTGGAGCATCGATAGAGAGAGAGAAAAAAAAAACGCATATTTATAAACGTGAAGAAGCCGTAATGGGACGATCACACCGTCGAGTATCGGCACACCATCAAATCGAGGCGGCGGCGACGTACGCCGGTGCTACTGTAGTCAGCGCGCAGCACTTCGTTTCTCTCGTTCTTTCTTCCACCGTACATTTGAGCGGGTTCTCCATTTTCCCCTCGCAGGACCCTTTTCGTGGTAACGGAGATGGCGACCGCAACTCGCCTCCTGCTGCTTTCGAGGTGTGCCCATGCCTTGTGCATTCTTGATTTATATATCTTCTCGAAACTTCCGCCCACCGTGTTACTCGATGTCGAGTGCTCTGTGAATGACGGGGAACTTCGCATTGTCCGTCAGCAAGTCGCCGGCTTTGCAGGTGTAGAGCGGGCCGTGTGTGTCGCGCGAGACCCAGGAGTTGCGCTGCCCATCGAAGACGCAGCGGTCCGGCATCAGCGCCAGGGTGTAGTTCGTCACCTGCGCAAACGGGGTCATCGCCACTGTTCTCGCGGCTTGCTGCGCCGCGCCCTCCAACGTCGGCTGCATCCCCGTCACCACATAATTGTTGAGGAAGAGCGCCGCGCCGGGGGCCAGCGGAGGCACCTCCGCCACGGGCAGATGCGCCAGCTCAGGCAGGTGGCGCACGACGGAGCCGTGATCGAAAATGCCGCCCGAGAGAAATCGGCCCAGCTCCCGCCCGTCGTGCGCGATGCGGCGAATTACGTGGTGCGAGCCGGGCATGACCGCCTGGGTGGCCGTCGCCGCCCCCGTCGTCGTCGCACTCGCAGGAGCGGCCAGCCCCAGCTGCACAGAGAGCGCCTGCGGATGCGCAAAGTTCGTTCCAAGCCCGGCGAAGCCCAGCGGCATGGCGTTCGTCAGCGGCGAGTCCTGCACCGCGCTGTCGATGTACACTCGCAGGAGAACCTCGCCAGACAGCTGCCCGGCCGCCTCACCAACGCGCTTGCCTACCGCCCCCTCCATCGAGAGGGCCAACGCCTTCAGCTCCGGTGACGACTGCGACAGCAAACACCACGTGCGCGGCCAGTTCTGCATAAACCGCATCACCTCGTTCACGTGATGGTCGCGGCGAAGCTCCGCCTCTAGCTTCCCGCTGTCGCGATAGGTGCGAAAGCTTTTTCTGAGGTCGTCGTAGGTGACCTTGTCGCGCACCTCGCTGATGCGCTCCTCCGACAACTCACCGGAGAGCTCCTCCTCCCGCCCTACGTGCTGGTGGATATCCCTGTACGTGTTGTAGAGGTTTCGCATCCTCGTGAGACGACTGAAAGCGCGGTCCACCGCCCGCTGGTTCTTCAGCTTTACGTGCACCTTCACGGTGCGGGAGTCAAAGGTGCGCTGGCGGTCTGCCTTCGCCGCCTTCTGCTCCAAGTCCGCGGGTATTGGGCCGCTGCCGAAGCCGAGCTCGGTCGTCACACGCGCACTTGGCGACTGCGAGGCGGCGGTTTCAGCGGCCCCTGGCTGTGGCGTCGGCTGCGCGGTCGCACGAAAGCCGAAGCTCGCGCCGCGCTGGTGCTCGGGGTCTATCCCAGGAAACACGGCTTCGCCTCTGCGACGTGCGACGTCGTTGCACAGCGAGGAGAGCTGCCGCAGCGAGTCGAGTGGCAAAAAATTTTCCACGAGCACGAAGCCGTAGTGGCGGTAGGCCCGCACGGCGGCCGGTGTGAAGAGGTCGCGGTAACCCTCAACAACACAGCCCTTCGGTATCATGACGAAGACGGACCTGAAGAGGCGGTTTTGTGTGTGTGTGTGTGTGTGTGTGTGTATGTAGGTGTGTGTGTTCGTGCATTAAAGAAGGTGACAACGCTTTCCTTTCTTAAATTGTGGAAACACGCAGGCATATCAAAGCTATACAGCACCAATACGAAAGCAGAGGTGCAACATACCATCAAAGCTGACGATCAGCCGTTGCGTCTCTCGTGGCGGCGCTATCATTGCAGACAAGGAAAAGAAGCAGAGAAGGAGTGAGTAAGTGAGAATTGTGGAGATGCAGGTCAGACATCGATGTGGCGGGAGTTCACCACATTCATCCGTTTGAACTGTTGGGCTGCGCTGCAGAAACAACAAGAGCGGCCTGCGAACCAGCTTGCCGCCCATCGCGCGGCTCGCCATTGCCCGGTTGGCATTCCTACTCGACGCCCATCACCGATAGAAGCGCAGACCGAGGTCAGACAAACCGCTGTTTTGTTGACTACAAAGAGCTTGCCTCGTACCACACACACGCACCGTACGGAGGTGTAGGTGCACAAGCAAAGGAAACGCCGCGATGAGAGCTCATCGTTGTGCACTGCCTCGCCGCAGCTTATGAAATGCTCTTGTTCTGTCATTGCTGTTCTACTCGCATTTGGGTGTCTCTCGAAGCATAGCATGTGCTATGGTTCATTTACTTTCCAAAAGAAAACAGGTGATCGTGTTAGAGAAATGCCAGAAGAAAGAAAGAAGGAAAATACAACTGAATGCTCGCCACGCAAACTCCTGTTTTAACGGCAGAGGCGTGCGAGAAAGCTTTGTGTATGTCAGAGAGAACCGCCAAAAGGAAAAGAACAGCAAGAAATGTCAAAACTCGAAACACCAGTAAGTAAAATAAAAAATAAAAGCAATGAAAGGAAAACCAACACGAACACCATGTGCGTGCGTGCGTGCGGGCTCGTCGATCGAGCCCCACCGCTGCCCAACGCAGCCCTTCTCCATTTGCGGCGAAGGAGAGAAGAAAAAGCCACGACGGAGGGAGCGGGACGGCTCTGTCACGGTACGACCTGCACATGGAAGCCGAGACGGCTTTACTGGTGTCGAACCACACACACACACACACATACACGCACACACGCATGCACATGCATACACACTCAACCATGCATCTGCCTTGTACATCGATTCGAACGAACGAGTAACCAATTCGAACATACATTGAAAGAAGAGAAAGACATATATATATATATATATGTATTATTACTAGTAGTATTGCTCCTCAAAGAAAATTTGAAGAAAAAATGTACATCGAAAATGTGAGGTACATCGCAGCCCGGCACATCAAAATATATTTTTTCACGCTCATCTCATCTACGTTCTTGTTGGCATGTCCTCCGTAAGCGAGTGGCACAACAAGAAATATTTTTGTGTTGGGGGGGAGATGCGGAGCTGCGTTTTACGGTGGTAAGAGAGACTGTCCAGGAGGTCGTTGCGGATGCGACTAACGACAGTGGCGGAGCAACATTAAAGAATGCAGGTGAAACAACGAGGAGCTGTGCCTTTTCTTTTCCCACACTTACAGCTCCTCCGCGGCCTCCGGCTTCAAGTGCTGATGCCGCAACACGTTCTGGTAGTACTCGTACTTGGCGGAGCTGCTGTCCCGCTTCAAGATGTCCATCACGGGTCCCATGCACATCTCGAAGTGGCGACGGTTGAGTTTCGCGGTGGTGACCGCGGTGACCGCCACGACGTCCGCCACGGTGCGGTGGTTGTTCAGGAACTCTAACTCGCCGACGTGGTCGCCGCTGGAGAACTCGCACACCTTCGTCTCCTTGCCCTCTGTATCACGTCCAATCACCTCGACGGTGCCCTCAATAATGATATACAGCCACTCGCCCTCCTCGTCGTAGTGGATGATGTAATCGCCTGGGTTGAACTCGTTGCTCGTCAAGGCATCCGCGATCTGCGTGCGCTCGTAGTCGTCCAGGCTCTGGAGAAACGGTACCTTCGCCAGCATCGACACATAGGTTTCGCGGCGGCGGATGCACGACCCCATCACCAGGTTGCGGTACGTGTCGCGGTCCAGCACCCACGCCACCAGCTTCGGCGTCGACACCTTCACCGTCGCTACGGCGGGTGTGTCGTAGAGCAGCTCCACCTCGCCCACCGCCATGCCCTCCACCTTGATGAACACCTTTTGCCCCTCCTTGATCACGTCTGCCTGGCCACTCTGGAAGACGTAGAGCTTGTTGCAGTTCTTCTGGCCAAACTCGATGATGCACTCATCCTTCACGAACTCCTCGCGGTACATCGCGGTGGCCACCGTCAGGATGTCCTTGCTGGACAGGAAACTGAAAAGCATGTTGTGGCGCAGCAGTTCGCAAATCAGCTCCGTCTCCTCGGCGCTCTTCTCGTGCACCGGCGCCACAAAGTTCTTCGCGTCCTCGGGGTCGATGCCCTCCACACGCACCGTCTGCCGCCGTGCCCGCCCACCGCCGAGGATGGTGAGGTCCGCGCTCAGCTGCGTCGGCACCCACGTCGGGCCCTCGCCGAACGCAGCGTCCGCCGCCTCGCCCGTTGCCTGCTCCTCGTTCCACAAGTTCCGCGTGTTCTCCTCGCACTGCTTCGTGATCTTGTTGCGCAGCTCAAAGTCGATGCGGGTGTCGTTGATGACGATGCGGCACATGCGCTTGTTCACCTGCGCCAGCGACAGCAGCTTGCGGCCGGCGTAGTTGGAGATGGGGTTGCTGCTGAGGTCGAGGGCGTTTACCTTTGGATGCACCTTCAGCACCTCGACTAGGCGGTCGATCACGACGTTGCCCTTCACCGTCTCCTCGTTGAGGTCCGAGTTGTACAGCTTCTGGTCCGCCGCGTTGAGGAAGCGGAACTGGCTCAGGTGCTCGATGACGTCGAGGACGGCCAGCAGGCCGCGGTTGCCGACGTAGTTGTTTCTGAGATCGATCTCATCGATGTCGTCGAAGGTTTGGTGGCCCTGGAAGAAGGCGACGAGCTGAGGGTTGGGCGACTTGACGCCCTCCAGCTTGCAGGCCTGCAGAAAGAAAGACACCGGCGTGTCTTCGGCGGACATCCCTGTGTGTTTGTGATGGAGCGGAAAAGAAAAAACGCTGGAGTGTGTGTGTTGAGGGGTGGAGGGGGCGGTGCTGAAGAGGGCGAGCAAAATTAAGTGAGAGCGTCCTGAGACAGAGCAGCGGATGCTTCTTCCTTTGGGGGTTCTACAAGTGCGTTGTTTCGGAAAATATAAATATAGAACCAAACCACAAGAAAAGGAGCGGAGACAGCGCTGCACGATCGCCCGTACGAACTCGCTCTTCTCTTTCGTATGCGAGTGTGTGTGTGTGTGTACTTTTCGAAGCCAAAAGGCGCGTCTTTTGTGGGTGTTTGTTTGTTGGTTCACGATGTGCGTGAGTGGGTGAATGGGTGGGTGTGATGGCGCGTGCAACCGAGCTGGAGAGACGTGATAATACGTTCAAATCGGCGAGCGGCTACGAGGACTAACGAAAGGTATTAAATTTCAGAGAGGCGGCGGAAAGGGACAAAACAAAGGAGGTTGCAAGAGGTAACGAGCGAAGCGGAAAGGACAGATCAGAGAATTCTCGCTGGTATCTGTCCAGGCACCAAAGTCGGATTCCTGACGCTGAATTGCGTGTGGGCGAAAGGATAGGAAGGGAACGTATTCACCGTCCGTCACTGCGCCACTTCAATGGTTTCAAAGGGACCTCTGCGAGGTACGTTCACTGGGTGCGTGTGTGCGCGTGTGTGTTCGTTAGCAACCCGAGTAAACTTTGTCTTTTCTTCTCTCCTCTATATTTTTTTGGTATTGCATTGAATGCCTCTCTTCGCCAAACGGAAGGACGAAGACGCACTCTCATCTCGCTCTTCCGTACGACGGAACGCATACGACTGGAGTTTGCCGGCAAACGAGGCGGGGGGGAGGGGGGAGTAAACCGCCGTCTCGGTCAGTAGTGGAACTGCGAGACGTCGTACGCGTAAACCCCATGCGCGTCCCTCAGCAGCCATCGCTTCTCAAACACCGCGAGTGTGCTCCGCGACGCTTTGGCGGGTCGCTGCTGGGCGGCGTCGAGCAGCGCGCCCTCCAGCACCATCGTAGCTGTGTACCGCTGACCCGAGAAAAGCTGCGGCGGCGGCAGCGGCGGCGAAGAGGGGGAAGACGGCGACACGCCGTGACCGCCCGTGAGAAGCTCGCGGCGCAGCTTCTTCGAGGACGGCGGAGAGGTCGGGGGGACCCCGCCCCCGTCACCGTTGCGACGGCGATGCTCGTCTCCCTCGTCGCCCCCGACGGCTCGCCCACCGGACGCGGCGTAAAACGTGAACTCGCTCTGCAGCAGCAGCATCTCCAAGTCGTCGGCGTGAATGGCGATGTCCATCTTGTCTCGCAACTCGTGCAGCGTGAACGTGGGCTCGGCCTGCGGCGTGCGCGAGGCGCGGCGGCGCGGTGCCACGTCGTCCAGCGCACGCAGCAGCGCACGCCGCCAATACGACAGAAGCAGCGACTGACCGTGCGGAGAGAACGGGCGGCTGATCGCACCGCCAGCGCGGCCGCAGCACCGCGGCTGTCCGCATTGACGCTGCCGCTCGCGGGTCATCCAGTAGGCGGTGTCCAGCAAAAAGGTCGCCACCCGTCGGCGCTGGAAGAGCGGCAGCGTGACGATGCAGGAGAGGGTGTGGTCGGGGTGGTGCTTCAGTCGGCTGAAGTAGCCCATCACGGCATCGCCATCCCAGTCCTCCTTGTCGAAGTCCGCAGCTGCACGGCTGAACTCCTCGGCCGTCACGCCGCTGTCTTCGTAAAATGGGAGAGAGGCGCGCGGTGTCGTCACCACGACGTACTCGTAGAGGTCCACGTCGTTGGCCAGCAGCTTGCTCTCGATAAAGTGCTTCCCCAGCAAGGAAAGACAGCGGCAGTAGTGCAGGTCCATCGCGCCATCAATCAAGAAGGCCTTGTAGCCACGGTCCTCGTCGTGGTAAAAGAGTCGACCGGGCGGGCCGCGCAGGAGGCAGTACTGGCCCTCCAGGTGCACGTAGTACTGCTCACGGGTGAAGAATGGGGAAAGACAGCGGTGACACCAGTAGGCGGAGTGGCACACATCCTCCTCTGGCAAGGCGAGGTACTGCAGGGCGGTGTAGGGTGAGAGAAACCACGGCTGAAAGGCGTAGCACAGGTAGACGACCTCGCAGACCGCCGTGTCCCGCTCCATCGCCGCCACCCACTCTTCCGCCACAGGGCGGCGCTGTGCGGAGACGAGGTGGTGGTTGTTCCGCGTCTCCGGTAGCGCGGAGGAAACAGCAGCGTCGTCGCATGTGTTCTGCCCGGTGACGTGCTGCTGCGGATCACCGCTACTTGGGGGAGCGGAGGAAGGCATCGATGCATCTTCTACGCACTGCAACGCCGACGCTTCGTACCAGCCATCAAAGCGGTAGTGGTAGCCGTCACTTGAGACGAAGCTGCTCGTGGACACACGGAGTACGTTGCGGCGGTGCATCGTGCCGCAGCCAATCGCACCGACGGCCACACCGTGCCACGCCGACGCGGCCGCCTTTTTGCGCTGACGCGCGAGTTCCGCGCCGAGGTCGATGTGGGTGCAGTGGACGTAGTGCAGGAGACGGTGGGGGTCCTCGGCGTGGCGTCGCACGGCTACGACGACCACTGTCACGGTGATCGCTGCATCCTCGCTGCTGCTGGAGGTGGGGGTAGGTGACACCCGCGAGGAGGAAGGAGAGGAGCCGGTGCGGTCAGTTAAATGCAGGCGGCACACCTGGCCAGGCTCCATGTGCGGAGGTGCTGAGCAGAGTTTTGCTGGTGCGATGCTGTTTATGCTTAAGCCTCTCGGTGATGGAGGTGGAGGTGGGTGCGTGTGCTGGGAGCACTTCGTAAACGCAAAGGGAGAGAAAGACGTGCCGTCGGTGTGGTCACAAACGGCAAAGGAGAAATTTAAAAAAAGAATTTGTGTGAGGTGAGGAGTCGTACGGAGCCGCGTCCGGAACGACGTTGCATCGCAGTCAATGAACTCCCTACACCACGAGTTTGACGGCTCGCTTCAAACCGTAAAAAATAGTTCGCAGTTTCTTTATTATTCTATTATTTTGTTGTTGATGCGGATGTGTGTAGAATCGAGCAGGATACGGCAGACGGTGGACGGCGACAACATGACCTGTCATGTGGTGCGCAACTGGACACCTGACTCCCCACCACCTCTCGTCAAAACTTCTCTATGATGAGGTGCCCACGTACTCCCTCCAGCGCTGCACCTCCCTCCCAAATTCAGGGTCGCACTCGCTGCCGCTCCGCACGCAGATGTCCTGGCACGCCTTCAACAAAGCACGCGCCAGCTTCACATGTCCCAGCCCTGACGCGACTACCGCCTTCTCGAACAGCGTGCGTGCGTAAAGGGGGTGCGCCGACCCAAGATAGCGCTCACGAGTAGCGGCCACCGCGTCGTATATCTTCAGCGCGTCCGCTGCCTTGCCTTCTATGAAGTGGTAGACCTGTGCGATGTGCTCCAATGTGAGCGCCACCTTCAACTCGTCCACGCCACCGCTTAACGTGCCGTCTTCGATTTCCTTCCCCTGTTGGCCCGCCCTGCAACGCCGCCCGTGCACGCGTATCGCCATCGACTGCTGCCATGCCTCGAGGGCCGCTACGTAGTCCTTTAGGTAGTAGTGACACACGCCACAGCTATGGTGTACGTCCGCCAGCATACTCCGGCCACTGCCCAGCGTATGGCTCAGCTTGTCTTTCGCATCGTACAGGTATTTGCGAAGCACCTCTGCCGCCACCGTCTGTCTCCGCCGCTCGTCGTCTTGCGTGCGCAGCGGAGAGGAACGTGCGGGAGACGGCGGCAGTGACGGCCACACACTAGACGGGTCGTTGGCTCGCTCCTGCAGGCGGGAGGCGGTAGGCGGACTCGTGTGGCGCAGCTGCTCTAGCTGAAGCACCGCCCTGTTGTAGGCAACACCGGCCAGGCCTTCGTCCAGGTCACGACCCCCCACCGCATCCCCCCTCATTGTTGTTTCTCTCCTGTCACCAGCACTGCTGCCTTCGCCGTTTGAAAGGTGGTCTCTCCAATAGCCTTCGCAGGTCGCGAGGAGTCGCTCCGCCTCCATGTAGTCGCCCGCGGCGGTGTAGATGGTGGAGAGAAGAAGAAGAGAGTTGCCAAACAGCTGATGATGTCGGCGCAGCATTGAATTATCGGCGTGTGGGCAGGCACGCGACGATGCAGGCGACGATGAAGCACCGCAGGCGGTACTCGCACACGCCTCCTTCAACTCCGCGCCGACAGACATGAAGGAGAGGGAGAGAAGGGCTTGCTCGGCGACATCTCGAGCCCGGTGGAGGTTGCCCTGCTGATAGAGCCGCGTGGCGTCCGCGAAGTGGGCGGTGGCGGTCGTCAAGGCCATGAAGCCGCGAGAGGGTAAGCAAAGGGGTGTGGAAATAACGGCAAAATGAAGAAGGAAAATATCGGTCTATATCGCGTGAGGTGGATGTGCGAGACGGAGGTGAAAACGCAAGGCAAAGACCGTCGTGAAGGTCTACGTGTGGACGCTTTGTTTGTATGTCGGTGCGTTTGAGTGGAAAGGCAGGACAGAAGACGAGAAGTTTTGCGCATCACAACAGTTGACGGAGGAGGGAGAGGGAGAACTGCCCACACGCCGGCCTCGCCTTCACAAAATAGAAAAGAGGGGAAAGGGAAACGTGCGTTGACCCTCTCGCTCACAACGGAAACGCATCGCATTCTCTCACGCCGCAGCATGCCGTCTTCGTCAACTCCCACTCCATGCATACGCGGAGCGCGGCACTTCGAATCACCAGCTTCCTTTTCATGTATTTTGGTTTGATTGGTTGTTTGCCTGCTTGCGCCGAATGTCTGTAGCGGAAAGATGTAGCTGGATCGAAGTAAATCGTTCTGTATGCAGTGTTTCTCCGCACCCGTGGCAACGACGTTGGACGAGGTACATCAGAGAACGCGCACGTGCAGTCAGCACACCCCCTTTCTCACAGACGCGAGAAGCACCAGAAGCTTGTGGAAAGGCAGCTCGCTAGCAAACAGCAGAGAGAAATGCATAGAAGAGAGAACCGCCGGCGACGTCAGCACTACTTCACACCATAAAAGCGGCAGCGGCAAATGAAAAACCATAGATATATATTCGCTAAAAGATAGAAGGATAGTTTGCGCATAAAAGAAAAGGAAAAAGCGCCGGTGGCGACCACCAACGCAGTTCATAGAACACCAGCAAAACAAAGATCTCTTTTTTTTTTTAGGAAGAACCTTGTTGGAGACTCTCCTCGGAGGCAGACAGGAGCCACGTCTACAACACACCACGTTGACCGTGATGGACACACAAACAAAAACAAAAGCAAAGGGGGGTCAGACCTGTAGTTCACACCACAGAAGTTGAATCGAAAGGAGAAAGAGACTCCTGCTGTGGTGGTGGTGACTGAGATCTACAACGGCAGGGAAGGTGGCTGCTCAACAGAATCAAGTGGAACAGGCAAAAGAACTATACAAACAAGCGCGGCACACAGATGTCAGGGAAGCGACGCGGCGAGCAAAGCACGAATAGGGAGCGGCGCTGAACGAAGAACACAGAGAAACACAAAACCGTAATCCATAGATAGAGAAGCAGTAAGAGAGAAATGTTCCACTTTTAAGGCTGGCCAGTCTTCTCTGACAAAAACCACCACCTCGAACATCAGATAGCCGCAAAGAGAACGGAAGCATAGAGAGAGAGTGAAAGCACTAGAGCAGAAGTGAGGTGCAATGACAGTAGAAGGAAAGGAAAACAAAAATAGAAGAGAGAAGGCAGCACTGGAAACAACATCGTGGAGCGAGGATATCAAAAGGCGTGTGGGAAAGGGAAACCAAACAAAGCCAAAAGATCGAGGGTGGCAGACGTATCTCGAATGATGCGTCGGTGAAGTTGACGGTAACACATTGGAAATGTCGCACTCTTAGGGAATTTTAAAAAAGGGGGAAAGAGAGAGGAAAAATTGTGTTCGTAAATAATTTCTAATACTTTTTCTCTCATAATGGAAAGTGAGTTGACAGCGCGGAAAAAAACAAAGGCAAAGGGGAGAAGAAACCAAAAGGCGTACAACACGTCTCTCCCCTTCCTTCGCTGTTCTCTGTAAACTCATCATTCCTGTCGAGTAGTAGCGGGTCCGCTGGAGAGGGAAAACAACGAAAACGAGGAAGAAAGACAACAACCGCCAGGCGTTATCTCGGATGGAAAACAAACAAAAAAAACCAGGCTTTTGAGAAAACAGAAGAGACAGAGAAAAAAAAAATTGTATTGCGTTCGAGCCTACGGTGATTGCAAAGGCATTCCAGAGCCGCAACGGTGGCGTACACCTCTCAAGGCCAGACGCGATTAGAATAGGCTGCGGTTATCGCCTTGATAGGTGTTGGGGAAAGAAGCAGAGGCAGGTCAATCCATTTTGCTTCCTTCATTGTGCCGCTGCATAGATATTAAGAGGGAAAAGATATCGAGAAAGACAAATCGATGGAAGGCAATTACAAAGAGAAAACTCTGGTAGTTCAAAGCAACAGAAAAACAAAGAGATACTTTTGGATAAAAAGAGAAGCGGAAGCCCTCGAAAGCGAAACGAGAAGCGCAACGCGCCCATCCGTTAAGCGACGCGCGCGGCGAGTCGACTTCTCCAGGGCATCGTGCCACACCAACGCGCTGCACGGGCACACACACGCAGGAAGGAGGGAAACTGCGTCGGCACGTTTTATTTGCTCACCGGTTTGATTGCTGCGGCAACGCGACGAGGACGAACGCTGCTGTGGAGGTAACGCCAGCGCGGGTGCTCGCGTGCAGGTGTTTGCCCGGTTCATGGACTTTGCATCCCACCAGCCGCGCCTTTCCCATACGATCCTCTTTTACTGTTTTTATGTGATTTGATTCTTCTCGTTTTCCCTTCTCCTTTCCCGGTCGTGGGTCCTACTTGGGCAGTAAACCCACCGCCTTCATCGCCTGCGCGTAGCGGTCGAGCGGCACAACCCACACCGCAAAGCCGCACTCCGCAGAGAAGTTGGTGCACGAGCCCGGCAGCACCCCCTTCCGAACCTGCATCGCAATTCGCTGATAACCCGCCAGCCCAGCCTCCGAGGAGGTCTCGTAGTAGTGCACAACGTCCAGTCCAGGGCCCTGCGGCGTCGCCCTTTTCGGCCACACATCCTCCGCGTTGGAGTACGGACGCGGGGTATTGCCCTCCGCGGCCAGGCGGCCTCCGCGGCGCAGGCGGGCGAAGTCGATGTTGTCGTAACTCAACACTCGCCGCTCCTCCGCCACGACCCGCTCGCGCACCTCCACGCAGCTCGCCTGCCACGGTGACTCGTGTAGCAGTTCGTTGTTCAGAATGCGCTCGCTGCCGCCGTGGCCCAGCGGGGTAGGGGGGAGCGACGTGGCCGTACTGCAGCGCGTGACCGTCTCGTAGAAGCGCTTGAACGTCGCTAAGCGCTGCTCCGACGGCGTCGGCGGCACGGTGGCGGGCGGCGGCGGCGGTGTGGTGGCTGATGTGCGGAGTCGCATCGCGCAGTACAGGTTAGTGCTGCTGTTGCGCATGTGCGAGGCTACCGCGGCCGCGGCCAGCGAGCAACGCCACGGCGCACACGAGAGCATCCTTCACCGTGGAGGAATGGGGGAAGGAAAGGTGCAGGCGTCAAAAAAGGCGAGCGGTTGACTACGCAGCGTCCTTTATCTGCTTCGCTTTCAAGTTGAACCTTGAGGGGGGGGGTCAGCACGCCAATGCACCGCTCGGTTAGGCTTTTCCTCTTTGTAGAAGGAGGAGAGGGAGGAAAGCGTACAGAAACGAAAAGCCACGTTGAGGACCCGCGTGTGCTGCTTCCTTGGGAGAACAAGCAGGAGAGGGGTATTAGCACTTCGCGTATTTCGTAACAGCTGAGTGTGTGTGTGTGTGTGTGAAGAAGAACAGGTAAGAAACAGGCGAGAAGTGAAGGCGAGACGAGAAGCGCGAGCAGCAGAACAGCTGATAGAGCAATCACCCCACTGGTTCCGCAGCGTTGCCCTCGGCACAATGATGCGTTGCGTGCCTCATAACACAAGTTTAGAAAAATAAAAACAGCGCTTGGATTCATGCGAGTGTGTTCTCACGAACATGCACATACGTGTGCACTTGCCTACACTCACTCTCTCGAGCTTTCACGTTTCCTCACTGAATTGATTACGACGCCGTTATGTATGCTGGCAATGAAAACGGAGAAAAAGGGCTGAAGCGGAGCAACAGCAACTAAAACGGAAGAAACGCTCGACTGCAAGAACTTGTCACTCGCCATGAGCGATGGACAGCTTCGCTAGAGCACAGAGAGGCGCCAGTACGCAAGAGTGAAAAACAGAAAAAAAGAGAAAAGAATTTAAATCACAAAACGTGGTAGTATCCGCAGTGTGTAGATGCAGCGAGCAGAGCACAAAACAAAACGCGGATGTCACGCACAACCCCGCTTCGTCAAACCGGTGAAGCAGACAGCATTAATGGGGAAAAAAAAAGACGCGGAATACTAGAGAAGGCAAAGAGACCCAGAATAGCGACGGCGAGGGAGCTGTCCAGACGGAGCACTCCATCTCCGGCGTCATTCGCCGCGTTTTTCTTTAGGCGCTTCTGCATGAGGGGGCGGGTGTGCGGCAAAACACTCACACAAACACACAGAGAAGAAGAAAGAAGACGAAATCTACAGCGCCAAGAAATGCAGCGATACAGCAAAGTGAAAAGGAAAGGGTCAAAAGTCTGCGCAGCACAACTATGGAAAAGGTGAGGAGGAAAAGAGAGCCAGAAACACCATCAAAAAGGCTTGCAAAACTCACAAAGAAAGAAAAGGGAGTGGAAAACGGAAACGGCAAAAAATAACCCGGTGAGGGAAAAAAAAATGAGAAGGAACGGTGTCATACGATGACACGAATTTTTTAATGTTTTTCGCTTTGCGTTCGAGAGTGCTAGCATCTGCGGAGGCGTTGACTCAAGTCGCGGGCAGCATGCGTCGGCGGCATTTCAGTTGTTGTGTCTTTTACGGGTTTCTTTATCTACGAAGGGGTACCTTGCGCGACGGTGGGTGCGCTTGCGCCGGCGATACATCAGCAGTTGACATTTATGCGAAGAGAAGTAGCGCTACAATATATATATATATATATATATATATTAAAAAATAAAGGAACAAATAACGCTGTTTTCATTATATAAAGGGAAACGAGCCACGCGGAACAACACGAAGAAGCAATACGCGGACAGGCGTGGAGTCCTGCAGTTTATTTTCTTTTCGTCCGATGCGCTGCGCTGCCACGAAAGACCATCGCACCTTCTCGTTGCATCTTCGTGTAATAAGTGCGTAGCGCACGCAATGAGTTTGCGTCTTGCGTGTGCGTGCGTGAATGAAGAAGCACAAAGAAAAGGGTTGGAGGTGCACGTTCTCCGGTACGTACGGAGATCGTGTGTGCGCCTCCGCCAACGCACACCTCCTATTAAGAAAGAAGAAACTAAGGATGCAGAGAAACGGATAGAAACATCCACAACGAACACTCCGCCTTGATGCGGGCAACGGAGGCGCCGATGCGTGCGCAGGAGAAACGATGAAAATCGGAAGCGCATGAGGTGTGCGCAGCGCACCTCGGAGAAAACGCACGCCGGTAATCCATCAAGAAACAAATAGAAGGGAACACAAGAACACGAAAGTCTCAGAAAGAAAGGAGAGAAGGGCGACGCAACGTGTATCGACGCATGCACAGCGGCCAATCAGGATAACATCCAAAGCGCAACGGAACTCACTGCCTCGAGCGGTGGAAAGTTACTAGCGAAAAGCAAACTGAAACGCTCCGAACAGCAAATACAATGAGGAGAGACCACTACTGGAGGAGACAGAAAGGAAAAGAAAACCGTAAAGAGAAAAAAGGCCGCACCTCCTCCCCCTAAATAAAAGAAGCGGTGAGGCAGCCCATCGCATTACGATGCGTCTTCTCAATCCTGGTTACTGTCCCGGAGATATGGAGTAGATGTACTCCACCATCGCTTTGTTGTAAGAGCTCAGCAGGTGATCCTGCAGCTGCACGCGCAGGTCAGTGCGGTCGGACAGGAAGCCAATGGAAGTGGACGGGTCATCGGTGCAGATGTACCTCCCGCGTGTGTGCCACAAGAAGTGGTAGCACCCAAACGGGTCCATCGCCTGCTTCGCGCGGTGCTCCGGTGCGACAAAGCGCTGAAAATCGACGTCGTGCAGCGTCAGCGCGGTATTCTCGTCCACGGCGCGAATGATGTTGTTGTCGAAGGGCTCACGGCTTGTGCGGAACAAGTCCCCCGCCCCGTCCTCTGCCACCGAGGCGGCCTCACCCTCCTCTGCACTCTTCGATTTCTTACTCTTCGAATCCGACACGTTTACGCTACGCATTCTGCGGGCGACGCTGCTGATGGAGAAGCCCTCTTTGCCGGTGCGGAGCTGCGGCGCAGAGACCCGCAGCGGCTCCTCGTGCCGGCCCACCCACATGACCACCGCCTCCCGCACCTCCACGGCGGAGGCCACGCGCTCGCCATGCCCCACGATGGACGCCGTCCCTACGGTGTTGCCAGACTCCAGCAGCGCGTCGATGTAGCTCATGCGGGGCACCATGTCGCTCCCGTTCACGAAGTGCTGGAAGTTCTTGTGCAGTTCGTGCTGGCTCAGCAGATCCGTCAGGGCGTGGTTCGCCACGAGCGGGGCACCGAAGGTAACACACATCAGCCGATCCTTTAAGTCGGCAGTGCTCTCCAGAAGAAGGGTGGCGGAGATCCACGAGGCGACCGCCCCGCCGATGCCGTGGCCGCACAGTACCACGTCCGAGCCTTCCTTCGCCGTCTTGTCCACCATCTCCGGCAGCTTGCGGAGCACGTCGCTCTCCGCGATGTACGCGAGCACCCCCTCCCGCACATTCAGCTTTGCCACGCACTCCGTCAATCGCGCCGCATGGGCCTCGTGAGAGGTCGAGACGACCTTCGCCACCGCGTTGCTCTTCTTCATGGCCGAACTCGTCCACGCCTCACACGCGGTCATGTGTGTGCCGAGCACCTGATGAATGGAGGAGCGGCTGCTCGCCCCGGAGTTGAAGGCGATAAAGCGCACGTGACCAGGGGCGTCGAATACGCTGAAGACCTCGCTGACCTGCACGGGACGCAGCAGCTGGGCGTAGGGTGGCGTGTCCATCATGGCCAGGGAAATGTTCGGCATGGCCGACGCCTCGGCCGCAATCGCGCACGCCACGAGCGAGAGCAGCACCTTCCGCGACGACCAGCTGTCCCCCTGCAGGTTGGCAAAGAGGTAACTATCGCTCTCGTTGGGCAGCGCGGCGTCAAAGATCGCGTCCTCCTCCGCGGTGGTGCGGGCCGCCGAGACGGAGTCGTACTCCAACCGCACCGCGTTCTCCACCGCCTCGGTGATCACAGCGGCAGATTTGTCGCCCGACGAGGCGGCCATGTCCGTCCGATCCGCCACCTCGACGTGACGCAGCTGGTGCGCGGCGAGCGTCACGGTGACAACCTTGCACTTGGCACAGACGAGGTCGTACGAGATGGGGTTCGAGCAGGAGGGGTTGATGCACCGCCGCGGCGCGTCCATCTCACAGCTCAGAAGGTACAGGCCCCAACGAAAGGGGCGTGTGTCGAGCGGGTGCGCGTGGGGGTGCACGTCGGCCGCCGCCTCGTTGCTGCCGTCTTCGCTGTCGCCCTGCGTGTTGAGCTTCGCGCCGGCGTTCAACGTTTCGTAGGAGCTGTTGGCGAGCTGCGTCACGTAGACGAGCGCGTGGGGCACCGCGCACTCTTTGCAGGTGCGGGACATCTCGCCGCGAAGGAAGTCGTTCGTGCGTTCGAAGGGGGAGCACTTCGGGCACACCGCACGCCAGCACCGGCGGCAGTGTCGCCGACTCGACAGCGTCAGCAGGTAGCGGTGGCAGCGGAAGCAGCGCTGGCAGTTGCAGGCGATCTTCAGCAGATTGCAGGTTTGGCAGCGGCCGTCCGCGCTACCCTCGTACGACGAGACGTAGCGCGAGACGCCTTCCTTCTTCTCGTGCTCGGAGCTCTCACTGGAGACGGACTCGGCGACCTGGCCGGAGACAGGTGTTGTGGCGTCATTGTTGTGAGGTGCAGCGGAGGGGCTCGCTTCGTCGGCGACGTTGTCGCTGCTATGGTGCACCGAGGCGATGCCTCCGTCTTGCTGGCCCGCCGCCTCGTCACCGCCTTGTGGCGGTGGTGGTGGTTGGTCTGCCACGGGCGTGGATTCCTCTTGCTCCTCCTCAGCCTTTTTCTTCTCCTTCTTATCCTTGGTGAGACCGAAAAGACTCACCATCTTTCTTCTCTTAGGCAGATAACAAGGTAAGTGCGTTCAATACGTGGGTGGGTGTCACACCAGGCACGAGTACGCCGTGAATTACAATGAAAACAGTAGCAATGAGTTACGCCCCTCCCCCGATGCCGCCTTCTTGGTGTATCTACCTACGCCACAAGGAATAGAGCGTGCGAGAGAGAGAGAGGATGGGCGAGGAGGAGGAGACGACGAGCGCGAAAAGAAACAACAACGTTTCAGCAAAAAAACAAAAAAGGAAAGGAATATATGTGATACTTCTTTTGGTTTTCAATGAGGAAGCAGAAAAGAAGGGCCCCAAGCAAATAAAAGGCGGTGGTACGATGAGAACTGTGAATATGACGAGCACACGGAGCGGTCAAACGCAACGATGGATTTCTGCGGCACACGCCAAGATGGAGAAGTGGAGAGGGAAGATAGAGATATGAGAGGGAGAGGGAGAGAGGAAGCGAGCGCGACGACACATGAAAGCCGCCAGCCCATCAGTCCCGTTTCAGCGGAATCAATAGGCGCAGTTCGACCCTTTTTTCTCCTTCTCCACGGTGCTTCAGGTGAAGCAACGCGGAGCACGGCTTTGGGTTTAACTGGAGCCGATACGCGCGCTGTCCAGCAACTATTTTCTATTTGAAAAAGAAGCACAAGAACACAGTTGCCGCCGCGGATGACGACAAGAGAAACAAAGAGGGGAGGAAACAACGCACAATACATGGAGCCGCCATCCATTCTTTCTACCCCTCCTCCGCTCTCCAGTGCAGCAGCGTCGCAACAACGTTGTCGCGGTAGAATGCTTAGGACGACGGGTAGACGCAAAATTAAAACAGCAGAAACGTGACCTCCACAAGGCGCAGGAGAAAAGGTTGAGCAGGCAATAACAATGAAGCACCTCACAGTGTTCGGCACACATACCCACACCCGCGCCTCCTCGCTTGACTACTCGAGGTTGCGATAAAGGTGGATCATCAACCCGCGGTTGTACGCCGCGACGGAGTGATCGCGCAGCACCACTTTCTCGTCGCAGCCGTGCTTTAAGATGCCGAAGGCGGTCTCCGAGTCGGCCGTCGAGACGTAGCCGTAGCTGCCGAACTGCACAAAATGGTAGCGTCCAAAGCAGGTAAAGCGGCGGTGCATGCGACGCGTGGGGATGAAAACATCCGCCGTGACATCCGCCGAGGCGGCCGGTGGTGGTTGTGGCGTGTTGGGAACGGTGGCGCGAGCTGCCCCCTGCTCGGGTGGCGCTTCCCCCACGTATGCTTCCGCTGCCTCGACACCGCTGCTCCGCGCACGCTTCACGTGACTGGCGGTAAAAGAAGCCTGCCGTCGGTTGCAGCTACTCGTGAAGGCGCTCAGCGCCGCCTCCACATCCGCATCTCGCCGCACCGCCGCCCCACCGCTGTCGACTGCGCTCCCTGACAACGTGCGGCTCTCTACTAGGTCCTCTCCGCCCGCTGCCTTCTCCTCCTCGAGCAGGTCACGACTCGTCCGGATCGCCGTGTCCATGTAAGCCGCAATGCGGGCTTCTTCCTCGTCGTCGCTCGTCGTCGCATCGGTCACCCCGCCATCTGCCTCTGAAATAATCGTGCCTTCGCCGAGGCCGCCGGTAAGACCGACCGAGAGCGCCGCGGTCGTCCGCACCACGTTGGACAGCAGTCCAGGAAGGAAGTGACGCCTGTGGGCCTCCGTCGGCGGCTCACGCAGTGGGCCTTCGGCTTGTGCCGAAGACGAGCGAAACCGCACAAGACGTTCGACAGACGTGGGGCTGACACTCGCGTCGGTCTCGGACGACGACAACGCGTCGAATGGTGCTCGGCTATTGCTGCTGCTGCTGCTGCTATTGCTCTGGCGACTGCTCTGATCCGCGGTTTTCCTCCCTCGCCACCAATTATGCGCGGCAGCAAACACGGAAGTCAGCGACTGCGTCAGCCGCGACTGCGCATCCCAGGCGAGCTCATCCGTGCAGAACACCCGCGGCACGATGTCGCTGCGGTAGACGAAGTTGTGGAAGAGGTGCGACCACCCGCAGCCGTGCACGTGGTCTGCCAACTCGTAATTCCCCAGCAGCGGCGCACCGAACGTGACACACATCAAATTCGGTTCTGCGCGCGGGTCCGTCGGCACGAGCAGGGCCGCCGCCTTGTGCAGCAGCTGGAGACTCAGGTACTGCGCGATGGCCCCACCCATGGAATGCCCGCACAGCACCAACGTGTAGCCGCCGTGGCGCACGTCCTCCAGCAGCGATTCCACCGGCAGCCCCACCTCCTGCGCCTCACGCGCGAAGCCGCCGTGCACGTGGTAAGTCCACGTCTTGCGTACGCCGCCGCAGAGTGGGACGGGCTCCGAGGACGGCTGCGGGCCCGCTTGAAGGCCCTCGTGCAGCCTCGTATAGACCGACTCCGACACCCGCGAGAACTGCATGTCCACCCACAGCGTGCGCCAGTTGTGGGTGCCGGGGAAGGCGATGAACTTCACTCGGCCGGGGACCTCCAGCAGCGTGTAGCGCTCCCGCGACACCGTCACCTGCAGTGCACGCGCGTACGGGATGTCCGACAAGCCCAGCGTGATGTTCGGCGCTCCGACGTACTCGTAGGCGATGGCAGCAGCCACACTCGCGAGCAGAATTCGCTGTGCCGCCGTCGCCGTCGTCACTGCACGAAAGGCGAGCACCTCCTCGTAGTTGTGGAAGCAGCCCCGAAAGAGCCGCTCGACGCCTGCGACGGTCATCCCATTCACCACCATGGCCCGCAGGGAGAGTTGCTGCATGTCGAGCACGTTGATCATGTCCATCACCGCAGGCGAGACGCCGTTGGGCCGCACAACACGCGCCTCGTGCGGCTGCGTCGACACCGTCGGCAGCCCACACGCGGGGCAGGTGAGGCGTCGCGTGAAGGTGCAACACAACGGTGCGATGCACAGGCGGGGCATGTCCCCTGCGATGCGCAGGGCGTAGAGGCCCCACAGCAGCCCCGCCTCGTCCCGCTTCGATGCGTTCACCAGGGCCCAGGGGACAGAGCAGCGATCGCACACCACCATCGGTCGCCCTAGCATGTGCACGTAGTGCTTGTGACCCCAGCAGCTGGCGCAGACGGCGTGCCAGCAGCGGCGGCAGTGATGACGGTTTTTGAGGAACGAGGCTTGGCATACATAGCAGGTGCTGCAGCTGCACGCCTGCTTTGGTTGGAGGCACGTCGTGCACACCCGGCAGGCCTCGAGAGGGGGCGGGCGCACGACCGTCGGCGTCCAGCTCGGCGTCCGCAACTCGGATGGGGTGGAACAAGACGGTCCTTCTCTTGTGCTCCCCCGCTTTGTTTCGCTCGTCACTTCTAGCCACTGGGGTTGTGTGTGCGTGTAGACGCAGTCGCGCACTACTGCGAATTGGTCCCATTGCGGCTGTGGGGCGTGTGGTCGAGCTGGACGGCATGGGGCGCCTGGCGAGGGCGCCTGTGCATTGTCCATTGTTGACGAAGTCCTTCTTGCTGTTTGCGGTCTTCGCAGGTGTGTGCGTGTGTGTGATCAGAAACGGCGTCCCGTGAGTGCGATAGGCGTAGAAAACACGTCGCCTTCTACGCTCTCTGACGTACCTTCCAAAAGCTGTCACGCAGACAAAAGCAAAGAACAGAAAAGAAAATAGGCAAAGAAAGCTAAGGTTATTTGTGTAACTCTGTTGCATGGAAGAACCAACGGTGTAAACGGTCATCCGTCTCTGCACGAAGCATGTTTCCCGCCGCGCCAATACAAACGCGGTCGCCGTTCACAGCAGAGAAGCCGCACCGAATTCACCTCAAATCTAAAGGAAAAAAAATTCACATTCATGTCTGTCAGTTTTGATGGAGAAAGAACTGTATTCGAAATGGCAAACATACAACCGAAACAACGGCACGATCGGCGGGGGAGACAAAGCTGCCAAAAAAAAAAAACTTTACGAAAGCAACGTTGGGCAGCAAAACAGGAAAGCGAAGAACAAAAAGAAGTAGAACACATCCCACGCGCCTTCCACGATCGTTAAACCTCCAAACAGTTCTAGTAGCGTTCGCTCTCTTCTGCTCTTCCTAGAAACAGTGCTCACACGACGAAGAGAAGGCAGCGTCGACCTTCGCAGCGCGCACGTGTCCGCAGCAGAATGCTTAAAACAACCGCACAAGAAACTGTTGAGAACACAGAGCGCAGTGCTAGCAAATGTATTTTTAGGAGCTTCATTCGAACACACTTCGTGTACTTGTGAAGTTGAAAAATGTGATGGAGGCGTTAACAGCATCCGCCGTCGCGGCGCCGCGGTGTTGCGCTCTCCGCCTGCCCTACCACTCCCCCCTCACGCACAATCGCAGTGCTGTTCGTCTCCGCCAACTTCTGGGCCACCGTCTGAAAGGCCTCCTGCACCCCCTCCCCACTGCGGGCACTCGTCTCTACGTACAGCGCGTTCATCTCCGCAGCTCCCCGTTGCGCATCCGCAAGCGACACCTGCCGCTCACTCTCCAAATCCTTCTTGTTGCCCACGAGCACCACCAGCGTCTCGGGCGAGTTGACGTGCAGCTCACGCACCCAAAACTTCGCCTTTTCGAACGTGTCCGCCAGGTTGATCTCAAAGACCACCATCGCGGCAGCGGCACCGCGGTAGTACATCGAGGCGAGGCTCTTAAACCGCTCCTGACCGGCGGTGTCCCAGATGTCGAAGTACACGACGGTGTCCTCGCCGACGTTGCACGTGTAGCGAAAGAAGGAGGCGCCAACGGTACTGTTGATGCTCTCGCTGAAGGCGTTCTTCATGAGCCGCTGGACAACGGAGGACTTGCCCACGCCGCTTTCACCGAGTAACACGAGTTTGTACTTCTTCGCTGAGGCGGCAGCGGAAGAGCGACTAATGGAGGACATCGGAAGGCGATGATGGCGGTGAGGTGGGGAGAGAGATCGAAGTGAATGGATATGCACGTGGCTAAATAGCAGTAAAGAAAAAGAGTGAGGCAGCAGGAGATGTATCTGTAGGTGTGATTGTGCTTATCGAACGATGCGCCCTAACGGCAGCTCAGGCAACTACACGTTCTCCTTATAAAGCAAAATTGTATTGAAGAGCAGCAAAGAAGCCCTCAGAAACAAGAAGGGAAATAATAATGGCAGTGGTGACACTTGAATGAATGTTGAAGCGTGCGGTTTCTTCTCGTCGTCTTTCCTTTACCAGCTTTGCAGGCGGAGTGCGGCGATATGGGGGAGAAGGGAATAAAGATGGTGTGTGTGTGTGTGTGTAGTTCCTCACATCTCACGGCAGGGGAAAGAGGCGGCGTCTCCGTTTGATTTTCTTCCACTCCAAACTCGTCACGAAAACATTGCGGTGCACTTCGATCCTCCCGCGAGGGTGTCGAGATCCTTTTATTTTTTCTTTAAACGCGCCTGATCGTGCACGACGGCGCTGCGGCCTTCCGATGTGCCGTGCCTTCCCAAAAACCACGAAGCACATGAGCCGGCTTCTCGTACTATTTCTTTTGCTCTGAGGAACTCGTTAGAGGTAACTGTACTTACAAGACAACAGCAGCAGAAGAAGAATTAAAACTAGAAAGAGACGAGCAGAGCGCCGTGCCGCTGCTCCTCTGAGTGGATGTTTGCAAAGGGTGGGGAAGAGGCGCCGGCACAGGTGCCACAGAGAAAGAGAGGTTCGCAGAGGTGAGACGCTGGAGGGACCAGCGCGTGCTTCTCTGTGTGCAAGTGCGTCTTCTCCTTGTCTTTCCTCTCACCAACAGCTTCCAGCGATCGCACACCGCGACGCTACGGTGCCGCTCCACGCAAGGCAAACAACTTCTGCAGCGGCCTCGACGAAGGTTTCATCAGAACCGGTGTGGCACTGGCGGGGGAAGGAGACGAGAGGGTGTGTCGCTGCTGCAGAGCGGCGGCAAGCGGGGTGTTGAGGCGGAAGTCGTTCAAGGGCGGCACGGTGCTGTCTTCTGGAAGCCTGCCGCCCGCGCCCCGCGACGACAGCGGCGGGTGGAGCGAGGCGATTGCCTGCGAGCGTGGGGTAAACATGATGTTATAACTGTTGGACGTTGTAGAAGACGTGTTTCTGTCAAAGGAGGACGGCTGCAGTGTCGGTGCTGCATCGGCTGCTCTGCGATCGCGATCACCGCCACCACGCGACGACAGCACCATCGAGTCGCTCGGATCGACGTGTTGGCGCTTCGCAATGTTGGAGCTGGCGGACCACCCCAGCGGAGCAGGCGGCGGTGCGGCGGCAGCAGCTGCGAGCCCAGAAGTGTTCGTTGCCGTGGCTCCCTCCATCGCATGTCCATGACTGCCACGCGGTACTCCCCCCGCAGCGTGCACCAACGCACTGGGTGACGAGGAGGACAGCGGAGGCGTGCCGGCGTAGGCGCGATGCGGTGCGCCGTGCCGATGGCCGTGCGAGTGGGCAGAGGAGGCGACCGAAGGCGATCGAGACGGGTGCGACGGCCGCAGCTTCTCCGGCGATGCCGCACGCGTCAGATGCGCCCGCAGTCGCTGGCACTCGCCCTCCAGCGCGCGCATCTTCCGCGCCTCGACCGTGCGCTCCGCCACTTCCTGGTCGCGCTGACGGCGAAGTGCCTGGAATTGGCCGTGCAGCATCTCCAGCGCCTGCCGCATGCGGCGGTTGATCTGCTGATAGTGGCGCAGCTGCGTGCCGACCACGCGAGACGCCTGCTCCAGCGACGCGGTGCCGCTCTGCAGCAGCGGCTGCACCTCGGGTTGGTCGAGCACCATCGTCCGACAGGGCCGCCGGCACAGCGGACACGGTGCCGCCGTGGGCAGGCGAGACAGGCACCGCGAGCACAGGAAGTGTGAGCATGAGGTAACGCTGCCTCGCCGGTCGCAGTCGCTGAGGCAGAGGCCACAGATCGGCTGAAAAGACATGTCTAACCACAACAACAGGTGAAGAGAGGTTGTTGAAGAAAGTGTCGACGCGCCGTCCACGTGGACAGTACAAAGTAGGGAGAGAGAAAGAAGAGCACAGTGAACACGACGGTGATGCAGGTGTTTGCGAATACAACGTCATTTCCCCAGTAGAACTGCCGCTACAAGGAAGAGAAGAACATGTGTCCTTTTAGCAGTAGGAAAGCACCATGTGGAACCCATCAAAAACCTCGACTTCAAAACAAAATCTACAATCCGCGTGACCGTTATTATTTTTTCTTTCATCTTTGAAAGAGAATACAAGTAGATTATCCTCAGCCCACGGACTGATGCTTCGTTGCTCTTTTCTCCTTTCTTCATCTTTTTGGCAGTCAGAGACTCACGTCGCATCAACGACGGATAAAAAATCTATTGTACATAGTTGTTGGCGCCGTCACGGTGAGGCGGCAGGTTGGAGCAAAGAGCACGCACAGTACACGTACATCTCCCCAATGGCACGTACACAACAGGAAAAACACCAGCCGCAGCAAAGGGAGGTACGAGAATTGGAAATAGAAATAATAGCAAAAGAAGTAGCCTACTCAACAGCCTCACCTGCTTTGAGTGCGGCCTGCTGTCCGCCGGCAGGCGCAGCCGCCGCTGCCGTGGCTCGCTGCAGCTCCTGGTGCTGCTGGATGATTGTCTGGAAGTCCTCCAAGCAGTCGCAAATGACGTGCAATTGATGCAGCACGTTATTCTGCGGTGTTTCTACCTTGCCGCGGCCCGAGTACTCGCGTGTCCACGTCACGCAGCGGTCGTATAGGTTCGTAGTGGCCATGGTGACGTGACTCACGGTGCGCGTCGTCGAGCTCTTCTGCTTGATCTTGCGCTCCAACTCATCTTGCTTCGCCTTGATGGACTTCTGCAGTGTTTCGAACGTCATCTGCATCTCATTCAATCGATTTTGCAAGGCGATGTTCTCCGTGCTGCGGCGCTGACGGGCTAGGTTGAGCGAGCTGCGCGTGCGGAGGAGGTCCTCCTCGAGCTGCGTCTTGCGTGTCTGGAGCACCGTGGTGTTGTCCTTCAGCGTCATCCATCGCTTGATGATGTCGCGCGGCTCCTGGTATTCATCGCCGTCGTTGCGAGCGAGCACCTCCTCCATGAAGTTTTGGTACTTCACCACACATTCGTAGTGCGCCTTCATGTCGTCTCGCTTCGTCTCTAGCTCCCCCAGTCGCTTTGAGAGCAGCGCAATGTACTCCTCACGCTCCTTGCGCTGCTTCTCCTCGCTGGCAACTTTCTTCATGGCTCGATTGCGCTTGATTTCGTTTTCTTGAATAAACTTGTAGTACTGCACGAGGGTGTCCTGCAGCTCCGTACGGTCCACGGCAAGCTGCGCCTCGCTCTCCCTCACCTGTGCCATGCGGCGGTTGTACTCCTCTCGCTTCGACTCCAACTCACGTTGCACCTCGAACTCGGCCCGCCGCAGCTTCGTAGCCGCGGTGATGCTGTCTAGCGTGCTTGACATTTGCGCTGTAAATTCCCTGTAAGTGGAGGAGGAAGTTGAGCAGTGATGTGCGATGGATGCAGAGGCACAAGCTCGTCCTCCCTTGTTAGTACTCGCGTAGACGTGAGCTGCAGAGCTCCGTGATCGCTTCTGTCCGGTGCGGTTTGAACGTTTGCGTGCCAGAACGCGTGCAGCCGCACGTTAAAAAAAAGAGAGAAGAAAAAAAAGCGGTCACGCAACGCAGCGAGGGTGTGCAGGCGCTTTCAACGAAGGATGACGAAGAAGAGGGGGCGATGAATTCGTGCGGGTGGAAGCGCAGAGGACGGAAAGAGGAAGGCACAGCTTGCCTTTTTGTCAGCACACGTGGGAAGTTTTGGGCACCAAACGATGTGCCCGCCTCCGTGCAATGACGCCGAGACACGCCTCTTCTCATCGCCGAGGACGGTGGGAGGCAGTACTGTTTTTTCTTTTCCAGTTGGTAAGTCATTAATAAGCACACCAGCGCTCCAGTTACGTCGGAGCGGGTCCCTTACCTGTTCGTAGGAGACGATGAATTCAACGAGTGGCTTTTCCTTTTGTCTTCTCTATTATTTTCGATTACGCTGTGACGCCTCTATGGCTGCCTTGAAGGTAGTACACGATGCTTACGCGTCCCCCCACTGTGCGCGTGCTGCCGAGGTTGTGCTTATACGAAGAGAAAGGGGTTTTTTTTTTTAAGAAAGGCCCAAGAGGGACAGCCGGCCACCCGCCTCCTTTTCCTGCTTGTGTGTGACCGCTGTCACTGCGGCCGCATCCGTCAACCAACAACTCAAACAGGCCGCACCACTGCAACAACAGCAAAACAAAAAACCACCGCGCATGAAATTTAGTGCACCCGGCAACTCCAGTCGCACTCCACACACACTGATAATAATAAAACTCTCTGAAGTACGCAAAGCGCCTCGTCGCTACCGCACGCTGAACGCCATCACGAATGGTAGGAGGGGATCATGGTAATAGTGCCATCCTGCTCCAGCACCGCCACCAACGACCCCGTCGCGCACCCCTCCACGTTCACGAGCGCCACCGCCTCCATGGTGGCCACGCCCACCGGCAGCAGCGTCACGTTGCCGCCGTGTTGGCCGTAGCGGCACACAACGAGGTGATTCGTTTCCGTGTGCATCCACAGCCGACGGCGACTGCACGCAACGCGCGTCACGCGGCCGCCCACACCGCGGTACAGTCCAGTTGAAATCATCGCCACCACCTCCACACCGATAACAGGATTAATGCGGGCCAGCAGCACGCCCTCTAAACCTTTCGTGGCCAGGAAGAAGAGCGACGGCCCGAGACCGGAGGCGCGGGCCATGCAGTGCACCGGCGCAGGAATTGGCACGACGGTCGTCTGCAGCACACCAGCCGATGCCGCCGACGCGGTGCTCGAGAGGGCGGCACAGCGGACCAGTGCGAGGGAGGGGTGCTCGCACACCACGCAGATCATGAATAAATCATCATCGTCAAACAACACTTCGTAGAGGCCGCCGTCCACCGAGGGCACCACCACGGCAGCGCAGGCAAGCGGCGAGAACGGCGGCTGCCGCACGTTGAGGAGGTGCAGTCGGGTGTCTGACAGACTCGCACACGCCAGCATGCTGCCGTCGCGGTGGGAGAAGGCAGCGGAAGTCACCGTGAAGCCGTCACACGTTCGATAAAAGAGAGCGCGGGCAGAGCTGTCGAGCTGCGAGGACGCACCAAAGCTTCGCCCTGCGTGGCCCGGCCATCCGCTTTCCGCCCCGGTGGCGGTAGCGGCAGCGAGACTCCACAGCAGCACCCCGCCGCGGCAGCCCACGGCAAGCACATCTGTCGCGTACGGCTTCCAGTGCAGCCAGTTCACATCCTTCTGAAACGCGTGCGACAGCACACACGCAACCTTCTCTTCTGCAACGTCGTACAGCACTACACGCGCAGACCCGTCCGCCGCGCCTTCGTCGACTGCCACCGCCAGCCACAAATACAAAGGATGGAAGCTCAGCGCCGTTACCCGCTCCGGCCCGCCTCGGCAGGACTGTCGGGCGTCGAGCAGACACCACGTGTCGGGCAGCGCCGACGGGCAGAGCGTGCGCACGCTCGGGAAGACAAACGCGGCCACTTTTAAAGCGCAATGAAGAAGGTGCGGGACGATGTGGGGCATCGCAGAGAGCACCTCCTGCACCGCGTAAAGCCCGGTGGGTGGTCGCCGACGTCGCTGCGGCGGATGGGCCCGATGTGAGCGGCATCGCGAATTGTAACGGGCAGATCCCAGCAGCGACAGCGCCTTGGAGATCCAGGAGGATCGGATGCTGCCGCTGCTGCTTCCGTCGCTGCTTCGATGGAGAGAAGAGGAGGCGGGTGTCGAGCTGCTGCCGGTGCTCAAGTCGGCCGATGCGTCATTATCCCACGCGACAACGCCTTCATTGACGCACTGCAGCGGGCGGTACGTCGCCCCGCCCAATGCGGCGTAGGTGGCGGCACTGCGACTGCCGTAGAGCCGCCCCGCCTTCTCGCCTAAAAGGCGTGCATCGTCGATGAGTGCCTGCGGGTCCTCCGGCAGGATTTCGCGCAGCGGTTCGAACATGCTAATGAATCGGAGAAAGGGCTGAAATTACTGAAATAGAAGAAATAGAAATGTTGTGAGACACAATCTTTTCCCTTTTCAAAGTACGTGCGGCGGAACTGTGTGGCTGCTGCGTCGCTTGTTACCTGTCTTCCGTTAGCGCGCGCTTGATCATTCCAGACGTGGTCAATGAAAGGATAAAGAGACCAAAGAGGCGTCGACCTTGTGATGCGCTGCGTGTTGTTCTCTTTCTTCTTTTGTCTTTCTTCTTGTCGAGCGAAGAATGACGACAGCAGCCAGGTGAACCGTGCTGCCCCTTCGTGTTTTGGTGCAGGAGACAAAATCCACTTCTATATTAGTTTTTTTACTTTGTTTTTCTGTGATGATCGATTTCCTGTCGTCGTCAGGCCGGCCACGTAATCCGACCGCGCACCGCCCAACGCCACGTGCGATCGTGATGAACACGGGAGATAAAGAAAAACGGCAGCAGCGGAGAGAGAAGAGAGGGAAAGTACGTGGTGCAGCACGCGAGCAACGCCGTCGACCACGACGGGAAAGCAAGCAAGCTATTACTTTACCTTTTTTCGTTGTTGTCAGACATGGGCACATAGGTGAGGGAAGTCAGCACGCCAGTACGTACGCCGCATGCGCGCCATCACGGCTTGTGTGGGCTGCGCAGCCCACCGCGCCTTTGTCTTGTTTTTCAGCAGAACAACACCTTTTCCGTTGAATAGCTTCTATTGGCCGGTGATGCCGCCTTTCATTTTGGGAGATTATTTTCCTTTCTTACGCCTTCTACCATGCGCCGTGTGCGTACGAAAATGCGATGTGACGGCACTATTTTTTTAAACACAAAAAACCGTATTGGAAGTACTTTAAAAAAACACTGTTAACGCCAAAATGAGTAGCGGGCAGCCCCGCCCCCTCGACAGCCATCAAACCGGCCAATACGAGCAAGAGCAACTTCACCTCTCCCATACAAGAGAAGGCATCCAGCTGATCACGCACCGCATAAGACGCAACCAACGCCGCATCACTTTGATTTACCGCCGCCACCACCATTCTTCTTCCCGCCAGACGCAGCCTTGTTCTTGTTGCCGGCACCGCTGTTGCCGCCGCCCTTGCCTTTGCCTCCGCGGCTCGCACCGCCCTCGTCCATCTCCAGCAGCGCCGCCATCGCCGCCTCCCGCTCCTTTGCTGAGGCGTCGCCCGATGCGGCGCCGCCGCCGGTCTTTTTGGTGTTTCCCTTCTCTCCACCGCGCACGTTGCCCGACGACGATGACGCACCGGCATCGGCGGCGCCACCGGCGTTTACGTTTGCCTCTCCAGGGATGGTTTTGTGGATGAGGCGCTTCACGTCGTCCACGTACATGCCGGGGTTCGGCTGATGAAAGAACTTCTTCATGTGGTAGGCGTCCTCCTCGTCCACGTAGTACTTCTCCTCCACCCCCGCACACCGGAATCCAAGCGTGTCTTGATACAGGTGGAGCGCCGCGTCGTTGGTCTTGCGCACGTGCAGGGAGCAGTAATGGGCATTATACTCGGTGTCCATCTCCTTCATGGTCGCACGCATCACACGCGACGCAATGCCCAGCTTGCGGTGCGACCGCAGCACCGCCAGCGAGGTAATGTGGCCGTGCTTCTTATCCTTCTCCTCCTCATCATCCATCTTCCCCAGCACGTAGCCAACCGTATTGCGGTTGTAGTCCTGCTGCACGTACAGCAGCTGTGGCCACGACAGCAGGTGATAGTAGTAATAGCGGAGGTTGTAGTTCTCTGGAAGGCAGCGCAGGTTGTTGTGCTGCATCTCGTACATGTCCTCCATCGTAGCGCGCCGGAGCTGCATGGGGTCGACTGCGTAAGAGCGTGAAGGGAGATAATACGAAAAGAAAGAAAAAGGTTAAACTAATTCGCTCGGTGTGGGCGTGAAGGCCTTTCTTTGATGAACCTCGATTGGGGAAGAAAAAGTCGCGAGAATCGCGGTGACACCGCATGCGCAGCGCATCGGAAAACGCAGTAGGAGAGGCGATTGGGAGAGAAAAAGGAAACCGATGACTGTTGAGCTGCGCTGAGAAGGCAGCGTTGACGACGGTGAGAAGACGAAGGAGACCGCTGTCAAAGCTCCTCAGATCACTACGACGGGCGCGACAAAAAAAAAGAAGTGCACTGCGGGACTGTCAGCACACCTAGATGCACATCACCGCTGGTACTGTGTTTGTGAAGAGCAGCAGCAGCAATCATGGACACATCACTTGTCAGAGCAGAGTAGCATGCGAGCTTGTCTCGTATTACTAGGGGCACTTCTTCGTGTCGAGCTTCTATGCTGCACGGCTTGTCTATAAAAAAAAACAGTAAAAATACAAAAGCAGTGATGATGCTTCTATTCACGTGCGTGACCGCTACTCGACAGCGAAACAGAAAAGAACGGAGAATAGTTCTGCTGACTGAATGCAGCCGTGCATGAATATGCTCGTCAATGAGCCTTTGCACACACACACACACACTCACCACGTGGCAGCCGATAGAGAAAACTGCAGTGCCTCCAGCGGTACGATGGCGGTGTAGCAGCAGCGCCGATTAAAGCCGCCCTCTTGGAACTTCATTGCATCCACCTCGCTGGAAGGCGTGAGTGGTAGCGGTGGGAAGGAGGCGGCTGCATCCGTCGCCACTGTACGTGCAGCCCCCTCCTTACTGTCCCTCGGGGCGGCTGTGGAGCCGTGAAAGGGCCCACGCACGCGCGGCGCAGCCCCCAGCACCCCACCGCCCGCTACCCACCGATCCTGACTCAGCTCCTCCTCTTTACACGCCAGCAGCTGCCGGTCCAACAGAAATCGCAGCACCGCCCGCACCGCACGCTGACTGAGCACACCGCTCGCCATGAGCCGGCTCTCGAGGTCGGCGTGCGTAATCCCGGGCACGCGCAGCACAAAGCGATACACCGCGTGCACGACGAGCTGCCACATGTACTGATGGAAGCTGCCGTCGACGTGGTGGAAGATGCTCGGATAGGGGACGTGGTAGGGTGAGAATGCAACGTCGGTGCTCAGCGCAGCACACCGACCCGCTGCGAGCGCCTCGCGACAGCGCTCTACTGCCCGCTGTTCCGACGGCGTCGGCGGTCCATCGATGGGCAGGTCGCGGAGGTAGGCCGGATCCCCAAGGTTGCGCACGCTGCGGGCGGGGTAGAGCTGCCGCGTTGCCTCCGCCTCCCCCCGCAGCACCGCGCGCTCATCTTCCGAGTCCGACTCGCTCGCATCTGACCTCGTTCCTTCCGCGACAGTGGCGGCGGCAGACGACGAAGACGTACGTACGCGCTTGTGGTGGCGGCGTCTTCTGGTTCGCCTCCTTCCTACGGTGGGCACCGCAACCCCCGCTTCTCCACTGGCTGTGTTGCCGCTGTTGTTGCCCTCCTCATCGCCCTCCTCGCCTTCGTCCGCATCGGTGCGGTCCCGCGCCGGCTGTCCTCTTCGCTCACACTCCACCGCCGTCTGCGGCCACGTAAGGCGCGGCAGCGGCAGCTTCGTCATGTAGTCGCGCACCGCATTCGGCGCCATGCTCAGTCGGGCAAGCTCCATCGTCGGCTGGTGAACGAGTTGAAGCGGCGCAGGAAAGACCGTCACGTCCACGCAGCTGAAAGTATTGCTGTTGAGGGCCTGACCGGCATCGACGCGCAGAAGGGCTTGCAAAGCTGTGTGCTTCCCAACCATACGCAAGCGCTCCACCCCACTCGAGCAGGCTGTTCCCATGTCGTCCAAGGCGTGTGTCCAGTGGTGCAAGATGGAGATGTTCGCGCACGGCCGCGGCCCGCCCCGCAGCGCACTCGGCGGCAGCACATACGGACTGTACACGAGCGAGAGCAGCGGTACGCGGAAGTTGTGTCGCCGGGAGCGGCAAAAGACGGGCATCTTCTGCAGCAGCAGGCGCGCCCGTGTGACGAGGGCCTGGGCGTTGAGGTCGGACAGGAGCGCACGGGCGATGGAGGCGCGGTAGTGGGCCTGGTCGGAAAACAAGACCATGCGCAGGATGTCTGTCACCACCTCGAACTCGGCGGCCAGCCGTGCGTGCTGCTGCGCCGTCTCTGCACTCGAAGCCTCCAACGCAGGCGAGGCAGACGGGAAGCTCACAGAATTGTCCGTGCGTGCCTCTGCGGCGGCGGCGGACTGCGCATGAAGAAGCGGAGAGGCAGTAGTGGTGGAGGGCAGCGCCGCGCGTGGGGCGTAGACGCTCTCTACCTCCTCTCTCAACGACTCGGTTGAGGAGAAGTTGCCACCCGGCGGTCGGTGCGGTGGGCGACCGGCGGCCTGTCCTTGCCGAATGACGCGCAGTGTCTCCCCCAGGCCCCCCATGTGCAGCGTGGAGAGGCTCAACGTGCGATTGTACGAAGCCCCGCCCTGGCCGGTGTTGGAGACGTTGAACTCCGTGCGGTAGACGTTGCCTGCCCACGAAAACCCGGCGAGGGCGTGGGTGAGGTCGGCGCCGGGCCGCAGCACCGCTGGCAGCACGGGAGGGACGGAGAAGAGGGGGTGCTGACTGAGGTGCTGGCCGCGGCCGCGCAGCACGAGTCGCACCACCTCCTCCACTCGCTTGAGGGGAGCGAAGTGGTGGAAGGCGCACTCGAGGGCGTCGGCGACGGTGGCCCCGCTGACCTCCGTACGCGCTGCCTTGTGCAGGGACGGCCCGTGGTGCGCCGTCGTGACGGTCAGCTGCCGTTTCAGCGAGGTCGCCGCAAACTCAGCCGCATCGTTGCTGCGGCGGCGGTTGCCCTGTTGCCCACGAAGCCGCATGGACGACAGCGACGACGATGGAGAGGCGTACGTTGCGAAGGTGATGCGGCGACGGTTGTCGCGTCCCACCACCGTCCCTCTCTCTGCGCTGTGCATCTCACCCAGGCGGTGGGTGTTGCGCAGACCACGCGGTACCCCACAGTTCTGATAAAGCTGCGCGGCCATCACTCCAGGCTCTCGTCGCATCACCTTGCAGAGCGCCACGACTTGGGGAACAGACGGATTCGGCTCTGCCGACAGCAGCTCCGCCTCCAATCCCTGCTGTGGACATCGAACCGTGTTCCACACGGGCAGCCAGTAGCGCATACACGCGTACAAGGACGACGAGGCAGAAGGGGGTGCAGTGGCAAAACTGTAGGTGCAGCTTTCCACGCTGACGGATGGGCAGAGCGCGTAGCACACCTCATCTCGCAGGTCAGGCAGCAGGAGGTGCTGGAATTGGTCGGTGCTGCGTACCAGCTGCCGGTCTTGGAGCTCTGTGAGACACATGCAGAGCATCTGCAGCCCCTGTTGCACACACCACCCGTACAGACTCGGCGGCAACGACTTGATGGGCGTAGACCACGCATAGGAGGAGGAAAAGCCACTGTTTTTGTTGCCGCTGCCCTCCTCGTCTTGAGCATCCGCCCCGACGCCCCCAAGATCCAGCACACCAGCCACATCCCCTTGAGGAAGGCCCACAACGATGCAATAGGTGCTGAGAGCCATGCGGTCGAACATCTCACACACCCGCACCCCTGTCTCAAAAGCAGCGTCACTCGAGTACAGGCAGTGCTGTGCCCACAACTCCAAATGCAGCCGCGACACCCGCTGCAGTGCGCTGCGAGCGTAGCCGTTGCGCATCGCCATAACTCGACTCACCGCCTTCGCAGCATTCGGGTGCGCGCGTAGCAGGCCCTCGGCGGTGGTTGAGTGGGCGACACCGTCCGACATGGCCGGCACCGCGTCCAGCACCAGCGCAGAGGGAATCGCCTTTCCCCGTAGCGGCGGGGGCGGACGGGCAGCGGACAGCGCACCGCTTGAAAGCGCCGCCTCTGCGTCCAGCACCGCCCGCTTCGCCGCATCGTCAAGGACGTGCACTTCATCGCCCGCGGCGCCGGTGTCGTCCTGTGGAGCACGCAGCACCACCATGCCGACTCGTTTCTTTCCCCGCTGCGAGAACCCGGTCGTGTAGACGTACTCCAGCTGTCGCAGCAGCGGCAGCACGCGGCGCTGCAGGGTGGTAATATCGATGGCCTTGGTGAGTCGAGGGAGGGACGCGGCGTGGTGCGGGGCCGCCTGCAGCAGCACCTCCAGCACCGTGTTCACCGAATACGCTGTCACACCTTTCGGCAGTCGGGGGTCGTTGTGCTCAAAGTGGAAGACGAGTGCGGGGGGGGTCGCGGTGGTCGCCGCTGGGCCGTCCGTCGCAACGCCCAGCCGCTGCTGAGGGGACGAGTGGGGGGCACGCTTGGCGTCCTCCGCGGCGAACGGGTCTTCCGTTTTTACGGCGGTCATCGCTGCGGCGGGCGTTGGCACGCGCGGCGCGTAGACGAGCATAAACGACTTGGAGTACTTCATCAGCAAATACTGCGTCTCCAACGTGCCGCGCAGCTTCACGTACTTTTCCATGAAGCCGCCCAGAATCTTCCTGCGCAGCTTATCCGGCATTTGGAAGCGCATGCGAGGAAAGAGGGACGTCAGTGCGAGGGGGCGACGCTCTGCTTCGTGGGCAGCCTGCAGCTCCACGGTTTGGCCAGGATCGACGCGTAGCACGGCAGCTGCTTCGGCGAGTCTATGACGAGTGGTGGGCCGCACCATGGCGGATGGCGACGGCGGCGGCGGCGGTAGTTGCTGTTCCTCCTTCACCGCTTCTTCGTTTTCGCCGTCGCTGTCGCTGCCGTCGTCTTCATTCTCCACGCCTCCGCTCAGGGTAGCACGGCGCACCCCTCTATCGGTACGCATCACCAGACCGTCATGCTCAAAAGAATCCGCCAGATCGCCCACGTCGCTGTCGTCGCCACTGTGCGGCCCGCCCTTCTGCTCTGTATCATTATCGCTGTCACTGCGCTGGCGCTTCTGCCCTGCGGAGGAGGAGGAACCGCCGAGCGGCACCGCCCCTACGTCTGAGACTACATCCTCTGCGGGAATCACCAACCGCAGCTCGCGGTCGTGCCCACGCAGTGACAAGACGGCCACCACAATTCGCAGGCCGGCGCAGTCCAATAACCGGCGCAGGTGCATTCGCTCCGTCTTGGAGAAGTCCTCCCAGCGGGTGTCGTGCAGGTCGTGCGCGGTTAAAATCGCGTGCACGGCGTCCTGCATCAGCAACCGCCGCTCCGGCGACTGCTGGACGAGCTGGCGGACAAGCTGCAGATCGAACACGACGCGCGGGAACGACACATCGTCGCGGCGTTTGCGGGCGAAGTAGTGATCCAGCGGGTTGCACCGGCGGCACAGGCGGCTCTGCACGACCGAAGTTGGGTGGTGGTACACCTCGTCGTGCGGCTCGGCGCTCGTGGCAGTAGCAGGAGCAGCGCTGCGGCAAAGCGCCTGCGTCGACGTTGCGCCGGCCTCCGTCATCCACTGCGGCTGCTCTGCCTTTTCTCGCTCTGTCAAGGGCAGAGCAAAGTGAGGAAAGAACCGGTACAGCACCTCATGTGTGGTTTTGCGGTAGAGGTACAGAAGCGTGATTTTGTGGACCCGCCGCAGCCACTTCAGGCCACCGCCCAGCAAGTGACTCTTGTAGCGTGCTTTGAAATCGGCCGAGTTGGGCAGCCGCTCCCAGCCCTGCATCGCGTTCTCCGCGATAAACTGCGAGACCATTTCCTGCTTCTCGTTGCGAATCGCGAAGCCGAGGACGCGCTCCCGCAGCTCACGCGACGGCACAAGATAAAAGAGAATCCCCGGCTCGTCTTTTGACGGGGGAGTTGAGGGAAGCGAGGCGCCACCCTGCGTTGCACCTTCCGCACCTACGTCGCAGCTCTGCCCCTTCGATGTACTCCAGGCCACACGCCCTGCATCGAGCTGCACCACCGCTGCCTCAGCGGTCAACGGCGTATGTGTAACGGCTGCTTCGAACGGGTCAGAGGTGCCCACCACCGGTGCCGCCTTCTTCGCCCGACCACCACCACCACCACGTCCGCCTCGGGAACCTGAAGAAGCAGCGCGCTGCCCCGCTGCGCTCCGCGTCGTGATGGCGGGCAGCGTGTACAAGGTGAACTCGCTGGCTTTGGTGGTCAGCAGAAGTCGCACGATGGTGCTGCGCAGCGTGGCGTTAGCGGCCCAGCCTTGATAGGGCAGTACATCCTCGCAGATGAACTCGCTGAGCTCGGCGGAGGAGCAGCCGCGGTGCACGGGCTGCACACCGATAAAGGTGAGACAGAGCTCCAGGCAGCCCTCGAACATGATTGCTCCACAAAGAGGCAGCGGAAAACGAGGGATATACACTACGGGAATGCACCACGGAAGCGGGGATGAAAGAAGAAAACAAACAACGTGTAGAATGAACTAAGTAGTGGCTCTAAGAAATTGAAGGGTAAGGTAAGCCATGGTCGCCCCTGCACCTACAAAAGGCTCTGCAGTTGTTTGAAACACGATGTTTATTGTAAAGAAGAAATAAAGTAGGAGAGGCAGAACGAGTTCGAGAGGGGAACAGCACGCATACGCACGTGCCTTTCTTTTTAGAAGATCGGTTCAGATTGTGGGCGGCTTCATTTGTGCATGAACCCGCGGTGCCCTCTGCGCTGTGTCTATGAAGATATACTTCCTTTTCTTTGAATTCTCACGTCGAGACGCACGGCCTCAAACGTGCTTGGCCGGAGAGCACTCCCCACGGCCACGACAGCGTTAAACTCACACGTGGACTAACCTCGGTGACGCTTTCTTTCGTTCGTTCATGGCTCTCTCTCCCTCCCTAGCACACCAGCAGCGGCTCGCAACCACCACCATTCACACCGTAACGGGACAGCACGCCTGCGACTTATGCAGCATTTGTCTCTTGGGTCTTGACGCCGTGCCAGCGGAAGTCAACTTTGATGGACCTCATTTGCTTCGCAGCAAATACAGAGATTTAAAAAAAGACGCTTCTTTCCGCGTTGTAAACAAAGGAGAAAAGCCTTTTTCCCAGCTCCGTCGCGCACAGCACACGTCTCACCGCCGGGCAACTCGCGTGCTCGACGTGCGTGGATTTGTTTTTCTTCTTACAGTGTTCGTGGGTACGTGCGTCACTTGAAGTTCGTCCTACGAATACATCTGCGTGAGTCCAGCGCGGTTGCATTGTTGAAGTCGTCGAGAGGCCAGTGCCACCGTCATTTGATCCAGTATTCGCTGCTGCTCTTCGATAACGCGCTTCACCTGGGTCAATACCTGCGCCACTGTTGACCTCGGTTTGTGCGCGAATAGCGCGAGTGACTTTTCGTAAATGAGCTCGTTCAGCTGCTTCACCACGTACTCGTGCATGTCAGACAACTCACGCAGCTTCGCCAGGGACTGCAAAGCGAGAGACGTCGTATTCTCCGCCTTGTACAACTCCTTTACGGTCAGTTGGTGCCGGTCAATCAGAAAAAGCTGATTGCGCAGCTGCTCCGTCAAGGCGTCAAAACTCTGTTGCTGTTGTGCCATTGATACGGGGTCAGGGTGTGCGCTGCTAAAAGATGGCGGCGCTGGTGCCGCAGAACTCGCCGCACTACTCGCTGTTTCTTTCACCGGAGGTGCTCTCGAGGAGGTCTGCGCTGGCTGCGGAGTGTAGGTGGCCCTCGCCACATCGTAGTAGCTGTCACTATAGCCTTCCCTGCAGAGCTGCTTCGCGCGCTTCGACGACGGGTGCTGCTCAAGCACGTGCTGGTCCATCAACTCCACGGTCTCGCGAAACTCGCGGCAGCCGCCTACCGGGCAGAAAGAGATGTGGGACATCGAAAGGTCATACGCATCCGCCATGAGTACCGCGCGCAGCGTCCACACGACCAACTCCTCCTTCATGAGCGAAATGTGTCGCATCTCCGCCTCACTCGCCGTCATGAAGTCCGCGAAGAGCTCCGCCACCCACACCTCGAAGTTCACATCATCTCGATCGTACCGGGTGTACTCCGTCATTTCCGAGAACATCTCCGCTTGACGCTGCGCGCACGTGCGCCATGCTGGACGGCCGTCGTCGGTGAGCTCCATCTCGCGCAGCTCCGCACGCGGGCCGCGACGTAGGGCGGATTCTCTGTATCGTGCGCTTTTGTTCTTACCCTGGCGACGGTGGCCTGTGCTGCTTCGGGAGGACTCCTGTGGGATCGCCGCCGGTGTTCGCGCCACCATCCGCCACAGATGGGTACCCAGTACGTGACCATCCGATGCTCCGCTTGCGTAGTCGAGATCGTCCGTGTACGCGTCGTAGTCATAATCGGTAGACGCTGTGTTGGTGTAACGTCGCCCATTGTTGCGGCGGGGGCCCGGGTTGCGCTCCACCCCGCCCATCAGTAATTGTGCTGCGATGTCGGCACGACGCCTCGCACGTGTCACGCGGTTCTCTGGCATCGTCGTATTAGTTTTGGAAAACAAAAAATGCAATGATTGATGTTTGCTATCGATAATTATTATTATTTGAAAAAGTTAATAGAGGAGGTGCCTTCTTTTTTCCCTTGGCTCTTGCAGTGAGCTAGCATCAACGGAGCACGGAGACAACAGCAAAAAGACACTGCGATAGACGACGCTGCTTACGAACGCTTCGGCGACAACAAAGTCATGTTGGGGAGGATTGTTCCACACACGAGTTGCGCCGCGTGGTCCTCTGAGCTGAGAACCGCGACGGGGCTGCGTGCAACACGAACTGGAGAGCTTTTCTTCACGATTCAAAGATTTTGAGCCGAAAGAAAAGGACCAATGCTCCTCAGACGAAAGCGAAGGCGCGCACCTGGCCCGAAGGAAAGCGAAAGAAGAAGGCGGAAAAGAGGAAAAAGCAAACGATGTAAAGAGACGCATGGAGCTGAAAGTAAAACAGGCGAGGACACACACTTCCTCCAATAAAAGAAGGGGGAAGGCCGTGTGGGAGAGGAAAGAGCAGAATAAAACTCCTTCTGTACTCGCACACCATAAGTTTTAAGGGCAACTTCATACTTGATCGGTTTGCGGTTTATAACAGCTGCATCCTCTGTCGCGTTAGGAAAAGTCTGTCGTTGACATCATGTTTATTATTCTTATTATTCCATTTTTTTTATTCTTCTAGCAGGAGCCATATGCAGTACTGTATGCGCAAGCACTTCGATACAGGGAAGGGGGAGAGGGAACTTGTAAACCAACAAATGATATGCATCGCACTTGCTCTTCTCCCCCCTTTCCTTCGAACTACGCGTCCCCGTCATCTTCCTCCGCAAGACGGTCCACGCTCGCCTTGATGAGTGGCGTGGCGGATGCGGACGACGACGACAAGGACGAGGTTGGCGTTGACCGCGTCGCGGAAACGCTCCTTGACGCCGTAGAGGGCGACGTCACCTCTTCGTCGCTATCTTCTGCGCTGCTCGGGGTCTCCTCGCCGGAGGACGAGCGTGCTCGCTTGCGCTTCCGTGCAGCGGACTTTTTCATCTGTTTCTCCTCCGCCCCGCTCGCTTTGCCGCCTGTGCGTGTCCTCTTGCGGTCGCGTTCGCCTGACAATGCCGTTCCTTCTCGCCCGGAGTCCTCTGCTGTCTCAGTCATGAGTGCCGTCTCCAGTTCTGCGCTGACGTACTGCCACGCCGCGGTGCGCGCCGCTCTGCCTTCCTTTCCGAGTGCAGCGACGAGGGCGGCGCCCACCCGTTCTACAAGTTCTTGCAGTCGCTTCATCAAGGCGGTGGCTGCACCCAATCCCTCTGCGGCATCGCGCCCGCGTAACGGGGCCGAGCCGTGTCCGTTGCTCCCAGCCCTAGATTGCTTATCACGTGTCCGGTAACGCTGCACCTTCGTCTCGGACAGCCGATACTCGGAGAAGAGGGCTCGGCGGAGGTAGTAAAGCAGCAGCGCACCGATCGCCTTCCACTGCATCGTCATGCCACCGCCGGCAACGGCATCTGCATCGGTGTCTTTTAGCCAGTCCAGCGCGGACTGGCCGTTGAGGTCCAGTGCGACCCGGCATTGCTGTAGGACGTGCATCACGTCACTCTCGTGTTGGAAGGGCAGGGTAAAAAGCACCAGCGTCAGGTGGGACAAGAAGAGAAGCGGGTGCATGGCACCGAAGATACCCACCGGGGAAGCGGCGGCAACCGTGGCAGCGGCAGTCAGCGGCGACGCCCACACGGCCAACTCCTCCGCGTGCTCCGCACACCAATGCGTCACCCTAGCATCTTGGTAAAAGAGACGGACAAGGGTGGTGATCATGTTGTCGCGCGATCGCTTGTGAAGCAGAGCGTAGAGCACACCGTGCACACTCTGCTCACCGGTGCTGCTGCTGCCCGACGTCCCAGCCGGCTCAGAAGGCGACGGGGTGACCACGACGGCGCTGCGGAGAAGATGCGCTCTGCAGGCGTGGTGGAGGTCAAAGGCGAGCACGACGCCACGGCCGACCGACGCCGACACCACCTCTTCGTGACGATCGCAGTGCGCGGCGAGACTCGCGGCGGCTTGCTGGCGGAGCGGCGCGTGCACGTCTGCCGCGAGGGCAATGACGACCCGCACGTACTTGTCCGGCGGAAGCAGCCCTCCCTGCGCGGCTTGCCGAAACAGCCGAAGACAGAGCGAACGCACGGGGACGTGGGCGCTGCTGCAGCCGAGACGTGCGATGTCGCCGTGGAACTGCTGGAAGATCCACGTGGACATTCCGCTGTTGAAGTCCTCTGTCGTTGCCGCGGCTGCCGATGCTGCGGCGGCGACTTTTTTAACCCGTCCAGATGCTTTGCGCGTAGACGCGGAAGCGGCTGTGGAGCTTTCGTGGGGCACCTGTTTTGCCCCTCTCCCTTGCCGAGTGGTGCCGGGTGCCGTTGCTGGTCTTGCCTTCGCTTTTGACCTCTGAGAGCTCTTCTCGTCCTCACTGCTGCGGCTACCGCTGCGACTTGTAGAGGCAGATGCGCGCGAGCCGACAATCAGTGCTGTCGTGTCGAGGCGTGCCGCATTGTGCGCCGCGGCATCCACCCGTTCATCTTCCTCCTTCAAGAAGTCTGACAACAGCGACAGCCCCTGTAATTGAAGATTGTGATCTGCAGAAGTGAGAGCGTCGCGTATCTGAGTCTCCGCACGGTGGAAGTACGTGGTGGGGTCCAGCATGCACAGCGAGGCGACGACGCGCAGTGCAATGACGACGACCCGCTCGCGTATGCGGCTGCCGCTGCAGCTTTGCAGCACGTCTTCCAACAGTTGGTAGGTGTTTGCCGTAATGCCAGGGCCGCTGGCGAGTTGGTTTGGCGTAGCGGACGCACCGTTTGCCTGTGCACCACTGCTGCCCACGGCGGCGTCGACGAGCGCGGGATGCGGCGGCTGCTGCTTCCACCCCGGGTACATACGCAAGAATTCGGAAAGCAGAAACAAAAAGCGCTGCGTGTAGGCGACACTGTGCGGCTGCGTTGCCAAGGTGGGGAGCAGCGCACGCACACGGCAGTAGTAGGTGTTCATGAGCGAGTAGCACAGCTGCAGATATGGCACGTTGACTTGGGCGGAGAGGCGGTGCTTGGCGCCGCACGTGATCAAGGCACACAAGGCCCCACACGACGCCACAATGACGCGCTGCTGATAGGGCCCAACGTACTTGGAGAGCAGCGTGGTCAGGCACCGCGCCAGGTAGTCAAGCGAGATCAGCGGCCGCTTCGGCGCGTGCAGGACACCGTGCAGGATCTGACAGAGTTGCAGCAGCGACCCGCCCAACGCCTCGGCCGCGCTGGCGAGCGGTGACGTGGTGGGCGGTGGGTACGCAAGCGCCTGCACCAGGACCTCGGCCAGCGGCATGACCCACTCGCTGCGCGCCAGCGTCAGCACACGCAAGGTTGCCAGGCATGCCACGGCGTCACCGCCGGAGTGAAAGCACTGGTAACGCATCCACAGCGACTGCGCCGCACAACGCATGACGTGGAGGAGCTGGCCGACGTCTACGCGGTAGCCCCGCGAGCGCCGTTTGGGGTGCGGCGACGCGGTGGGTGCAACAGACGCGTTCGCAGCGGCAGCAGCGATGGCGGTGGCTTGCCGTGCCCCCTCGATGGCGGGGTCGTGCGCCGATATGTGGGCGTGCATCCGCTGCAGCAGCTGCACAAGAAGGTGCTCATCTGTAACGTCGTACGGGAAATCCGTGGCACCCGCTACGGTCAGCGTCACCAGCTCTTTCGCCAGCTGCGCGTGTGCCCCGGTGAGGGAGCCGTCGCTGTCCGCCAGCGTCACGACCCACCGATGCAAGAAGTGCTTCACGACTTCCTGGTGGTGCTTCGGCTCGGCGGTGGGACTGGCGAAGAAGAGCAGCTTCTGCTGAATAAAGGATATGAGGGAGGCGCCTTGTGGGGTGGTGAAGAGGTATTGATAGCTGTGGTCCGTCAGAAAGGTGTCGAGAGCCGTGATGGTGCGCGAGGCCACCGAGACGCTCTTGTCGGCCAACAGGTGCAGGAGACTGCTGATCACTTCTGCCGTGATGCCCTCTCGCGAGAGCGCCGGCAGCTGCCCCGCGCTGGATGCATCCGTGTTCACCTCGGCCGCCGCTGCGTCGCTCAGCAGCGTGAGCAGCAGCGGCACGATAGACTCCCGCACCCGCGCGCTGTCGTCGCGAACGCACTGACGCACAATGGGCCACAGGTAGCGGTGCAGCGGTGGGTGCAGCGTGGTGAGGCGTGCCAAGTGGGCGAGCGTCTTCCTCTGCACCACCTCCGTCACGGGGACCGCCGCCTCCTGCGCGTCCCTCAGATGGAAGACGGAGAAGAGCATCGAGACGAGGGTGTGCCGCATGCGCAGACTCAGCATCGACTTACCAGATTGTGTACTAACCGCCTGCGTCCACGCGCAGACATCGCCCCAGTTTGTGGATTGGCCGTTGCTGTTGCTGCTGCTACCACCGGGTGGTCCTTTCCAGCGTACCAGCGCATCCAGATTGGCCGGAGGAACCCAATCAGGGCCTGCGACGTCGTGGAGGCACACCCACGAGATGAGGCGCGCGGCCCGGACGTGCAACCACACCGATGCGTAGTCGGCAGAGGTGGAGGGGTCTGCGATGAGCCGCGACTCAGCCAGGTACACCGCCGCGATCAGATCTTGCACGCGGTGGTCCTCCTCGGTACCGTCCGCCGCACTGGCACCCACTGCACTACCGCACAGGTGCTCCCATACCAGCTGATCGTCTGAGCGAAGAGGCGGTGAGGTGCCCACGACGTGCTGGAGGGCCAGGCGGGCAGCCGCTTGGCTGGTACTGGCCGATTCACCCAGACGCTCCATCTCGGCCAGGATAGCGGCTGCCACAGGGAAGCGTGGTGCATCGAACAGCTTCACGGCGACGTGGCCCAGCACATCAATTGTGAGTGGGCGCAGCGCCTCAGCTGACGGGGACGAGGCCCCTTCACTCCCCAGCGTAACCTGTGCGAGCGCCATCACCAAACTGCGCAGCAGGAGATCCGCCCCGGGCCACTCCGGCACGCCGAGAAGGTCAGCCAAGTCCTCTGCCATGCGTATCGTCGCGGTCCACGCGATGCTGCCGTCGGCTTTGTCGCGCTCGCCGGCGCGGCTCAGCAGAAACTCTTGAATAAATCCGTTCACCCACAGTCCACACTGCCGCTGCAACGCCTCCGCATCAGCAGCTCCGATCGCATCGAGTGGGAGCGGGGTAGACTGCGCCGCAGCGAGCACCGCAACCGTCAGCGGCAGGACAGCGCGTCCGTCAAAGTGGGTCTGGTAGCTGCGCTGCGTCAGGAACTCAGAGACGGGGAGCTGCTGAAAGAAGTTCTCCGCGGTGCGCTGTCGCTGCACGTCAAGGCGATTCCAGAGGCAGCGGTACAACCGCACCGCGGTGTCCACCACGTACGACGAGCACAGCGCATGCAGCTCCTTTGTGCAGGTGCGGGTGAGGCGGAAGAGGCAGTGATGGCAGAGCTCTTCAAGACGGAGCACATCGCTGGCCACCGCCAGCCGCAAATGTGCGTTGCACACAATGAGCGCGAAGGCTCCAATAAACCCACGAAGTTGCTCCAACGAAGGGAGAAGAGAAGAGGTACTGGCAGCAGCAGCGGCAGCAGTGGAGTTGTTGCTGCCGCTACGCTTGCCCACCATCGAAGACCGTCGCTTCGCCCCGCCTTCTTCATTTTCCTTTTCTGTTAAGGCAGCGCCCGCGCTTCGATGCTGCCCCTCCTGCAGCTGCATCGACACATCTCGTACGAGGCGAGCGAAGATGTCAATGACACGACCCACCACACCATCAGGCACCGCCTCTGTTGGGAAGTGTGGATGCGCCAGGCACTGGCAGCACAGTAACCCTCGCGCTGACCACCGTAGCGCATCGTCGTCCTCTCCCCTTTCTGTAGGCGTCGTTGGTTTGGCCGACGACGCCGCTGCCTCCTCCGTTGGGGCCGCCACCAGCGATGCGAGCAAGTGCGAGAGCTGTTCTCGCTTGATGCTATCAAAAGGGTGTAACTGCAAAGGCAACACCGAAATGAAGTAGAGAAGCGACGGTAGGCTTGATTCGGCAGGCCCGGTGCTTCGCTGATGGCAAACCCAATCTGCAAACGACAGGGAAGCACTGCCCTCATGCGGCGCTGCCGGACCGACAGATTCCCAATTCGCTCCCGCGGCACCTGTGCGCGGCTCATAGCTGCGGCACGCGGGCAAGACCGCCCTTGAAGAAGAGGACGCAGCCACCGCGCCACCGCGGCGATGCGTGGTCGTTGAAGGAGCAACGCAGACACTGGCAGCACCGCCGCCACCACCACCACCAACGGCGGAATCGAGCGATTCGGAAGAAACATCAGCCCATGCGCCTCCAAGCCCGCTGAGGCGCCGCGGCCGCAGACCCATCGACAGCTCATCTTCGCTTTTTGTCCACATTTCGGTTTTGGGTACTCGTGTAAGCGGGACCCGCTGTCGCGAGGACGTCTCGCCGCCTAAAGCAAGCGCAGCCGACGACTTGTGCGGCTCGTCGTGGTTCTTACGAAAGAGAGGAACCTCCAACACGGTGCTCTGCTGTCCCATCGAGCTGAGCAGCTTCTTAATACCAGGAGCGGCTGCGGTGCTGACGTGACGAGCTACCTGGAAAGGGTCGGCAGCCCGCTCCTCGCCGCGAACGCCTTCGTCTGTCTCGGTGATACGCGGGTCCACTTCGTGGTGGAGCTGCTCCTGAAAGAAGTGCTCGTATCGCCCAGTGAGGAGGAGGTGCTGGGCAGACTGGTGCATTCCGCGCACGACGCCATCCAACTCCCCCGAGCTCCACCCTCCGCGTTGGGCTGCATTCGTGGTGGAGTCAGCGGCGCCGGCGGGAGTATCCTCCTCACTTGGCCACGGAGTTTCGAGGTGCATCTGCGAAATCATCCGCGGCACCGGAAAGGAGAGGAGCAGCTTGGGAACAGGGTTGATCGACTCCTGCGCGGCGAGAGTGAAAGGCCGCGGAGCAGCAGGGGCAGGCGGCATTCCATTCTCCTCCGAAAAGGGCCGTGCATTTGTGTACGAGTTGGGCATGGTTTGATCTGAAAGAACAGTCGCAGTGCTGAACGCGTTTCTGGCGCAAGTGCGCTCCTCTGCCGTCCACACGTGAAAATCAAAAAGCGACAACGAAAGTGTCTGGATTTGTGGGAAACCAGAACCCCAGAGCGCAAGGCCTTCTCGCACACTGAGGACAGTTTTCGTTTCTCTATCTGGTTCTTCTATGCAGCTATCACCTTCAGCGACAGCCTTACAAAATTGAAGCGGGCTGTGAATGTGTGTGCAGGCCGCTTTTGCAGCGCCGTACACTCAGCGTTGTGCGGAAGGGGCGTATCAACACGCACTGGGGTCTGTGACCCTGTCTGTCGTTCTATGGCGAAAGAAGTGCTTCCTCTCCAGTGTGACTCTACTAAGAAGAGTTTAAAAAATGAGGACAACGGTAAAATGCCAAATGGTATTACGTATATGTATGTAATGACGGTTGAAATGCGCAGCGTGCAGAACACTATGTGTCGTCGTATGCTTCGCAGGGAGACAAAGAAGTGAGAGAAACTAAAAAGGATGAAGTAGCCGCAGTTTAATCCAAAGCGCTACGCACACTTACTTCATAGACGGTTCAACCGAGAGGAGGAGCGCTTCCGTATTCGTGCACAAGCACCATGCGGCATTCACTACATTTATTTATCGCATATTTAGCACGTCCTTTGCCAAGAGTTTCATGGGCATTCGATTATCGCACTGTGGGTAAGTAGCGAGCTTTCACATCACCCAAAGGCGATGTTGCAGTTCCTTTTTGAGGGCCGCCTCTACGTTTTGTGGATGTTTTAATCCGTTTTGTGATTGGCATGGGTGCGTGTGTGCGCTTGCAGCAGTGGCTCTTACGCCCACCCTACGCTTTCTTTTGCATTTACACCTCACTTCATAGGTGGGGGTGGCGCATATAAAGAACACAGAAGAGTTGAAAGCGTAGCTGCTGAGCACGCAAAATAGTGGTCGCACAGAGCACACACGCAATACGCAACACTTCTCTGACCGGGCATTGCTCGGTAAGACCCCCGCCGAATATGTGACCGTTCGAAAGCATGGCGGTCGGAACCTACGCTACGTCGTTTTCGTGTGGGGGGGAACGAGCAGCGGGGATGTAGCTCCCTCCGAATCTTCCGGCGCAGACGTTGCGAGTCCTTCCACTTTCCCAGCAACACAGGAGAGCATGGGATAGCCACAGCACTGCGTCGAAACGCTGCTCTGCAGCTCTGGCGACTCTTTGCAGTCCTGGAAAAGACGGGCCACGAACTGCTGCGTAGCCGCCTTTAAACGTTCGTCCGTGTGTGTCGGAATGCGGGGGAGGCACCCACGCTCGTGCCACAGAACCACCAGCGGCAGGACCTCGGACACCATGCGGTGCAGAAGGAAGTCCAAGGCGAGAAGACGAATCGATTCCAGTCCGTGGAGGGTCTCGAAGACGGCGGGTGCGATGGACACGTCGGCCAGCTTGCGGCGCTCCATACCGGTGCGACCGCCTGGCCCCGCGGCCACCGTCGCGAACGCCGCCACCGGCTCACGCAGGAGAGCAAAGAAAGAAAGGTAAACGCGGTAGACAGTGTGCAGATGGCTGCGTGGAAGCTCAATGCTCACCGGCGCTGCAGACGTCGGTCCACTCATCGCCTCGTCCGGTGCAGCGTTTACAACGTAATGCGTCCACGGCCAGTCCAGCGGAGGAGACGCGGGAAGGGGGGAGCGGCCTTCCGTGTCCTCGTCCTCCTCTTCCTCCTCTTCGTCTGCTGCCTCCTTCGAGTCCTCGTCGTCCAGGATCTTTTCCATGAACCTGTGCCCTCGCCTGCCCCCCGCGCCAGCGGTCTTCCGCTTCGCGTTGCGGCGCGCCATCGCCGCGTCGTGGAGTCGCTGCCGCGCCTTCTCAGCCCACGCAACCGCGGTGCTAGTCGTCAAGAAACACGTCAGCCCACGCACGACGCTCTGCACGGCCAGAGGCGCCGCGGCGTCGCTTACCGTGCAGTACTGCAGCACTGCATACACCGCCTCCAACGCAGCCGACTGCAGCGCCCGCACCCGCGTGTGCGCCGAGGTGGTGTGCCGCTCCTGATCCTCGTCGAGCGCCTCCTGTGGGACGCTAAAGTTGAGGTAGGCGGCCACGTCCAGTGCGTCCCGTAAGAGCGCCAGGGCCGCCCGTCGCCCTTCCAAATCGGCCGCAGACGCGCTGCTGTCGTACCGGCTGCACAGGAAGAGCGTATCGCGCGCCACGTGAAGGGTGCTGCCGACAAAATCGGACACCTGCGCCACCTCCTGCAGCGAGGCGAGTTGAGTGCCGGTGCGCTGAAAGAAGGCGGACATCTCCGTGGAGGACAGGCGCTGACGCACCACCGCAGTAAGCTGCGTGCTGCTCCCACAAAACCGACCTTCCTCGCCACCACCGCTGCCGCCTGTCTGCTCGGCATCGGACACACTCCCTCTGTGCATGAGGCGTGAGGCCAGAAAGGCAAGACTGCCGCGCAGGACACTCGAGGCGGCGGGGCGCAGGTGCTCCTCCCGCACCGCCCGCGCCGTCTCGTCCACGATGAGAGAGGAGTGATGGAGGAGAAAGGACAGCGCGTCCGACTCGTTCGACGCCGTGCTGTACATCTCCAAGCACCGCATAGCAGCTTCGTGAACAACACCACTGGCTGTGGCCTTCTCCAGCACCAGGTAGAGCGTCAGCGCAAAAAGGCGCTCGAGAGCATCAGTGGTCATCTGTAGCGCGTCGTCCCCCTTCTCCGACGCGTGTGCGCTCGGCTTCGTCGAAAGCACCTCTGCGGTTAACGTAAGAAAACGGAGAAGTGTGGCGGCGACAACCTGGCGGTGATGGATCTGCTGGTTATTGCAGAGGTCCACGTCTTCGGTGATGTTCCACAGGTGCGCCGGGGCGACGACGCTCCACAGCTGCTCAAAAGCCCCAGAGGTGATAAAATCAGAAGGGGACGGATACACGCAGCCAGCAGCATCGTCTTGCAACTCAAAGTGATCGCCGTCGCACTCGCGTTGTGCAGTGCGGGCGGCCGCATCAAGCGAAGGGTGAAACTGCCACACGACGAGTCGGGTCAGCACGTACAACACGGACGGGTGCACCGCGTAGGCATCCCAGTCCTGCAGGATACCGTTGTACTCGTCTAGCAACGCGTTGGTCAGACGCTCCCCAGCCGTCTCGTCCTCGCCGCCGTTCGCCGCTCCGGCAGCAGAAGAAGAAGCGGGCGGCAGACGGGCCAGAGTGCCAGCCAGGGAGAAGAGGAACTCATCCACCACGCCGGCGGGGAACTTGCGAGGACGCCGGTGCGTGTAGAGCGCCTCGTCGTCCAACTCCGTTCCCACGACGCGGACGCACTTGCGCACAACAGAAAGGAAGAGGGCCGTCACGTTGTCGCTGGGCGGTGCGCCGGCCACCTCGATGAAGGTTCCTTCAGCTGTGCTGCTTCCATCGAGGGTACGCAGGGCCTGAGCCGGTGCAGCGGGCGGTGTGCGAACGGGGGAGGAAAAGAAGTGCTCACTCAAGACGGGGAGTCGCACCGCTGTGGTGGCCACGTGTAGCAGCTCCACACCGCGCAGGTACTGCAGTGCGTCCTGCACCGCCGCCATCGCGAAGGGACTGCGCATCACGGCATTCAGCTTTTGCACCTCCTCTGCCCTATGCGAGATGCGTGTGTCGGGTGTATTGGGAGAACCAACCTCTTTTCCTCCCACGACGTCGTCGCCGAGGTGGTGCAGGTGGTCCATGTTGGTTACCACCGCAAACGCCACCGCGAGTAGTGCGCCAAGAGGGGAGGAGAGGTGGTCCGCCATGACCGGCGAAACGAGCAGCGACGTGATGAGAGACTCCAGAGCGACAGTGACGGGCGCGCCGTAGGCACCCCGCACCAACGCGGACGGCTCCAGAATGGAGCGCAGCGAACTTGTTAGGTGTGCAACGGTGTCCCCCACCCAGTTGGTCGGCTCTGCGGAGGCGAAGGAGAGCATTAACGCCGTCCGAAGCAGCCGGAGCGCCGTTAGACACACCTTGCTCGAGTCCTTGCCGTGGTGAGCGCGGTGCACGTAGCGCACGCCAACCGACACGACACCTGGCAAGCACATCCGAACGTTGCCTATGCCAATCACCTCGACAATCGCGAGGCACGCCTCCAGACTGTCCAGCTGCAGTTGCCGAAACCACTGCTGTGAATTACCGCTGAGAGATTTAAGCAGTTCGAGAATAAACAGTGCAGCGTGCGGGTGGTATTCACGCTGCTGAAAGAACGCGCGATGGGTGGTAGCACCGCTACGATGAAAGTTTGTCACAGCACGAACCGCCAGGAGCTTCGCCTCCTCCCCTGCGTCGATAGAGGACGAAGACGAGGAACCCGCCGTGGCTTGCGCAGCATCCTCCGACGTCACGGCAGCAGGCAGTCGCATCTTAAAGGCATCAATAAAGCAGTGCTCCAGCATCCCAAGAAGGTCGCCTATCTGCGCCACCTCGCCGGCCTTTTCGGTGAGTGGGATCAGCACAGAGGAGAGCAGAGCATTGCTGTCCATTGTGAAGCGCGCTCGTGTCTGTGCAAAAGACGGTGAATAGCTTCGTTGCAACTCTTTGCTTTTCGGTGGGTTTGTTTGTTTCGTGTCGAGTCTTGCAGTGGTGCAAAGGCAGTACCGGTACTCGTACTATTAAGAAATGGCGGGAAATGGAAAGAGGAGCAGAGCGAAGGCGCGCACGAATCAAAAAAGAGAAGAGTGAGAGAATTATTACTACGCCCGGGCTATGGTGGGAAGCTTCGAGCCGAGCACGCGCGCTCTCTCGCTCTCTCGCCGGGTGGAGATAAGGGGAAAAGAGACGGAGCGTGCAAGATGCGGAAGCTGAGAATGCAGATGAACTTACCGCGTTCCGAATACAAGCGGCGGCAGAAGGACTCGATGGCCTTTTAACCTTTTCATGTACCAGCACTTTGATATGGACAGTTTATCTGCCTTTGGTCTTGCTTTAAAGACGATAAAAAGTACAGAGATGTGAAGTAAAGCCATAGACAACCTTGCCGTATTACTACTCAACGGGTGTGACCACGTAATCATGCCGTTGTACCTGTGACAAAAGCAGCTGCAACCACTTTGGGGTACATTTCTGCTTTAGCAGCGGAGGGAAAAAAAGAAGAAAGGGCTAGCCAAACAACCTGTAGCTCACAAGAGCGAAAGAGGCGTCGCGGCATGTGCGTGCAATTGCACCGAGCACGTCTAAAACAGATCGTCGTAGTCGTCCACTGCAAATCCGTAAAACTTTGGCGTCTCGTCGTACAGGGCTTCGAAGTAGTGCACGTAGTGATCCTCAATCTTCTGCCGCGCGAAGCCCATCTTGACAGTCATGAAGCCGTTGGCGAGGGTGAAGTCGTCAACGAAGGCGAAGCGGCGCACGTGAGCGCGGGGCGGCAAGTCCTGCGACACACGCCGCAGCTCGGCGCGGATACAGTCCGCCTTCTCGCGGTCGTTCACCAGCGGCACACCGTCGCGCCGCTCCACCTTGCGCAAGTGGCTCGCGATCGCCTTGGTGTTCGCCACGATGAGGGCCACGGCGTAGGGTCGGTTGTTTCCAAAGACGTAGGCCTGCTTGATGAATGGGCTTTTGATCAGGGCCGCCTCCACGGCGAGGGGGTTTACCGTCTTCCCGTTTGCCAAATTGATGAGAATATCCTTACTGCCCTTCACCGTCATCCACCCTCCGGTAAGGGTGCCGTAGTCGCCGGTCCGTACAAAAGTGCGGCTGCCGTACTCTACGAGGGAATTCTTGGCTTCCTCGGGGTCGATGTGCACGTCAAAGTACCCTTGCATCGCGTTCGGCGCCTCAACGAGAATTTCGCCCAAATCGCCCGGCGCCACAATCTCGTTCTTCTCGTTCACGATGCGCACCTCCACACCCGGCAAAGCCTTCAGCCGCTGCGGCACGTCCACGTCGGTGGCGACGAGCCCGCCGGCCTCCATGCAGCCGTAGGTGTTCACCACAAACACATCCAGATCCGCCATCAGCTCCGATTGGTCTTTTGTCAGGTTGTGGCCGATGATGATGGCGACTCGCAGCTCCGTGCCGAACTGCGACTTGAACTTTCCAAGCAAGGCGTGCGAAAACGCACGCAGCGTGCGACCTGGCTTCTGGAACATGAGTCGGTTCTCTGTGATGCGGCCGACGGTGAAGCGAGTGAGGTCTTTGATGAAGCTGCCGCGGTTGAGAATGTCGTCGACGATGTTCGAGTACGCGCGCTGAAACGGCTGTGCCACCGATACAATGACGCTCGGGTTGACCAACGGCAAGTCTTGAAAGCCTTCCAGGAGCTCGGGAGGGATACACACACTCGCGCCCTTGCACAGCGCCTGGTACAGCTCCGCCGTGAGGGCACCGGCGACGCACCATGAGCACAAAGACATGAACATGTCCGTGTGGGTGAGGGCTTCGCCGAGACTAGAGTAGATGGAGCTGACGTTTGCCACAACGTTCCGATGAGACAGCATGACGCCCTTCGGCGGTCCCGTGGTGCCTGCGGTGAAGACGATCATCGCGGTGTCCTCGGCGCGAATGTCTGTTCGCGCTGGCGTTTTCTCGGGGACATCTGCCGCAATGTTGACGGCCACCGCGTAGCTGCCTTCGCCGACCTGGTCTTCAAAGCAAATGACTTGTTCCAGCTGTCCGACGCGCCCAATCCACCCCTTGATAGCAGCATAGGATGCTTTCGTCTCGACAAACACCACTTTTGCCTGCGTGCTCTTCACCACGAGCTGTGCCTCCGACGGCGTCACATTTGTCGGCATCGCAACGAAGTGGGCACCGAGCTGCATGGTGGCGAAGTGTACCACAACCCATTCGTACCGGTTCTCGCTGATGACGATCACGCGAGAGCCTTTTTCAACTCCCATTTTGTGAAGGAGAGTCCGCATGGCTTCGATCTCGCTGTTGATTGACTCGTAGGTGGCCCAGATGTAGCCGAGCTTGCCGCGCACCCACATCTTGCTACCGAGGAAGCGACGGTGAGGCCACGCCACGACTGCCTGCTCCCACAGCTCCGCTAACGTGCTCTGCGGCTTGATCATGAGACCTAAACGGATATCATTGTTCATCTGTGCCGTATCAGCGGTGTCTGACTCTTGATAGTAAGACCCACCAACATTGGTGCCGAAGCGGAGCGAGAAGCGAAGTGCGGCCGCCTGCTGCGCTCCCCGACAGCAATTACGCGAGGGGCGAAAGAGTCGCTGCAGCATTTCTGTGTGCACGCGTATATGGCTGCCAAGTCGGTGATACGAGAAGGAGTATCCTTCCGCGGCACGGCCTTTACTTTCGCTCCTGTGCAGAAAGAAAGGAAAAGGCGTACCTTCAAAGCAGTTCGCTTCGTGAGACAGTGGTTGCCTTTAATTATCGAATGCAATACGATACCTGCCGACCCTTGTGCTCCACGTGCCCCGAGCTGGAAAAAAAAAATAAGAGCTCAAGCGTGCCCTTCTTATTTTGTATCACTGCGTTTCCGTAGCGCTCCAAGAAGAAGAAGAAGGGTACAGAGAGAGAGAGCGTTGCGGCGATGCATAGAAGAGGAAGCGAGAGAAGAGGAAGCGAGAGAAGAAACAGAAAAAGGGAAAAACGGAAAAAGGTGCGGCGCGGTGTGAGAATTCGGAAGAACTCAAACACAGAGAGACGCTTTGCAGTTCTGTAACAAATTAACACGGTGGTGACACGGGAAGCTCCTGCAGACTACACCCATCTGGGCCGAACGCGACACAGTTCAACGCATGCCTACCACGTTGTGTGCAATTGCTTCTGTTTGTGCGTGGGTCTCACGAGAACAATTCTAATCATACATAATAGTTAAAAAAAGGAAAAGAGGAGATGAAACTTTGAAAGAGGGACACGGTGTACTAGTAGCAACTCCATTGTTGTTTTGCCACCGAAGCGTGAAAAAGCGTTTCAGCCCAACTGGAAAAGAGAAAAGACAAAGTGAAATGGACATCCCCAGAAAGAAAGAAAAAATGTCTACATCGTTGGATCTAGAGGGAGACGGAGTCCAGCACACCATAACAAGCAGTGAGCACAACCTACTCCGCTGCGCCACTTTGCACTCCTCTTCAGTTATCCTCTTCCTCTTCCAGCTCATCCACGTCAGCCTCGCTGTCGGCCTCTGGGATCTCTTCGCCGCGGCGCACGAGCTTCTCCACCGTCGCCGTGGGATCGGCAACCTCGGTGACGTCCGCGCATTCGGGCTGCACCGGCGCCGCGGGTGGTGGCGTGTAGGCCGCGTCTGTTTTCTTCAGTCCGTTGCCGAAGTACACGCATCCCCACTTTTTCCCGCCCTCCGCTGCAAACGCCGTGGCACCAGGCCAGCGGAGAGACTGCACCACTGCTACGCGGTGCGCCTTGCTAACGTTGTTTGCCACCCGCATCGTCCAGCAAGGAATTTTGATTTTGCTGGGGTCGTCATCGGGAACGTCGTCGCTGCGGAGTTGCTTGAGAGGGGTGTTGTCGGGCTCCCCCGCCTCTTTCTCCTCGCCGTCCTCGCCCTCCTCGCCACCGTCCTCTTCCTCCTCATCCTCGTCGTCAACGACGGGTGGCGGCTGCGGAACGTCCACGACGGCGTACAGATAGTCGTTCTGAATTGGTGCGAAGAGCTCGACATCCTCCTCCTCCTCAGCTGGCTCTTCTTCGTCCTCCGCCGCCTCGGGGTCGTCCTCAGGGTCAACCACCGCGGGCTCTTCCTCTTCCTCCTCCTCCAGCTCCTCCCGCTTGGGGACCTTCGTCTCGCGCCCGTTCGGGTAAAGGTAACCGCCAGCATGCACCCAGCGGTCTATCGTCAGCTGAGCAACGTCCATCTCCTCTTCGCCAAAGTCTGCCACAGGCACCGTAAAAGGGTGGTATTTGGCCTCCTTAGGCGGCCGCGCCACTGTTTCCTCCGCATCTCCATCCTCCTCCTCCTCTTCCGACTCCACTGGCGGCTCCGGCTCCTCCAGGGCGCCCTGCGGAGCGATGGAGGTGGCGCTGGTGATGCGGGCCAGCTGCGCACGCAGGAACACTGCCTCGCTCCAAGGAAACGTCACGGAGACAGGCGCGTCAAGGTCGCCCGTAAAGAAGTGCTTGACTTCGCGCGCTGCGTTGATTTGTTGCGGCGTCACGTCGGGCAGTTTCTGCCACGCTGCCGAGGGTGCGGTCGTCACCCAGAACGTGTACCGGTTGGTGCCGACAAACCCCGGCTCCGGTTGGACCGGCACCACCCCTTTCTTGCGCAGCGGCTTTGGCATCGTGTTGACCTCAACATACACCTTCTCACCCGCCTCGACGTAACGCCGGGTACGCAGCACGAAGTAGTCGCCGTGAGTTCCAAAAATTTTTCCAGCAAATTTGATGTCGTTCAACTTCTTCTCCATCGCAAGGTTCGTAATGGAGCGATCAAGCAGGAAGGCTTCCTCCTCCGCCATTCCGCAGCCGGCAGCAGTCCAGTACTTGTTTTGGGCAGCCACAGACTCAAAGGAGGGTGCTTTCAAAGGGACCATCGTCGTGGTGGTGATGGTGGTATACGGGTCCGGCTGCTCGATAACAGTGCGTACTTCCGGCGCAAGTTGGTCGAAGAGCTTCTTGTTATCCTGAAAGCGCTGGAGTTCCTCTGCTGTGAGAGGTGAGGCTTCGTTGCTGGGCGTGGTGCTCTCCCCGCATGCGAAGCTGTGCGTTTGAATAAAGCTCAGAATCTCATGCAGTTTCGAAGGATCCTTCGCAACGTTTTCAGGGTTACTATCGAGGAGAAGCTCCATCAGCCGAGTTAGCTGGTCGTAGGCGCTGACACCATCCTTGTCCGCCTGCATAAGGTATGCCTTAGCGCTGGCGAACTGAGCCTCTAGCTCCGCCTCGGATGTACTTACCGAAGACATCGGTCCTCTCTTCGCCCCAAGAACAAAAACAGACAAACTTCCGTTGAAGGTCTTGAAACCCAGAGCAGCAGTGAGCACCACACAATCAGGAGTGCTTCACTTATTGCTTACCTAGCGGGTTCGATTCTGCTTCTTTAGAGCAAATTAGGTCTGTGATGCAAACGTTGGAGCTTCAGGTTTTCAATAGTGGTAAAAAGAGAGAGAAAGATTGAGATTGAAAGTGAATTGTGTGCATTTTCATCCATTCATTTGCAACAACGACGGCAGCTCACCCTTACCGCAAAGGGAAAAAAACTAACACCGTGTTTTCCTTGCTTCTCGAAAAAAAAAAGGTGAAGCTACTTTTCTCTCCATGCTATCATCCTATCGAAGAAACAATCGACGTGACAAATCATCACTCAGTGCAGATTTACATGCAGAAGTGGAGGTGCGGCAAACTGCAGTCGTCAGAGAAAGTCAACAGCTAAGGAGCACTAAGCTACGCTTGCACACATCAGGCGCGTTCAAACGCTGCATTCTCTTTTTTTCCCTCATTGAGATTTTCTCTCTTTTTTGCGCACCAGTCAATAAAAGCTGTAAGCAGTAAACGCAAAGAAAAATATTTAGTTCGCAATACAATGACGAGGCGAGAAAAGAAATAAGAGAAGAAATGAAACACAATACCAATACAAAGTCAAATGCTCGCCAAAGCAACAAAACAGGTGGTAGTATACAGAATTCTAGCCGCAAAAGTACCACGGCGCTTTCGGCACACACACACACACACAATGAAAACACGAAAAACACGTCAAGGGAAGCAATTGAAAAAAAGGAAAGACAAATATGATAAAGCTCTGTGCACAAAAAGAAGAAGAAGAAAGGTTGGAAAGAGAAAGAAAACACTCAAACGTCAAGCAGATGTTTCACCCTAGCCGATCCATGAGCTTTCCGACGTACTTTTGAATAGAAGGGTCTCCGCGAGCGATGGAGTCTTGCTGCAACCTTCGGATATCCTCCTTCACGTCAAGACTCAGAAATTTTCGCCTGAACATGTCGTACGTGCAAAACGAGTTGATCGTCAGGACAGCCACCTTCTTCGACGAGAGAGAGTCATCGTCGCGTAGCATCTTTAAAAGCCCCTCCACTACGTTGGAGGTTTCTAGAGTAGCAACAAGCTGATCGCCGTTTCGCACAAAATTACTCAGCGCGCCAGCAGCGTTTTGTCGGGTCTTCGCATCCCCGCATGCCAAAAGCTCTACCAGCGAAGGAATAGCAGGACCCAACAAACGGTAAAGATAGTCGCTGTGAAACGCCGCGTTACCAATCGCAAAGGCCGCAAGCTTCTGCGTCTGCGCGTCGCTGTCGCTGCAGCACTTTACTAAGCGCTCCACGATGTGATTCTTTTCGAGTGGTTGAAAAAAGAAATCCGAGTGTTTGCACATGTTCCCAATAAGCGTGCATGTCTTCCCGCGGAGGTCCTTCTCAGAGTGCTGGAGAAGCGCGGCGATGCAGTCGTACAGGTTTGCTTTGTGGATCGCTTCGTAGAACTCGGCGGACATGCGCGCCATCTGCGAGAGAACGATCAGACCGTCCGACATAAGCCCGGTTCCTGCCTTGTTGGGATCGAGAACACGCCGGATTCGCGAGGCCTCCACACCGCCACAATCTACAAAGGCTCTAATGAAGTCCACAGAGTTGGCGCACAGCTTGGCGATGATGGAGAAGGGACTGCCAAGAAAAACGCTCTCGGAAAAGTCCATTGCGTTCACGAGAAGCTCGACAACCTTCTCCTTGTACAACACCCTGCTTACATCGCTCGTCAGCTTCTCGTCCGCGGCGGTTGGGCTTGACGAAGAGCTGAAAGGACGCAAGGAGTCCGCCAGAATTTGAGAAACAATGGTCACGTGCGAGCTCACCCCGGTGGCACCTCCTCCGCGACAGGCAGGCCAGTTGAAGAGCTGTTTGAAATAATCCGTTTTGAGAGTGCGGCAGACAACGGCAAGCCAGCAGAGGCTTCCTGACTCGCCAGTGTAGGGCGGGATGACCTCCATGAGCAAACTCATCGATGCACTTTGCTCTTTCTGTTGCTGAAAAATCTGCTGGGCAGCGCGCAAAAGCGTTTGGACGCCATTGGGAGATAACTCTGTTCGTGCGTCGCTGTCGCGCAGCAACGTCATTACGAGGAGGGCTAAATTCTTTGTGTCGCTCTCTAAGAACCGGTGCTCTGATTTTCCGGGGAGTTTTGCGTACACCAGCGATTCTGGGTCCGAAAAACACAGAGATAGCATGTGCGCCACACCGTCAAGCAGGCCGTAGTCGGGGTAGCCGTAGCTGCTTCCCACCGCACGTGTCGGAACGGGGCGGTTGGGGGTTGCAGAGACAGCGTCCACGATGGAATAGATGCCGTCCAGAAGGGCATCATTGACGGTGAAAGACACGATGTCCTTCAGCTCACGATGGGCGAACGCGATGAGCAAAGCGGCGGCGGCGGCATACGTGAGAGAAGGTATCTTATTTCGGTGAGCATCGACCGCTGACACCTCGTAGTAGCATACTGCTTGAAGGGCCTGCGTGACCAGATGAAGTACCTTTTCGCGGTTAATGCGTTGCGGGGCAGCCAATTTTATGTGGGGGATTACGATGGACACCGTGTGGAAAACAAGAGCGGCATACTCGTACGATATCTTACCTTTCGATACGCTGTCGTGGTCGACGGAAGACAGCACCGCAGACCACATTTCAGGAAACGTCTGTAACTGCGTGACCGTCGGACCAAAGCTGTTCTCCCAACGAAAGCATTGGAAGACAATCTTGACGCAGATCTCGGCCTGAGAGTTGCTGTTGCTCCCAATTTCACCAACAATGTAGTCCAGCGCGTCGTGTGGCTTTTTGGTGAGTCTGTTGGCGACCTGTTGGCGGATGAACAAATCGATTTGCTGGTGTGAGTTTCTCTCTTCCAAAACCTCAATTCCGTCACGCTTTGGCCTCTGCGATGGAAAGGCGACCACATCGCCGTTTTCGGGGAACAGCAGCGCCTGCAGCAACTCCAGGGCCAGCTGCACAGTCGTGCGCGGCTGCTTTTGGGTGAAAAGCTTGAGCACACCTTCAAGCACTCCAAAGTCAAAGATACCAAGGAGGATAGTAGATTTTGTCAAATCCCCAGTAGCTGCATTGACCGCGCGCACAAGTTGCGCCAAAGTCGATCGCACTTCGGCTTCTCGTCCGGATTCCAAAGTGTGTGCTGTCTGAGTGTTGATAATTTCATCCTTTTGCGTCAATTGGTGCTTCGGCGCCGCCCAACTCGCGCCGCCGTGGAGTCGCAGACAGCCCAGTTTGTCCATACGCGTTTTCATTTTGGAGTCATGTCGCGTGATGACGTCCTGCCACGTTGCATCACTTTTCGTGAGTTGCACAAACGGGTGATTTAGCAGGTCAGGCCAGTTAAGACGCGACGACGCCGATTTTGTCAGCAGACCACTAAGAAAATTCTGGAACTCCGGGCTAATTGGATCGTCAGCCTTGCTATCGAATTTCACAGGCTCGCAGACAATCTTTTTAATCAATGCAAATAAATTATTCGTGTAGAAAGGCGGTCTGCCGTAGTACAACTCGTACAAAATGCATCCTAAAGACCACAAGTCAACACGGTTGTCATACGCACGCTCCTGCACGAGTTCTGGTGCCATATATAGCGGGGTCCCTTTGATGCTTGTCAGCACAATTGTGTTGTAACTCATGGAGCGTGCAAACCCAAAATCGGCAAGTTTGACGGCGCCATTCTGACCTATGAGAATGTTTTGAGGCTTCATATCACGGTGTATGATGCGGTTGGAATGCAGATAGTTGAGCGCCTGTATAAGCTGTTTTGCAATCTTTTGCACTTCTTTTGCCGGAAGCTGTTTGTCGTCTTCGAGGATATCGTACAGCTCGCCTTGCGCATACTCCATCACGACGACGAAGTCGGAATCGGTCTCGAAGGAGTCAAACAGCATGATAATATGTGGATGATTCAGTTTGGTGAGGATTTCAATTTCGCTACGGAGATTTTTCAGCTCTTTCTCGTTCTTTCCTTTCTTAACAATGAACTTCATTGCAACAATTTGGCCAGTCCCTTTAATGCGGGCTTTGTAGACTTTACCAAATGAGCCCTCTCCAATGGATTCTATGATTTGATAATCCTCCATTTTTAGCTACGTAATCTATGTTCGTCTGGTAGAGTGATAGCGTTCTCCTTTTCGCTTTTAGCACTAGTACGACAAAAGGAGAAAAGGAGAAGGAAACAAAGAGAGTTGGTACCAGTGAGAATGTTTGAAACGCAAAAAAGCCGATTGCAATGCAACACCAGTAAGATTAACGAGACACAAAAAATTCAACGTAATAGCACGTGACACACAGCTAACAAAGAATTTCTAAATGCTGCAACTCCTAAACAGGATTACATGTGTGTTAGCTTCTGTTTGTTCTTGCTCTGGTTTAATAGCGGTTTTTTTGATTTGAGAGCAAGCATTTTTGTTGTCACACCGTGCCTTTCGTGTTGCCTTCCGCGTTACACGCATTGACTGATAAAAGTTTTTGTGTTGCTCTTTTCTGCTTTACTTGGCGCAGTGATCTTATACTTAAACGATGAAGAATCGTCAAGGCGAGAAAACATACCGTGGTGCATACGCCTTTTCGAGTCCATTCCCAGAAAGCACTGTAAATAGTAAAGCGCTACAAGCTGTGTGCCCTGACAGTCAGAACACGACTGCAAAACTAACGCTCGAATGATAGTAAAGACGAAAAAGAAAGCTAGGAGGAAGTTAAAGAAAAGGGGGGATTGAAAAATATCGACGTTGTCAAAGAAAAGCCTAACTAGTAAAATAAAAACATGTGGTTCGATTCTACTGGCCATTTGCGCTGGCGCCAAACGCAAAACTTAACCATGGAAAAATGGAACGAAAAGGAAAAAGAAAAGAAGTACAAAACGTGAACAACAAAGAAGAGCCCGTTATTCCTGCGGCTCCTTCTCGTCGCTGCCCTCAGCGGCGGCGGCCTCTGCTTCGCGGGCAGCTTTGCGCTCCGCGCGCACCTTCGTCTGTTCCGCGTAAATCTCGTCAAATTCAGGTGTCTTGACAACCTTAATTTCGATCTGGTCGCACACACGGCTCTTCTTTTCCTCCGCGTTAAGTGGTCCGCGGAGCGTATAGATCTTTGTGATTTTCACCATTTTTTGATCACAAAGCATCTGCGCCACGATAACGGCGGAACTGATGGCCAGGTCCAGTGCAGTGATGGTGATTTCACCAGCGCCTTCGTGCAGGCGAAGCTTTGCCTGCTCCGCTGAGATGGTGTTGGCCTTCTGAAGACCCACACGCACAATGTTGCTCTGAACTTCGGTTGCCGTTGTCATTTTACAAAAATGTGAGAGTGTGTTATAATTAAAAAATGCTTTAATAGAGGTGAATATGAGCGGTACTAACTATAGAAATGTATGCGTTCATGAGCAGGACAAGCAGGCAGAGCGAACAAAAGAGAGTCTCTTACATTCCACAAAGTGTCATTTCTCATAAAACTCTTGTTCCCGGTGAGGCCATAAAAGAAAAGTAATTGTGGACAAACACACATCTAAGGCACTTCTACTCGTGCCGTCAAGTCGGGACAACCAGAACAGGAAAAAACGCTGTAACGACGCGAGGCCTCCGAAAATTCAAACGTCACTTTTTTTCTTTTTCCTAGAAAGTCATTTCCTCAACAGTAAACTTCAACTAAAAAGCTCTTTCATCTTGCGATGTTGCTCACGAGATCGTACATCGGATATCGAAGGACAACGTCTCACCTTTGAAGCGCTCAATATATGTATATATATATATATACTGTTTTTTTTTTTTTGAGTACACATCCGAAAACTGAAATGTTCAGTTGGCCTCTATTTTCAATACTTTGAGTTTTCCATTTCGTCACCGCCGGAACCTTAGCGCTCTGGCAACTAGTATTGAACGCCACAGTGGCAAACAAGAATCAGATTGTTGATGAAAAAAAAAGTCTATTTTTCCTTGGCTAACCACCCCACAACAACACCTTTCATGTGTGCTGGAGATTACCTTTTTCGACCGGTAACTTAAAAAAGAGTAGTTTTTGAAAAAAACAACAGCAAGGTGTTACGGGTATACTCGTTGTGCATTTCTGCAAATGATATCCTTTTTGGTATCGCAGGTGTGAGCAGTGTCACGTGGTGCAGCTGAGTTACTCGTCCTCACCGTCGGCCTCAGCCTTCGCCTTGGCCTCCTCACGCTCCTTTTGCTGTTGTTCGTAGATCTTATCGAAATCAGCAGACTTCACCAGGGTAATCTCAATCTTATCCGTGGTAGTCGAGCGCACATCGTCGAACTGGGCGCGCGCGGTCCGAATCTTCTTGACCTTCACAACACCCTGGTTCTTCAGGAGCTCCACGACGGAAACTGCATCAGCGATGGCAGTTCCGAGTGCAGAGATGGTAACTTCAGGGTAGCCTTCATGGAGGCGGTGCTTAGCGTAGTCGACGTAGCCAAACTTACGCTTATTGGAGCTGACGCGCACAATAGCGTTTTCGCTGTTCTCCGTCGACATTTTTGTTAAAGAGAGAGAGGTACTTGTTCAAATGGAAGTTAACGTTTTAGAAGTCAGAAGACAAACTGTGTATTTCGTGATTAAGAAGAACGTAGAGAAAGTGTTTCAGAGGAAGGAAAAGAGTAAACGCACAAGAAAGATGATGCAATTGTCGCTTGTAACACGTCACTAAATGCATTCATTCAAATGCAACGTGTGCGCTCCCATTAAAAAGATCAATCTACATTCACTAGACGACGTATAAAAGAAATTTTTAAACCCGAAGAAAACCTTGAAACGGCAACAGCGACTTCCGTTCAAGCAGTTCACTCTCTAGCTTAACCGGTTTTTCTTCGGTTTTAAAAAAGGAAGCACTCCTTACTCAATAGTTAGGCCTTTTTGCCTTTTACGCATCCGCAAATGCCACACACTCGGCAAAAACAGATATACCCACCCTCCACGACAACGGTGGCAGCAACAACGCTTAAAAGCAAAGACTCAGGTGCGCGACTTTCGCGTATTCCAGCCGATTCAGCCGTGTGTACGCCCATTAGTCCAAAGGACGCGGAAGCTCATTACGTATCTGCAAACTGTCCGTTGTACGCGACAACAGCTCAAGTAACGAAAACCGTGCTTGTTGGAGGAAAATCAAGAAATCACGCTGAAGGTCTGTTGATCGGTTTCAACTCGTCTTTCAGAAACCTCAAGACGCTTGTGAAAAGTGGCGTTTTTAAACCACCTACTCTTCACGCTCTACGAGAGCAACCGCATTTGCCCCTAACAGACTCGCGCGAAAAACGTGTCCAAATAAGCCCTACTCGTCGCCACCTTTCATTCCCCAAGCCCCCTCTTCCTCTTCACAATACACTCTCTGGCTCTCCCCCTCTCCTCGACCTCAAACCGAATACTCTTTCCAATTCCTCCGCTTTTGTTCCACCGCACTCGACTTGTTCTTCAGAAATCAAATAGCACCCCAAAAAGACTCCTGCAGCTCATTGCGACAGCGCCACTCACATTCAATCGCCTCCGCCGTTGCTCCGGAAACGAACCATCAGCAGCACCATTTAGCAGACACAAAGAAACCCTCTAAAACTGTAGAGACAAACCCGCCTGGAGTAAAAAGTGCTTTTTGACTCAGCGAACATCAATGCGAGGCTGTCACACCTAATCGGCGAACAAAGTGACTCCGTGGATGAGGAATACTCTCGAAAAAAACAAAAACGATTCTCTTTTACTTTTTAATTCGCATTATTCTTTTTGTTCGGGTCAAGCTAAATGGGCTTCTCTAAAAAGCTAACTTTTGGAAAAAATAAACTCTACTGAAAAAAAAAGAGTTCATTTCTTGCGAGAACTATTCCGTGCGAAGTCCAATGTCATTGAGCGCCTTGGTCGACCCGGGTCTTTTCTTCAGAGTGGCTAAGGCTGTCGTGTTGTCGATCTTAATACGAAGGCTCGACTCTGCGGGAATCCATCGCCGCAAGCATTCCACCGCCAGAACCACGGTGTCCGCTTCCAGCGTGTTTATGTGGCGCTACTCTGCTGCGGACCATGTTTCACCAACGCTCATGATTTCTTGGGGCTCGTCCCGCATCAACACCGCTCCCCAACCGGCTCCAGAGGCATCGGTGTAGAGGGTCATCAATGGCATTCTCGTTGCCATGGCCGGCGCTATCTCTCGTGGGCGGTTCTTCTGAGCCAGGTCGTACCACTATTTATGTTGTGCATGCCCCGTTGGGCGTGTGCAGGCCGGCTCCTTCACTGGAAAAGGTGTCCGGCTGAGCTGCGGCAGCCTTCGCATAATGAGCTTCAACGCCCAATAGAACTCTGTGGTGCCGATATGTAGGACTGACGAGCAGCGGAGGAGTTGTGCGTACATTCGCTCCAAGTCGCCGCACGCCACGCTTGGCGTCGGACCATCAATCTTCTGGATCGTGTGATCTGCCGCTCCCACTTTGTGAGCTGCGTGGTTGAAATATACCCTCTATGATGTCGGAGACTTCTCCTGTGTTACTCTCATTCGTGTAAAGAGAGAGTGGGAACTCTTGCGCGGTGGCCCACATCCTCCTGAATGCTATTTGGACTGCTTGACGCGTGCCTGCGTAGCGTATGTTGTCAATCTACACGTCGATTGAGGTCAGGGCTGGGTCGTTCACAGGGAACCCTTTGCCCACACACTTCGGATGACCTGCCACGGTGGACATGAGGATTTGCACGATTTCCGGTGAGGCCGAGTGTCCCATCAGAGGCTGCGTAAAGCACCACTGTGTACCGCCATTCGGATCTGCGAAGACGAAGCGTTGTTGCATTCTATCTGGGAGCTCGACCTGGAAGAAACTGGCCATCAGGTCGTGTACGCTGCCCATGTCGGCGTTTACTGCGTCGTGGTGTAGCGAAAGGTATTGGAGTGGCGCATCTGGTTGGTAGCCTTGTACGTCTGAATGGTCGTCGCTCTCTCTATCTCGGTCACCTGATGTAGCGCTTTTAGACGGCGTTGTGCTTGGTCCCCGTGACCGTAAACGGCGTAGTGCTTTTGGCAGTATGTTGCCTCTTGCCTCGACCCGCTGCTGTGTCGGAGTGCGTGCTGTGAACTCGTCGAAAGATTTTGACCATTTGTAGTTTGTTCACATCCTCCTCGGTAGGTGCTGAAGAGCTTTTCGGGATACTTGTTGTGGGGAGTGGTGACCCCTGGCGTTAGAAACTGGTGCCTGTTGTGTGCGTTGGGCGGTGTGCAAGGCAGTCTGCTCCAAGGAGGTGAAGAAGATCGTCCACACACCGGCGGATCTCTGGTCGAGTGCATCATCCAATCTTCTGAATGTTCAGAGGCGAAACTTCCACGACGTGCAGCGGATGTTGGAAGTCCTCTTCCATGATGGCTGCTTTCTTCAGTTTCCATGCGCCTCGACCGAGGTAGCTGCCTCGACCTGCGACGCTTTCTTTGTACTTCATTGCCGTGCAGAGACGATAGCATTCTTCTGCAAGCTGATAAAGCTGGTATTGATAATGATGTGCCGTGGCTGGCCGTGCGGGGTTGTCGCTGTCTATTCTTTCGCCAGTAGACAGGTTTCTTTTCTTGTGTTTGTCGGTGCTGCATCCAATAGGGATCTGCTATGCGTTTCGCGATGCCGAGAAGGTGGTCTTGGTCTTCTCCATCTCCATAACTCGCAAGAGTCGTGTTGCTTTTGGGTTCCGATCACTTTCGCTAACGGCACGTAGTCGGTGATGTAGCGAATCGTGTTCTCCAGAATTGTGGCTTTGCCGTCGTCCTGCTTTTCTAACAGAGGAGTGCTTTGCATGAGCTGATTCGGCACTGCGCAACGTGTGAAAACATTTAAAGCGCCTCGTTTGACTGAGTGCGCTTTCAGTGCTGGGTGTGGTTGTTTCAGCGCGCGGATAATCCGATCCGTGTTCATGGTTGTGAACCACGTCCGTGCTGAGCTTTCTCCCTTCCAGCTGCTGAGAATCTGAGTGACTCGTCCCATATCTCCAGTTAGGTGACATCATTGTAGCACATTCTGTGAAGGGAGGCGCGGGGGGAAAGCGGGGGGGGGGGGCGGCAGTAAGAGAGAGATGAGAATGAAACTTTAATGTGGCCTGCTCGAGGATTTAGGAGGAAAGAATCTCAGGTGGAATCTGGAGAGGCGGTTACGTTGGTTGCGGGAATGGAAACTGAAAAATGAAGGAGAACGCGGGCGAGTGCTCTTCTGAAGCGGCCTAATGTTTCCCTTTAAGAGAGTGGTGTTATCAGCTGCTCTTTGCCGAGGATGGGACGAGGAAAGGAAATGTGTTTCATCAAAGCTGCAGATTGAAGACACTTTTGCCGTAAAAAGTCGCCACGCGGGGTAGGATATAAGGAATGCGAGAGGGGAGTGAGAGGGAAGAGGAACAAGGGTCATTGCAAGTCATGGAAAGCGATACATTACGCTCGAACGACGGTGCTTTTTCATCTACCCCTACTTTTCCTTCCACCTGAACGAGCCCGCATCAGGGAACGGTTTTTGTCGTTGCTTCCTGTTGTCCCGTTGTCACTGGTGAAGAAGACTTTTTCCGTGCGTTACTTTTTGTTGCCCTGAACTGATACACATTCCGTTATTATTCGGGTCTGCGCCGCATTCGTTGTTTGTGGAACGGTCGTGTTTTACTGGCGGTAAATGACATCTCACACAAACACACAAGATATTCGCCTAGTTGACACAAAAAAAATAGTGTTGAAAGCTAGTATTCTCTTTCATTATTGCTGAGGAGACAGTTAAGTGAAGCTAATAAGCTGCAGCCAGGAGGAGAGAGAGTTGCTGTAGACCTCATATGAACAAATAGTGTGGTGCCTTCTCTTTCTGCAATGAGTCAACAGATGCCTGTGCCTTCTAAAAGCACAGCTCCTAAGGACGAACGTTGCTTTCGATACGATTGCTTTCTCCGTGTACTGCTTCTCTCCTCTTTTCACCGATTATTCTCTCTCTATAAAAAAACTGAAAAGCATTTTTCCTCTGCTATGTAAACGAAAAATTCAAGCAACGGAGCCGCTCTTTTTTTTTTTAGCGTACCAAAAGAGGAGAACCCCCTAAATACAAGGACGAAAGTGAGTTTGTTTCTACTTTTTCCATCTACGACTGCTTTTGTGTTTTCTTTTCGACGTGAGGAAACTGAGATCAATCCATAACGAAGTATTAGGGTTCTTGTGTTCATTGTCGATTTTTCCAGTCTGCAATTTGACTTTGAAGCTAACTGAACCGGAGACACACATACAGAAGAAAACAGGCGAGAGCAATGACAGACAATAATAATTCACCCAGTCAGCTTTCCCTCGACGGGAGCTGCAAAATGGTTCCCACTGGTAGTCAATTCGTTTGGTTGCGTCTGATGGAGGACAAAAAGTGGACCAGCGTCTACCAGCAGTGCATGCTGGATGTCTGGCGCTCACAAGACGCTCTTGACGGAAAGACGCAAGGAAATACCAAAATGCGAAAGCCCACTACAACTGTGGCTGGTGATTCGGCAGCGTCGGGTGAAATGTCAGTCAAGACCATCGGAGACATTGTGATAAAAAAGTGGTGTTGTACTCGAACCCATCAGGTATTAACACGAGTTTTTCTCACTGCTGAAAAATATGAAGCAAAGGCTAATGGTTTGCTCTTTACCAGTAAGGAAGAGGACGAATTCCGCCGAATCAAAGAAGAGCGATCCGCGTTGCTGGGGCAAATTTGCTGCCAGAAGCTGGAAGAGGCAGGCAGCAATCATTTGCGTGACTGGCTGAACCGACTTTGGGTTCTTTTTGTCGCCGGAATCGACAACGACCCAGCGGGACAACGTGCTTTGAGTTACGACGTACGAAAAACTGTGCATGATGCACAATTTACCAACGATGACGCCATCGTTCTTCAAGCGTCGCTCTTGCATTTTATTATTCCTTCGCTAAAATACGAGACATGCCAGGCTATTGCCGTAGTTGATTTTCGTACAGTTCCCTTGAAGGAAACGGTGGAACTTACAGGCTTTGAATCGTCACATCGACGCAGCACACCTCAGCAGCAACAATTTACGCGCGTTTTTATCAGTTTTGTAGGTTGCTTTCTGGACACGTTAACGGAGTCTGAGCTTGTAAAGGCGGCATCAGTGTTCAAACCAGCGATATGGGACGCACAACAGCGCATTCTGAAAAACCCCAAGCCTGTCTCTGGAAATAAGAAAAGAAGTGAAGACGCTTTTGTGCCCACAGGTGACGGTATTCACATTGATCACTTGGATAAACTTGGCAACCGAAAGGATACTCCAAAATACGCGTAGTTTAACGCAAACATTATTATTGCCTGCTACTATTTTTTATAGTACAATTTAATTTGTTTTCTAAAACAAAAAATGGGGTTTAATAAAACTCTCAACGCCGTGTCTGTGCTACTATTTTTTTTTTCTAAATGTGGACGCTGGCGTTCACCTAAACAGGGCATTGCTTGAAACTAATGAATTTTTTTTTCTGCGTTGGTGTCACAATTGAAAGCCACACTGTGAAACACCTTCTCCTACGGGTTCATAGAAAAAAAAAAATGCACTCAAGACTGTTTCGAAAAACTGTGATCATGTACTTTCTGGTTCTGAGCGACACAAAATGAATACTTCTTTTTTCTTCATGATGTCTTTTAGAATGATAATGCACTTTAAATCAAACTATTAAGCAACACTGAATAAGAGTTTTGAACGGCGATTTCGTTGTTTTAATGGTTCAGCAATTAGCGACGATTGAAAATTTGAAACATTTTATTATTATTTTAGATAATAGCATGAAAGGCGCTGATCTGTGCTATATACGATCTGTGGAAATTGCGAAGAGATTGTTTCTTGGATAATTCCTCTCTGTTTGAAACTCATTTTCTTTCTCCTCCTCTCTGTTTCTTTCATTCTCCAATTTTTAAAAACTCAAAGGAAATTTTTATGCCTACGTGTGAGTCCGATAAAACAATATCTACAATCCGCACACCCGTTTACAAAGAAAATATTCACGGACATTAGTTAAAACGTTTTTTCCATGTCGCTTATGACATTTCTGCAACTCGGCAATGAAACACCTTTTCCCCTTATTCCTCTTAATAATGGTGCTTTCCATGGCGAGTGCTGCGAACTGTGTGAGAGTAGGGACAATTCCATGCAACGGAACAATTCCCATCGATAGCCAGTACGATTTGGGTTCGATATGGTCGTTAGAATCATTCCGAAATAGAGTGACCCGGCTAAGCGGCGGGATAATGGAGTTTAGAGAACAGTCTATAGATAAAACTCTTCAGAATCGACTGGTGTCCGAATCCGGGATGTCCTCTGACAGTATTCTCGTTTTCGAGATAGCACCGGTTGCAGCGGCTGCTTCAAGGCTGTCTGGGTCGCTCGAGGACGCACGTGCGTGCTCAGCTATGCTGGATCCTTTAAAAGGTGGAATGGGCGGATTGGTATCGCGAAGCGCACGGTTTACCATTCTGCGCGCGACTGGAGCAAACGGTGCGACATGTTCTTTGCCCTTAAATGTATCGCTTGTGAGCGGCAACAGGATGAGCATGACGACGCTATTGTTTGACGACGCAAAGTCTATGTTTTCCAAATCCGTTACTTTTGACGCTGCCAAAGACGGGTCCTGGCCCATGGAAGTCACTTTCAGCTCTCAGTGCACATTGCAGTTTGTTTTGCTGGTTGACCGATACGGGACCATCAATCGATGGTACGTGTGGATCCCTACTACGGTTTATACTGCCATCATCGTCGCGCTCTTTTTACCAACAGTCGCACTGCGTCGACCGCTCCCGGTCCATCTTGCAGGTCTTTACCTTTTTTTAGTGTTCTTCGGCTTTCTGGGATCCACCATTGGCCTTGTCGTCGAGCTGCTACAGTGGCAGAGCACTCTGGGTCGAATGTTTCCCTTTCCGCCATCCGTCACGCTTTACAGCTGCCTTCCCATACTGTACATGCTTCTGTTTTTTCCAACCCTCTACCGTCAAGGCAACAACACGATCTTGTTTATGGGCACAACCCGCCTGTTCACTTACGGTCTGAACTGTGCGTTGTGCGTTGGGTATTGGATTGCAGGGTATGTGGTGCTCGGCTCTTTGGCTGTCTTTCAGCTTCTGGCAACCAACTTCATCATCACGTGGTATTACGCATATGTGACAGTTCGCCTTCGGCGCGCAGTGCAAGGATCGTCGTCGCTGCCCAAGTTTTCCAACAACTTCATTTATCTTTGGTGCGCCCCTGTGACGCCGTTCGCGTGCTGCGCACTCATGTACTACGACCTCTACCTCCTGACACATCGAGATGCTAAGAGAGACGTTTGCGCCATCCGAATGCGCGACGTCGCGCGTGTGTACAATGTCCAAATGTCACTTCCGCTGCTGTTTTTTCAAAACATTTACGGTGTTGCGCTGCTAGCGACAGCTACGGCCTTCCATATGCCTTTTGTGGTGCTTCTGTTCGTTGCTCTCTTATTTTGGGTAGTGCACTCTATTTACGTGATAGAGCAATACTGCAAGGAGTTGTCGCGCTGGCGTCGCCACGGTACTTCTTTCAGCACATGTGTGTGCCTATCTCTCTCCGCAGTGATGAACAAACTTCTTTCTGGTAGCGTTGGCGAGGCAAGTTCTCCCTCGCCTCCTTCACAAGCGTTTTCACACGCTGTAATCCCCTCGCCTGAAAGAATGCGACGGCGCAGCCAGGCAGGCCAATACGAGGAAGACCTTGCGGAATACCGTAACAGCCAGTTAAGCTCCTCTGCGACTTCCGATGATGATGATAGCTACGACGACCGCCTGCAGCGCCGCTCTCGCAGACCGATTCCCGATCAGTCCGCCGCCTTTTCTACACCGTCTCAACAGACAATCAATGATGCGCCCGAGTTCTGGCCAAGCAGTGTGGAGCGCTAAAAAAAAAAACGGTTTACACGTGCACCGCTGATCGCAGCGCCTACAAACTTTTAGGCTGCATAACAACACTCACTTCTGTTTTCCTAGATTGTAGATTAGATTCTAAATTTCGGCTTTCCGCTTTTGTTCCACAACTGGTCCAGATGTCGAACTTTTTTCATGACATCTGCCAAGCTTGAAAACGTCTTGTCACCAGCGCCAAACTCTATAATCCGGGGTCAGCGGACCTTTCTTTTTCGCCCCAAACTTTCTTTTTTTTCTGCCCTTCCGCTGCATGCGTAGATTCTCAGAAAAACAGAAAACTGACGAAGCTGTTAGCTCACGCCAGCTTTTTTAAATACTGTTTCTTTGTTCCCATTCACTATGCCAGCAAGTGCTGGTGGCGCGCATCTGGATGCTTATGACTCTGTAAAGGATACGTATGGTGATTGCAAATGGAAAACCGTGACAAAGGCAAATGAGGCAATCTAGTTTCATCATCATTTTCATCTTTCACTGTTTCTCGTTTCACTACCTTGGTTTCTCTCCTGTCTTCTGCTCCTATGCACTTGTGCATATGATAACCGCGAATACATCCAGCACCTTTTCGTCGTCTAGCCAGAAAACAGAGTTTTGTCTCGCTGCTGCTTAACAGAAGCATTCTGTTTAAATTGCTCGGCCTTCTTTTTGTGTCACTTCCTCCGTGGCCGTCAACGGTTGTGCTTGATAGTTTGGGATTTCTGCGCTGTCGTGAGAGCAAAACTCTCTCATCACACGTCGGGAGCTGGCCAACATTCTTTTCCATGGAATTTGCGCATAGCCGTAAAGGGAAATGTGGAGTAGTTTCCTCGGCCAAATACAGCAGCGCATCGATGACGCTGCTGACCTTCTGGGTGACGAGGAGGGCGAGGAGGTAGAGATTGAGGAGAAGAGCCTTCACCAATACGCACCAAGCCAACCGCAATCAGAGCTGCCAGGGAGCTCTTCAGTGACACAAGACTCTAGTAACAATAAGCCTCTCGCCGCAAATAATGCAGCCGTCCACGGCGACGCACAAGGCTGGGAAGAGGAAGAGGATTTAGACGACGTCATCTCGTCGACCACAGCAGCGACTTCTCTTTCAGCTCCGCCTCCCGTCATGACGAAGTCGACGGAAGAGCCAGAAGCTTCTGCACAAGCCTCAAATGCGATACCAACAGCTGCTCCTGATTCGGCTCTGTCCCGCAGGACTTCCTCGGTCACAGAGGAAATTCACGAAGGCATACAAGAGAGAGAGGCCGGCGCTGAAGCGTTTGTGGACACCTCTTGTTCGTCGTGCGTGAGCTCCCAAGCAACCCCGGTTCCGGTGCCAGAGGTGACTGCTGTTGCGCAGCTCGCGACCCCACCTGCGCTACCAACTGTCGGCAATTCAACCGCGTTGCCACCCAGCGCCGCCGCAGAGGAACACGGTGCAAACTCTTCCATTCTTCGCGACTCCGCAGACACCCCTCCTCTCACTTCTACCGCAGTATCCACCTCTTTTGTTAAAGGCTCTACAGAACTCGAGGGGAACGAAAATTCTGAGAAGTCCGAAAAAGCTGAAGAAGCTGAAGAGCGTGCTGAACCGGCAGAGGACGTGACAGCCTTTGTCATTCAAAGCGCATCGAGTCCGGCAAAGCTTACTGTCGGGGAACAGCAATCGAGACCATCTGGCGAAGCTGCTCCAAGGTGCGACGAAACGCCGTCGCTACCACCATCATCAAAGCCGGTGAAAGATTCTAGCGATGTGGTACAGTTGCTGCGCTTCCAACAACAACTTGCAGATGAGATGGAGACTGTAGCCAGCTTGCAAAAAGAAAACGCGGTGCTGAAAGGGCGAGTGTCTACTGTTGAGGACGAGCTTTCAAGTGCCAATGCCCGTCTGGCCAAGACAGCTGGAAGTGAAGAGCAGATATCTTTACTGATTGAAAAGCTAGGGAAAGAAAAGGAACGGCACAAGGCCGCCGCAAGCGAGCGAAGCCGGTTGGAGAGGCACGTGCAAGACCTGGAGGAGGAACTGGAGGAGTATCGAGTGAAAGAGGAAGGGTGGATTGGCGGAAGCGAGCAGCAGCAGCAAAATGAAGACGCTGCCCAGCAGCGCATCACACAGTTGGAAGAAGAAGTGCGTGCTCGAGAGTCGCTGACGGAGGACCTGAATTCAAAGCTGCGCGACATTGCGCACCAGAATAGTGTGTTGCTGCATCAAGTTGAGGAGCTCAAAGCGTCGTACTCCACCCAGCTGGATACGGTGCGGGAGTCTAGCTCAGACACGGTGAGCCATCTCCGCCGCGAGATTGAGCAGCTGCGCGCTTCGCTGCAAAGCCTCTCCACCGAATACGACACGCGAACGGCAGAGCTGGAGCGCGCGGTCCAGCAGTCCAGCGTGCGCGCGTACCAGGCTGAGGCGCGCTTTAGCGAAGTGGAGTTCAGCTCCGTTAACACGTTGCAGGATCTTCGCACCGAACTCGAGGATTCACAGCGCAGCATCGCGACCTGGAAGGCCGAGGCGCAAAAGATGCGAAACGAGTACACGGAGTTGCTCGACCAGTATGCCTTGCTAAAGCGATCACGCGCGGCAGCGGAGGTCGACTTGCTTGAGCGACTTTCTGCAGAGTCGGCGACGGTAGCTGAGTTGCGGAAAGGTCTAAGAGATTCGGACGCTCGATATCAAGCATTGCAGGAGACGCTGCGCACCGTGCAAGCCGAGTCTGAAGATCAACGGAAGACCATTATGCTATTAGAGACGGCAAATCAGACACTGAAGGCGTCGACCACTGACAACTTCCCCCATGTGCAAAGCGAGACGGCCGTTAGCAGTCTGACTCCGACGAAAGGGTCGTCCTTGGAGACGTCGTTTTCGGCGTCACCGTTCAGCAGTCGTCCAGCAGGCCGGGCAGCTGCAGCCGCAGTACCTATGAACCCCTTTGTGAACCGAGAGCGTCCCGTGTGGAGTGACACCGCTGACCGCAAGACTCGAGAGCGGTTAGAACAGGAGGTACTGCGACAGTCGACGGAACTGGAGCGACTCCGGCAGGAGGGGAGCGAAAACGCACAGTGGAGGAGCAAGTTCCTTCAGCTCCAGACAGAGCATGATCTACTGCTTCAGCTGTACGGCAAGTTGGAGGACAACATGAACGCGCTCAAGAGCAAAGCTGCAGAAGCTGCACCTGTGCCACCACCGGGAACTCTTGTGGGCTCCTCAGCGCCATCGCTTTAACCTGTAAGAAGTCAATCAAAAAACAAAAGTTGACACCGATTCTTCTCTTTGCGCGGCTTGTTTTTCTTTCCCCCTCCTTTTTGCTTGTTCGTCGACCACCTCGCTTTCTCTTCCTTATCCACTGCGCTTTTATTGTGCTCTAACAAATTGGGCTCTCATTTCACTCTCTTTCTTTCCTTTCTCCCCGATCATCGCTCTCTGTACGCCTCCTCGATGCGGTGCTGGTATTCGCGAAAGACGCGAAGGAGAACTAAAAACACAGTTCTTTTTTTCTTTCTTGCCAACACCGCTTCTTTCTCACAAAGCACTTCTCTTGCAAAGCAAGAAGAGCACTCCACTTTATGAAGCCGCTTTCGGGCCAAGTCTGTATTTCGTTGTCGACATCTATCTCCATCTTTGTGTGTGTGTGCAACACACGCGTTGACCTCTGCTGTTGCCGCATAGCGACACTAAAGCGCTTCATTACAGGGTAGTGTTCGGGCACGTGCAACAAGAGCCACTTTTTCTTCTTTGCACGTATCCTTCCATGTCTCTCATCCTTTTCTCTTTTACATAAACTCGATCATACGTTTATCGTCTCTCCCACATATGTTATGTCTTCTCCCCACACGGGAACATTTTCACTAGCAGAGAGAGAGAGACAACTTTTCGAGCGTTCTCGTCGGGCATGTGTGAGGGAACACACTCCGTGCTTTCACCTGCGGGGCTTCCATAACTGGATGCATCTTGAAAAGACAGTTCTCAGAAAGATTGTTTTCTGCTGACGGACAAAGCACCTGCCGCGAAGTTCTCTCTCCTTCACCGCCCCATTTAGCCTTAGTGGGTCGTTGCCCTTCTTCACAGTGAATTTGCGTCGTGTCAAAGCCAACGTTGCTAGAAGTTTGAGACTGCTTTTGTTGTCCACGGTGAACTTCGCGCCATCCTTTGTTGGTGCCGGTGCGGTGGTGCCGGCTTTAATTGGTGTTTTTCTGTTTTTCGGACTGGTTTGGTTCAAATTTAAGGGCACCGTCACCGAGAGTATGCCAACCGTTGGAGGTGTTGCCAAAGCTAACAACCAAAGAGGTAAAGGACATGGCAACTCGTGTAGCGCGGGAAACGACGCAATTGGTGCCTCCGCCGGTACCATCACATTCCTGACGGCTCCTCTCTTTGCGAAGGCGACGAAGAACACACAAAGCAGTGCACGAGAGCAAGAGGAGCAGTTTAGTGATCTGCTCGTGTTAATTCGCCATGGGGAGCGCCAGGACCACGCGGATCGCGCGTGGAAAGGGACGGCGCTGCTCCCGCTCTATGATCCACCGATCTCCAACGCGGGCCGCATGCAGAGCTTCGAGACCGCGCTCAAGTACTACGCACTGCGTCAGGAGAAGAAGATAGAGCAGCGTATTCGCGGAACCTTCACTATGTTTCTCGTTTCGCCATTTCACCGATGCATCGAGACCGCTGCCGTCATGAACATTATCGCCTTTGAAGGAAAACTACCCATGTACGTGGATCCGCTGCTGTCGGATTGGCAGCAGGCGAAAGTGTTCCGTACCGCACCCCTGCTGGGCGGGGTGTACGTGCGTCATCCTGACGCGGACATCGAGGACGCGCACGGCGACCGTCTTTTGTTTTGCCCGCAGCTGGAGGCTCTTCGAGCGACCCTTGTGCCGTTTCTGAAGACAAGAGCCGCCGAGGCGAGCGATTTACTGGCGGAATATGGCATATCAGCGGAGGTGGCAGCGTCGTGGGTCGGTGTAGGGGAGCAGTGGCTGGACAGCCATGCCACAATCCCTGTGTGGACCTCCGCTGCGGTCACCACGAGCATTGTTGAAAAAATCGAAGCACAACGAACGTGCACCATTCCCGACGCCGTTGGCGAGCGAACGACGTGCCGGAGAGGCGGGAAGGGCCCCCTGCCGCCCCCTTCTCGCGATGCGGGAACTGGCAGTGCGTTCAAGGGCTGCGGCGTGCCGCATCCCGAGGGCAAAGCCGATCTGGTGCGACGATGTGAGCAGGTGGTGGCCACGCACTACTTGCAAAGCTCCCCCGCATCGTCGCAGTCGATGGTGCCACGCTCCATTCAACACGCTGCTGCGAACGAAAGAAAGACGCGTCTTCCTAAGTATTTCCAAACGTGGGCAGAACGACCGGCAGAGGAACGCGAGGCCACCGGGGCTCTCGCGCTGCTGCCTCCCATGCACGTCATAGCAGTCACGCACGCCGACATCGTTTCCACCTTACTGGAGGTGTGCTGCCCTAAATACCACGACAAGGGTGCGGGGTACTCCGTGGCCTACTGCAGCATTACCGCGCTTCAGCGCCACAACAACTTCTATCGCATTCCTCCCCTGGAAGAGCGGCAGCGTGCCGAGGCGAGCGCGAACGGACGTGGGACAAGCCAGCGATGTAGCAAGGGCTATCCAAAGAAGAAGATGACCGCGACGCCATCCAAGAGTCAGCTAACCGGCCTGGTAAAAACTCGTGTACCTCCACCTTTTTCAGCGGAGTGGACCGTTGAGTCGGTTGGGTCTACGGATCTTCTGCGCACACGCATTGTGATCCAGTACAGCAAGTGAGAGGAAAACAAAGCATCACCACCGCAGTTTTGAAGCCCCGACTTTCCTTTTCTCCCGAAACGCAGGGAGGAAGCAGGAGAGGGCGTTTTCTTGCTTTTCACGTTGAGGTGTGCCAAACAGACACGCTCACGCTGCCAGTTCAGCACCTTCTTAGGTATGGACTGTCATTTTTTTTCTTCCTCCTTTGGAAGATATTGCCTCTTTTGCACCGCGTGTCGAACACGCAGTCTATAAGCAAGACAACAACAACGATAAATTCACGAGACCTTTTTTTTTCTGCCTTTACGCCGAGCAGACTATGCTAAATGGTTCTTTCATTAACAGCAATAGCATAGCTTTCACTCTTTGAAGCAAAGCAGTTCACATTCCCCTCCAAGAGGCACGTTCCCATCCCACAAACGGTTCCGATCACTTTCCTCCTCGCTCCCACAACTGCGCGAATGTCAACATCTTACGTCTCCTCAAATTCGCAATCTCTTTTTTACTGCATCTTTTTCTCTTCTGTTCGCTATGCACGTTGCCCGCGACGGAACAGTTTTTCTTACCTACAAGTTTTTTTCTGCGTAGCAAAGGTGGCGTTTCGTTGCACCGCTGTTTCTCTCCTCAATCGCGCAAGGGATGTGCTGGTGCTTTCACCATTCAGCCTCCATTTCAAAGTGTGAGTTCGTTTTTCTTCAGTTACTGCTCTCAAAACAGCTAGCCGAAGTCTCTTCTGGTTTCTTGGCTGTGTTTTCGCGTCCGCGAGAAGTATTCTTACCACATAATTACTCTATTCAATCTGCTACTCGAGTCTTTTCTTTCTTCGTATTGTTGATCTCATCTCATACCATCACGTTGGATCTCTGTTCGCAATGCAATCAAATGTTCCACCAGGCGTTGGGCCAGGTGGCAGCGGTCAAGAGAAGCCGCCACTGAACGTCAATGCGCCTCTATATCAAGGCCAATTCAGCGGAAGGGGTCGGGGTGGCAACAACCGCAGTCACCGTAGCCCTCAAAACAACAACGGTGCCGATAACACCACAAAAGGGAACGCCACGCAAGGAGCTGGGGTGACGAGTGGCTCGCCTGCACGCAAAGCGCCAGATGCTCAGGCACCGAACGCGGGAAGCTTTTACGGAAATGAAAAGACCGCGTCGACCGGTCGAGCGCAGCAGGGCAACCGCGGGCGTCGTAATAGCGGCGGCGGCGGGGAAGGCGGCAACGGCGCGGCCAGTGTCGGTACCAGCGCCGCCGTCGCCGCAGCGATGAAGCGACTGCAGAGTTTGCTGGCGGCCAGTCAGCGCTCGGACGCAAAACAGGGGCTGTCAAGACCTCAAGGGTCGACCGTGCACAGCAGTCTCGCGGAGGACATGTTTTCCGGCGGGGCTTCAGCGAATAGCTTTGTGATGGAGTGCATGCAGACGCAGCGCCCCGTTGCGTTGCTCACGCACTCCGGCGAACCGCTCTCCCCGCGTGGCGACCGCGTCGGCGGCGCGGGCCGCTCCGCCTACCAAGAGCAGCGCAAAGTATCGCTTGATATGCTGCTGTCCAGCGTCGACGACATCGTCTCCCAGGTGTATGTCAACTTTGACGAGGACTTGACGAAGGTGCTCCTCAACGCGTTAGACCGCGTGACGGCGTGCGAGACGGCTGACCAGAAGGAGCGGACTAAAGTGCGCGTGATTGACGAGATGCTCGAGGTTCTCGGCGACAAGCACTACGATCTGCTGCAGTGCATTATGTACCGCCCACGCGAGGTCTTTCTCCGGCTCTTGGAGGAGTTCTGCACCCTGGACGATGACGGCGACACGGGTGTCAGCCAATCCTCTGGTGGTCCGCAGGGCTTAACGGTGCGTTTTGTGAAGAACACAAATCAGCGTTCACAGGCGCAAGAGGTTGTGATCGGCGACGCCGGCAGAATCACCGACCAAAAGTGGCTTGCCCACATGAACAAGCGCTACCGTATTCTCATGCAGGAGTCGGAGTTGGATGAGCTCTTCAAGCGCGATTTTAGCATGACGGGCTCCATCATGCCGGCGGGCGCCACCGTGACGATGAAGCCCGGACATGTTCGAATCCACATCCCGCCCCCGCGGCAGGAGATCATGCCAGAGGAGAAGCGGGTGTGCGTTGCCACCTCGCTGCCCGAGTGGACCCATCCAGCCTTTCTCTCCATCACCCACCTCAACACCATTCAGACGACCATTTTCCAAACCGCCTTTCACACCTCACAGAACGTGCTCGTGTGCGCGCCGACCGGCGCCGGCAAGACAGTCTGTGCGCTGCTGGTGATGTTGCGCTGCATCAGCGAGCACTTCGACGGCGGTGTTCTTGACCGCGACTTCAAAATCATTTTCGTTGCACCGATGAAGGCGCTGGCGCAGGAAATGGTGGAGAACTTCTCGCGACGGCTGGCACCGTTTATGATGAAGGTGCGCGAGCTCACCGGCGATATGCAGCTGACGAAGCGCGAGCTGGCCGAAACGCAAGTGATTGTGACAACGCCAGAGAAGTGGGACGTCATTACTCGGAAGTCGAGCAACGAAGAGCTCATAAACCAAGTGAAGCTGATCATCATGGACGAAATCCACCTACTGAATGAAGAGCGCGGCCCCGTGCTGGAGGCAATCGTGGCTCGCACGCTGCGACACGGTGAGCTGAACCCTGAGATGCGTATCCGACTGGTGGGGCTGTCCGCCACGCTGCCGAACTACAAAGACGTGGCGAACTTCCTGCAGGTGGATCTGCGCGAGGGCCTCAAGGTGTTCGGGCCAGAGTACCGTCCCGTGCCGCTGGAGCAGACCTTTATTGGGGTTCAAAGCAGCGCTGGGCAGCAGCGGCACAACAAAGAATACGAACTGGACCGCCTCGCGTACGAGGAGGTGGTGAGGAACGTGCGGGAAGGGCATCAAGTCATGGTGTTTGTGCACTCGCGGAAGCAAACGGTGCAGCTGGCGAAGTACTTCGTCGAGGAAGGGAAGCGCCGCGGCGAGGAGCATCTTTTCCAGTACAAGGGCGTCATGCCCTCCGCTGTCGAGAAGAAGGGTCGCACCTTGCAGGGGCGTGATTTGTCCGCGCTGTTCGCGTCAGGCTTTGGCGCGCATCACGCCGGTCTGGTTCGCTACGACCGGACCTGCACCGAGGGTTTCTTCCGCGATGGCTACCTGCGAGTCTTGTGCTGCACAAGTACGCTGGCGTGGGGTGTGAATCTGCCGGCGCACACTGTTGTGATTCGCGGCACGCAGATGTACGACCCGAAGCGCGGCGGCCTCGTTTCCATTTCGGTGCTCGACGTGATGCAAATTTTTGGTCGCGCTGGTCGCCCGCAGTACGACACGAGCGGCCACGGCATCATCATCTCTGACGACAAGGAGGTGAGTCACTTCCTGCGGCTCATCGCGCACGCACTACCGATCGAGAGTCAGATGCAGGGCAAGCTGTGCGACCACCTGAACGCCGAAGTTAACGCCGGCACCGTTTCCTCTGTGATGGAGGCCTCGTCGTGGCTGGAGTACACCTACATGTGGCAGCGCATTCGCGTAAATCCGCTGACGTACGGGTTGAAGGTGAACAACGTGCGCAAGGATCCCGAGCTGAAGATGGTGCGGTACGAGATGATCAACACCTCCTTCACGGACCTCGCCATCGCTGGCATGGTGCGGTACAACCCCGAGACGGGCTCGGTGGAGAGCACGGATTTAGGGCGTCTTGCCAGCCACTACTACATCACCTACGAAAGCATCAGCATCTTCAACGAGAAGATGCGCCGCCCCGACGACACGTGGATCGATTCACTAGACATGGGCACGGCCATGAACATTGCCGCGTCGGCGAAGGAGTTCAGCCAGCTGAAGGTGCGGCAGGAGGAGCTCGACGAGCTGCAGAAGCTGCACCAGATGATGCCGAAGCAGGTGCGGGAGTACCGCGTGAGCGGCGAGAGCACCGATGAGACGAGCACGCAGTGGAAGGTGACCACGCTGCTGAAGGCGTACATCAGCCGCCTCGGCGTGGAGACGCACTCTCTCTCGTCGGACACGGTGTACGTGCTGCAGAACATGCCGCGCATCTGTCGCGCGCTCTTCGAGATTGAGCTGGAGCGCGGTCACCCTCTCACCACCTACACGTACCTGACGCTGTGCAAGTGCATGGAGCACCGCTGCTGGGACTTCGAACACCCCCTCACACAGTTCACGAACTGGGGACGCAGGGTGAACATCACAGACGCGGTGTGGGTAAACCTCAACAAGCGCAATCCGAGCATGCAGCTGCTGCAGGAGATGTCGGCGAAAGAGGTGGGTCAGATGGTCCACAACGTACGCGCCGGACGCGACATTGCGGATTTGGTGGCGAAGTTCCCCTCCGTGAACATCGACATCGACGTGCAGCCGATCACCCGTTCCATTCTTCGCGTGAAGGTGACGATCGCGGCCGACTTTGTGTGGAACCGCGAAATCTCCGGCAACTCAGAGCTCTTTTGGTTACTCGTCGAAGACCAGGACAACCACTTCATCTTCCACCACGAGTCGGTGATTATTACGCGCAAGGAGGTGGAGGCCGGTATTCCGCACGTGGTGAATCTTGCTGTACCGATCGTGCCGCAGTATGACATGTACTCCGTGCGGCTCTACAGCGATCGGTGGATGGGGTGTAAGGAGGACTACACCTTCTCGATTGGCCACCTGCACCTGCCGGAGGACTCGCAGATGACGACGAAGCTGCTACCCCTCAGCCCTCTGCGGCTGCACGTCATCCCCGAGGAGTACCACGCGCTGTACAAGCAGTACAACCAGTTTAACGCGGTGCAAACGCAGATCTTCCACGTTCTCTTCCACACGGATCAGAACGTTTTCCTCGGCGCCCCTACTGGTAGCGGTAAGACCATCGCGGCGGAGATGGCCATCCTCCGTGTGTTTGAGCAGTACCCCGGCAAGAAGGTGGTGTACATTGCGCCGCTGAAGGCTCTCGTGAAGGAGCGACTGCGCGACTGGAAGACGCGCATGAAGCTGATTGGGCGGTCAGTGGTGGAGCTGTCCGGTGATGCGACCCCCGACATTAGCGCGCTGGCGAAGGCCGACATTTTGTGCACGACGCCCGAAAAGTGGGATGGTATCTCGCGTAACTGGCAGGTGCGCAGCTACGTCACGGCGGTGAAGCTGGTGGTGTTCGACGAGGTGCACATGCTCGGCACCGATCGCGGTCCGATTTTGGAGGTCATCGTGAGCCGCATGCGCTACATAGGGTGGAACCTGAAGGCGCCGATCCGCCTGATCGGCCTCTCCACCGCCGTCTCCAACCCGGGTGACTTGAGCTCGTGGCTTGGCGTGGAGAAGAAGTGGGCCGTCTTCAACTTTGACCCCTCCGTACGTCCCGTCCCCATGACGGTGCACATCTCCGGCTATCACGGCAAGAACTACTGCCCGCGCATGGCAACCATGAACAAGCCCACCTACAACGCCATCTGCGAGAAGAGCCCCACGCAGCCGGTAATCGTGTTCGTCTCGTCGCGTCGCCAAACGCGCCTGACCGCCATGGCCCTCATCGGCTTCCTGCTGATCGAGGGCAACACGGCGAAATGGGTGCACATGGATGTGGATCAGGTGCAGAAGTACACGTCTCAGCTGGACGACCCGTACGTGAAGCACTGCCTTCAGTTCGGCGTCGGCATCCACCACGCTGGTCTCCTCGAGGGTGACCGCACCATCGTCGAGGACGCCTTCCTTTCCGGACGCATTCAGGTGCTGGTGGCGACGTCGACACTCGCGTGGGGTGTGAATTTCCCTGCGCACATGGTCGTGGTGAAGGGAACGGAGTACTACGACGCCAAGACCTCCTCCTACGTGGACTTCCCCATCACGGATGTGCTGCAGATGATCGGTCGTGCTGGGCGGCCGCAGTACGACACGGAGGGCGTCGCCCAGGTCCTCTGCCACGAGCCAAAGAAGGGCTTCTACCGCAAGTTTCTTTACGACCCGTTTCCGGTGGAGAGCGCGCTGCACAAGCAGCTGCACGTGCACATCAACGCCGAGATCGTTTCGGGCACCATCAACACCCGCCAGGACGCGGTGAACTACCTGACGTGGACCTACCTCTTCCGCCGCATTGCGCGCAACCCGTCGTATTACGGGCTGGAGGACGGCTCGCCGAAAGCGGTGACTATTTTTCTGTCGAACCTCGTGAAGGTGGTGCTGGCGGATCTGGAGCGGTGCGGCTGCATCGAGCCGCCAGACGCGATGGACGAAGACGCCGACCCCGACGCAATACAGTACACTGTACTCGGCAAATTGTGTTCCTACTATTATATTTCCCACCTCACCGTCGATCTGTTCAACCGCAGCATCGAGCCGGACCAATCGTGTGCCGAGCTGCTGCGGCTGCTGTGCGACGCGGAGGAATTCAACGAGCTGCCGGTGCGGCACAACGAGGACAAGATGAATATGGAGCTGGCGCGGCAACTCCCGCTGCCCATCCGCGACGCGGAGGCCGACAGCCCGCACGTCAAAGCGTACCTGCTCTTCCAGGCCCTCTTCGACCGCGCCCCCATGCCGATTACCGACTATCTCACGGATCAGAAGTCCGCCATGGACAACGCCGTGCGCGTCATTCAGGCCATGACGGATGTCGCAGCGAACAACGGCCACCTCCACGCCGCGCTGCGGTGCATGACACTGATGCAGTGCATGGTGCAGGCCCGCTGGTGGGACGACAACTCCCTCCTGCAGATACCGAACGTGGTGAAGGCGATGCTACCGGTTATTGAGAAGGAGTGCGGCGTCCGCCACGCGGCCGAGCTCGCAAACAGTCCGCTGTCTGTGCTGCAGCAGTTCCGAAAAGTGCTAGAGATGCCCGTCTTTGGCCTGCGGAAGCGCGACGTGAATGAGTCGATGGAGGCGGTGCGCGGGCTGCCTCTGGTCCAGGTCAGCCTCACCATCGCGCAGCAGCCCGCACCGCCCCAGGACGACGAGGACACCGACGCGACGTATGAGCTGACGGTGCACTTACAGCGGCTATCGTTTGGGCAGAAGAGCGTCGTCGCGCCCCACTTCTCGAAGACGAAGGATGAGCAGTTCTGGGTGGTGGTCGGCCACGAACCCACGGGTGAACTGGTCGCTTTGAAGCGTGTGAACCGCCTGCGGCAAAGCCACACGACGATGCTGCGGATCGACTGGGACGAGGACTGGGTGAAGTACAGCTCAGATGCCACGGTGGAGCTGAACGTGTATCTCGTGTGCGACTCGTACATCGGCATGGACCAGCAATACAGCTTCACGCTTCCGAAGCCTTGCTAGCGAGTCCCTAATGGTGCTTGAGAAGCCTCGCTGCAACAACGGCGCGCCAGATGCGCTAAACGCCTGCACACCTCACCACATTTCTTGACAACAGCAGAAAAGGATTAGCTGTTCCTTCTATGGGATTGCTCGACTTTTGCTTCAGTACCGGACATCGCCCCTTTGCTGCCGCTTACACAGAGCTGAACATATTTCACCTCAGCAATTATATGTTCTTTTCGTTTTGAAATTGTTATCACGTTTGCGTGGAATATCAAGAAACAATGAAACTAAGTGCAAAGAAGGACGCGCTGTGCGGAAGTGGGAATACTCCGGAGGCCGCTTCACTGCGGGGAAGAACATTTTTTTTCTTCTAGAAAAGCACAAGATTAGAGGTGGACTTCGACTTCTTTGGTGGCTTTCACTGAGTTATGACAGCGGTTCATTTCAACATATATATTTTTTGCGATTGCTGCACTGCGCAGCTAGAAGCGCGAAAAAAAAAGACATAGCAATTATTCCGTCGTGCGCAATACGGTCGACCCTTTTTTTTATCATCCCTCCTGACTCGACTCTCGTCGCGACACACAAGAGCACTCCGAGCTACTAATAAAAGCTCTAAAAGACAGGCCGAATGGGCCTAATGGGAAAGCCGTCGGCGCTGCTCTTTCAGCGTCATTTCCCGCCGATAAGGCTTTCAGGCCGGTGCTTTCTTCTGCGGCCGCGTCACTCACCTATTGCCGCGCTGTCGGAGCACTCAAGCACATCCTCTGCGAACGCTCTGCTCGATCTGGAATGCGTCGAACTCACCCAAGACGATTCGTCCTCGTCCCGGCAACAACATGCCGTGCCGGGAAGCCTCGTGGGGAACAGCTATTACACACAGCGATACAAGAGCGGTAACGCGAACGCAGGACACCGCGCATCCCTAGCCACGTCGTCGTCGCCGCGCTTTTTCAACGGTGATTTGGTGCTGCGCCTGTGCCAATCTGCCGTGCCGCGCGAACTGGCGCACAAGCGCGTTGTGGACGTGACAGGGATGCGGACCAGCTTTCTCAACTCCTCCGAGCGTGATCGACGGGCGCTCGCTACCGTCGAGGAGGCGCTGCAGACAATGCACCTGCACGATGGACACGAGGTGCCGGCCTTGCAACGCGGTGATGTCGACTTGATGCGTCTGCAGCTGCAGTGCGTTTATGCACCGCCTTCCGCTGCAACGTCAAGGGGAGCGAAACCAGTCGGTGTTTCTGACACTACGTCGTTTGACTTGCGCAACGTGGCGGCTGTGTTGTGCCCACTGGACAACCCGGATGTCCTGCTTGCCCAGTCTCGCCGCCTGACCTTCCGGTCGGAGATGGAAGCGCTGCAGGTCGCGCGTGTCATGGCGGCGGCTGCGAGCGCGCTGAAAGGCGGACCACGTAGCGACGCGTCTTCTTCATCGTCGCAAGTGGTACTGCGGCCTGTGGTGCGTGACGGTCATTTGATCAGCGTTGTGCTGCGCGCACCGCGTCGGACAAGGTGAACAAGCTCGAGCGCTTCACGGCTACCGCACCGCTTAACTTTGTCGCGAGGCGAAAAGCAAAGTTGTCTTTCGCGGAGTCATGGTATTATCTGCTTCTTCATAAATTCAAAAAAGAAAGAGTAGGAAAACCAAGTACCGACAAAGGCCGTTGTAAAGCGCTGTTTTTTCTTTTTGAAAGGCTTTGTGGACGCTACCTGGTGTCGAGGCTGCTGGCGCGCTGTTTCGCTAGCCGCAAAACCCCGCTTCCCTCTTTCTGTTGCTGTTCTTCATTCCAATTTTTTTTTGACAAGGTGATATCTTCCTCTGCGGTCAGGGGATGGCCGTCATGAAAGGACTATTGACAACGCAAGCGCTTCTTTCACCTACACACACGCATAGCGCGCCCAACTTCCACGTACCTATTGCCCGATTCTTCTTTCATAAAGTTTCTACTCACCACCGCAAGTGAACGTCACGGTGCCACTACAGTCGCAGGTAACTCACCGTCACACAATCCTACTATTACCGAGAAGAAGGTCTGTACCTATAAGAGAAAAACTCATACCAAATACAGAGGAATAGGTCGGCTTTCCGGTGTGCAGCGGTTTTCTTCTCTTTTTTCCTTTTACCGTTGCTGCTAAGGGACATTTAAGCTTTGCTTCACAGAGGAACAACAGCAGCAGCAGAAAATGCCAAGCGGACCCAAAACCAACAAGTTTACCAACCGCCACAGCGAGGAGGCTCGCCTGCGGGAGGAGGAGCGTCGACTGGACTCCCGCGCAGCTCGCGAGGCCGCCAAGGAAGATGCCAAGTGGTCAGAGACAGACGCCAAGGTGCTAAAGAAGGAGGAGAAGCAGCGCGAACTGGAACAGAAGCAGGCGGAGAAGGCTGCGCGTGATGCGGAGAAGAAGGAGCAGCTTGCCGCGGAGGAACGGGAGATGAACGCCAAGGTGCCCGCTAAAGTGTCCAAGCGTCAAATTCAGAAGGACCTGTCGAAGATGCTGGCCGACTACGACAAGCAGCGTGACGCCATCCGCGGCGTCGAGCACGGCGCGGTGGTGGAGCCGGCGAAGACGGAGGACGAGGCGACGCTCCCGCACGGCAACGTTAATCGCGAGCGCGGCATTGCGTCGTTTGCCAGCGGCAAGCAAGACCCGAACGTCATCAGCGCGTCGGGTAAGGCCGGAGACGTTCTGGCGGCGTTGGAGGGAAAGACAACTGGCGAGGCTGAAATCCCTGACAACCGTCACATTGGCAAGCGTGCGCGCGTGCTGTACAGGGCGTTTTATGCGGAGCACTACGATGCAGTGAAGGAAGAGAAGCCCGGTCTGCGTCGTGCGCAGTACAACGATGTTATATGGGAGATGTGGCAGAAGAGCCCGTCGAATCCGTTTGTGCTACGCAGTGAGAAAGTTGCACAGCAGCGCTTGGATGAGGAGCGCCGCTGGATGGAGGGCGACTCGGAAGGTGACGAGGAGGACGAGGAAGAGAAGAAGGAGTGACGGTCAACGCGGCTCTTTTCCTGTTGGTGCTACGGCGGTGGCGGCGGCGGCCAAAAAAGGTACCTGCGGCGGCGTGTCCAGGCGTCTGAGGAGGCGGTGCCCACGTATGTCAAGTACATAGCAACCGGACTGCGTGGGCACACCTACCATTATTGCTTTTCTTTGCGTTTTTTTTTCCCTTTCCCTCTTTCTGCGTCTCCCGCTGTCCCTCCGTCTTGCCGCCCCATGTCACTCTCTCCACTTCTGCTTTGTTTTTCGCAACGGCGACGGAAGAGCGCCGCTGCACGGAGGCCAACGGGAGTTTGCTTGTCAACTTCCCCTCAACTGTTTTGCACACACACACACACACACTCATTCATGCACGGTGAACAGCTCGTTCTTTTCAACGGCGCAGTTGAGCGCATCCGTGTTGTCACTTTCTCTCTCCGTGGCAACCGGCGGCCAGTTTTTTCCCTTCATTTTACCGTTATCGACTTCCTAGCCAAGGACCTCCTGGTTTTTGGTCTCACCACGCTTGTGAAGTCTATGTTCGCAGCAGTGGACGAACAATGTGGAGTAAGATGGAGGCGACAAAGCGGAGTTTTGTCGAGCGTACGGAGAGGCAGAAAATTAAGGGGTTCAAAATCTCGTCGCCGCTATTGTTTTTCCCCGACCAATATGTATAGTACTCGTCTGTGAAAGGCCGAAGTCGCGCTTGCTTAACCTGTCTCGTCAACGCATGATGCACTCCCTCACGAACCGACAACGTTGTGGAACCTCTTACCCATATCTTCCTCCGCACATCTCCTTTCTGACGTTCTTGCCACATTGCGGTTCTGCAGGTGCCTCTGCGCGGCTTCGAAGAGCCTTTCTAAAAAAGGAAAAGGAAAGCACAGCGTCTTCACAGCACATCACCGGCTTCTTAGAATCGTCCTGTGTCTACCTCTTCTTACAATCCAAATACATATAGATCTCACTTTTTCCATAGAAGCACACCACGACACACCGCTTACAAATAGAGGTGTGTCTATTATCAAGTATTTATGTTTGCCGGAACTGCTCCGTAGTTTGGGCGTTGAACCCACATCCTGCGTAAACCAGAACAGTAATCAAAAAAGCTGTTTGGCCGCGCGTGTCTTGCACACTGTAGAGACCCGCCTTCTCGTTTTGCGACCCTCGTCAAGGCGGTGCCGTATCGGCGACCCAGGTTTTTTTTTTCTCTCTTTGCCGCTGTCCTCTGTTCGAACCAGCGACGTTGGAAGAAGGAACCGCCGTGCGCTCTGAAAAGCGAAACACCAAACGATGCAGCTGCGTGAAGCGTCGAGCTCAACATGAACGTCGACGATCCCTTCGCAAATGACCTGAACAACTTCCGCACGGTCGTTGCTGGGTTGCGGCGGCAAGCGTCGTCGTCGCCGATGGGCAGCAGCTTCGGTCACGGCCTCGGTGGTGGCACCTCTGACGCCTCACCGCTTCTGTCCTTTCAGAGCACAAGTGGACCACTTGGCGCTGCCTCAAGTGTCCAAGGCGCGGGTTCACCGATCTTTAGCAGCGGAGCCAGCGGTGTGTCGCTCTTTCCGTCGGCCTCCAACGCTGCCCCGGTGGCGGGGCGCCGTGCACGCGGAACACTCAGCGCCAGCTCGCCCCTCTCTGCCGCCCCCTCCAGTGTGCCGCCGAGCTCGGAAAGCGGTGCCCATCCGCTGTCTGTGTCCCATCAACGGACACAACTCTCCGTTCCACTGACGCAGGCACCGCCCCTCGCCTCCGCGGTTACTACCACCCTTTCGTGGCTCGATTATATGGAATCTGTTCCACCGCCACAACCACAGGCGGCGGCAGCACATCGACAGGGCCTACCTCCTTTGTCTACCTCTCCACCAACCTCCTTCACTGCTGCGGCGGGGAACGTCCTCTCCTTTCTCAACTTCGGCGATGCGGACGGCGCAGGCAGCACGACACCGCCCCCGGCCCATGAGACTACATTTCAGCCAGAAACGAGTCCTGCGCCTGCCGCCGCCGCAGCCGAGGCGGAGAAGAAACGAGCAGAGTTGCGCGACCTGTACGCCACGCTGGACGCTCTGGACATGGAGCAGCAGCGGCTGGATGAGCGGCTTGACACCCGGCAGCTGAAGGAGGAGACGGCACTGCTTGCCTTGGAGACGAGTGTGAAGGAGAAGGCGAACGAGTTGGTCGACAAGGAAGAAGAGCTGGCCACTAAGCACACGGAGCTGGCTAGTCGCACAGCGGAGCGTCTGGAGGCGTTGTCGAGCCGCTACACACGTGAAACGGAGGCCCAATCGACGGAGGTGCGGTCGCTGGACGGTGCACGGCTCGAGAAGCAACTACAGCAAGTGCGCTCTCAACGCACTGCTGCGGAAAACGAAGTAAAAATTTTGCGCGAGAGGGCGGCCCTGGCGTTGGCGATGGAGCCTTTTAGCGAGAGGGGCATTCGCGTTGCACTGAGCGCAACAGCACCTACATCCTCCGCCGCCTCCGACCACGCCGGTGCGAGCGACGGGGAGGGGGACACGGCTCCCTCTGCGTCATTGGAAATGCGGCTGCAGAAATCTGTGGACCTGCTGCGCGCGTACTGTGACCAGCGCCTCCATCACGCGCGAGCACACCTCGTCGACTACGTGCACGCCGAAACGCTTGAGGCGGCTCACGCTGTCCGGCGCACGCGTGAGCAGTTGTGGGCGGACGACGCCGTTCAGCACAAAACACTCTTCAATCAGTACTTGACAGACATGATGCAGCGGTACATGCTGTTCTACAAGGAGCGGGCTTTGCTGAAACAACAGAACATTTCCTCTTTGCAGGAGGAGATACGCAGCACCGCAGCCGAACTCCGTAGCAACGCCGCTGCGCGTCTCGCTGGGCTTCTGAAAGACGTCACCGCCAAAATGACGCTCTCAGAGAGTCGCCTAACCAAATCGGCCGAGGAGGCCAAGAGCGAACTACAAAGGAAATGTGCGGCTGTGGTGGAGACCGATGTTGCGATGGCCATCACGCAGCGGAAAGAGCTGGAGAGTCGCCAGCTCGTCGAGGCCCAGGCGCGGCGTCAGCGCTTTCGGGCGGAGGAGCAGTCATTGCTGGATCAGCTGCAGCGTCTTCGTCGCTCGAGCGAAACTGCCGCGCACGGCGGCTTTCAGAGCTTGTTGGACAGCGTTGGGCCCTCCGGGCTTAATCGTGCGCAGACACTCGATGAGGAGGTGGCAGCGCTGAAGGGACGCGTACACGAAAAACTGCTCGGCGGCGGTGCATCGTCGTCCTCAGAGCTGCGCGCCGCGTCCAGCGCTGCCCACATGCACGCCGAGGAGCTCGTCCACGTAATTCGCCGTGCTCTGGCAGAGACCGCCGCACAGCAGCCTTCTCTCACACTCTCACGTCAACGCTGCGATGAACTGCGCCGCGAGCTGCTGCACGGTGTTGGAGAAACGGTGATCGAGCGGCTGCAACACGCCCGCTGCGTCCAACACGCTCATCAATCTCGTATTGACGCCCAGCGCAAGACGTGGGAGGCCGCGCATCGGCAAAATCTCGCCGCGGCGTGCTCGCTAGTGTTGCCGATTTCCGGCAGCACCGCCAAAACGGGGGATGCGCAGTACGTGGCGGAGACTTACGCTGCGCCGCAGGACGTGACTTCTATTGCCTTGATGGACCTCGTACGCGACAAACTGCAAAGCCGGGATGACGCTCGTCGGCACCTTCTGCAGTCTCGCAAGGAGTGTGCAACGCGGTGCTTTCGGCTGCTGGATGACATCCACGCAAGGCAGGAAGCCGTGCGGACTACCTGGGAAGACCTGTGGGGTGCTGCGCAGACGTTGCTGACGCAGCAGGCGGCGTCGCACGAGGCACAGTTGGAGGTAGAGAGAGGGCTCATTACCGTTGAGGCCCTGCAGCAGACGGTGACGCGTGATCGCCGCAATACGGAGCGAGAGTGCCGTCGCATTGCCGATGCGACGCAGCGCATCAACGCAGACGCGGCGCAGATCGGTGTAGACGCCCGGCTGCTGTGCGCACCGCCGGAGCTGCTGGAGGCGGAGGGCGAGGCGGTCGCCGTCGTGCCGCCGCCGTTGCCGTCGACATCCACGTTTCTGCACGCTGTGGACCCCAGCGTCATCAACAGTCTCTCGAACGGAAATTTGTTTACGGCGGTGCACACGTCCACCAACGTCGCTGCAGGGGCGTACAACAAGACGGAGAATTCCAAGCCAGCAACATCATCTCCTGCCCCGTCTGCGGCCCCCATGGCATCTCAACCTCCGCTTGCACCCACTCTGAGGAGTGCGGACAGTGAGACAAAACCTGGGCCTCCTCGTCCGACCCCGCAGCAGGGGGATTCCTCACACATCGTGAATTGCAGCAACGCCACGGCGACACAGCCGTGGTCCTCCGCGTTGCTGCAAGCGGAGCAGCTTCAGTCGTCGCCCAACACAGAAGAGGCACACATCGCGACGGAAGAACCTTCTCCGCTGGGGCCGACTGCACAGGACGAACGCCGTGGCGGCGCAGTGGGTGTGGGCCGGGTCACCAGCGTACACCTCTCAGGCGGCGAAGAGGGCAAGCAAGGCAGCAGCAGCAGCGGCCGCAGCAGGAGCAGCGCACGGTGTGAGGGCTCAAAGGCTGCCAGCTCCGCATCACCCACCACCACCATCGAAGAGAGGCACCACAGCTCGTCCAGTTTGCCCTCGGCAGAGATTCTGTCGCAGCTCGGACCGTCCACGTGGCTCGACACCGACACCGGCTGGCAACAGCGCCTCCGAGCCCCCTCCTCGTCGCGGTGGCACCTGCAGCGACCACAAGGGAGGACGCCAACCACGTTTGGAACCTTCTCAGCGTTGGAGGAGTTTCACAGCGGTGTGGACCGGTCCGCCTCGGCGATGCGAGATCAAGACACCTCCGGCGAAGGGACCCCGTTCAGCTTTGATGACTCGAACAACTTTGTGGATCTGCTGTCGTGCACGGACTCGCCGGCCTCGTCGTACCGGACGCGTTAGATGTCACGGGGATTGAAATAGAAGTGGCCGCTGGTGTTGGTCTTTTTCTTTTCCCCGAAAGTGCCTCCTCCAATTCTTCTTTTCGAACGTGGGAGAGGCTACGTTGAAAGGCACAGGTGTTTGTTTCGGAATGTCTCGTACGTTAAGCAAACGCACACACACAAGGAGAAAAACCCTCCAGATGAAGGACGCGAGAGCAGTGATGAAGAAGATCTAAAATATGCTGACAATCCACGATTACGGTAACGAAGCGCTGCTGTTTTGCGCGAACTGAACGTACTTCGCAAATGGAACCTTTACGTACCGTTTCCTTCCACCTGACTTACATGACACACCTTCTACACCCATACCCACACCAACACGGCAGCGCGTAGCTCAAATTAGGTTTTCTGAGAGAGAGAGCGGACATGCAAGTTTCCGCGGCAGCCAACACGAGCGCCAGCCCGGCGCCGGTGATCACGAACAGGCCGTCTGGGCGGCAGATTTCATACGAGGAGATCTACAAGGCCGCCAAGTGTAACGTGCTGGCTGACTTCTACCGCGAGAAGCGCTACCTTGACAAACGTCGCCGAATTGCGGAGAGAAAGGAGGACGTGCAGATCATCCCCGTGACAAACGAAGGCAATGCGGCCGCAGCGCTAGTGCGGGCGAGCACCTCGCGGCTGCTGAAGGAGCACAGCAGTGCATCGTGGAGTGCCTTCCTCTATCAGTCAGGCGTGTACGGCCTCACAGGGGTCAGCTCCATCGGCACCGCCATCGCGTTGTACCTTGGCATCTACAACAATCGGCTCTTTCTGCCGATTGTGCCGATGGCGGCTGCGGTGACGTGGCGGATGTGGGGTGTGCTAGAGGATGTCTGGAGCGAGCAGCGCTACATCGATAACGCGGCGAGGCTGCGCGAGGAGCGTCAGGGCAATCCGATGAACGCGGTGGTGAAGCGGCGCCGCAAGCTGGACGTGGTGACCGACGAGGAGCAGCCTGCCACGGATCTCATGGAGTAGTTGTGGGCTATATGGAAACATATATATATATATATATATATATATATATATATATATAT